GGCGGCCGAAAGTCTAGATTCTTTTTGAGCTCCAGAATCACCAAACAGGACTCGAACCGAACGTGTGACCCCACCAATGGATTCCTCGTTCGGAGAGAAATCCATTGGTGGGGTCACACGTTCGGTTCGAGTCCCATTTAGCGACTTGAATTCTGAACGCCTTCATCGGTCTTCTTGACCACTGTACAGCGCCAGGGCGGAAGGGTTGGCTCAGCCGCGCGGCGTGCGCGTCGGCGGCCTCGAGCACGGCGACGACGGGGCGGTGGCGACGACGCGCCGCCAGCGGACTGTCCATTGTTAATGGCGCTGCGAAAAGCGCTGCCAGCACCACGGCGGCCACCATCACGCGACCACCGCCAGCACCGCCACCAACACCACCACGGCCTGGTCGAAGGCTTTCAATAACGGAATCTGGGCGGCGGGGCCCCGCGGGGGCGAGGCTCGTCGCGGATAACAGTCATTACGCGGCCACGCCACGCCATGCGGCTCGAGCTGCGTGACGTGCCTCACGTGCTTCACGTGCTTCACCGCCGCGCCGACAGACGGCTAGACGAAGCGAAGGGGTACCGAAGGGGCAGTAACTCACCCAACGCTTGTTGCAAATCGCACTCCTCAAGCGTACGGGTGGTCGTAACAACTTCCTCTTTCGTGCCCTGCCTCGGGTATGCGATTTACAACACTCGTTTTGGAGAACCAAGCAAGTTGCAGGTAAATACTAGTAGGTCGTACATTTTAGCCAGGCTTTTGACATTCGGCGCCGAGGTCTTTGTCTTTCGCGCCCTGGTCCTATTGAGCACTCGCAAATGGAGCGCAGCGTTGTCCATTCTTTCCGCCCTAAACCGCCACCTGTTCTAGACAACACCACGGAGGCAGGGCCCTGCAGGCAGGACGGCGGCCGAATAAAACAGCCGCGCATTGTTTTTGGCTCCCCTTCCCTCCCTTCGGCCGTCGGCTGGTCTGGCGCCCATTAGTGGCACGGCCGGCACGGCCTAGTCTGGCCCACCTGCAGCCCCTTCCCCTTTCACCGCCAGCGCACAGTGCGGCAGCAGCGGCTCCAGGAATGCGGGGATCAAGGGCGTGGAGGTGTCGGGGCGGGGCGGGCAGGGCAGGGCGGCTCTTAAGCCCTGGCGTTGCCTGCCTGCGTTGCCCGTGTTTCACAAAGGTGGCGGCACTGCGCGGGGCGTGTGGGGAGCGCGGGCCGCAGGGGCAGAAACAGTATTTGCCGAAGGAGTCTGCGACGACGGCGACGCTGCAGGCTGCACCTCCCACCTCCTTCCAGCCTCCGCCACCCCGACTTGCCTCGGCACATCTCATCAGCAGTTGATTGCCTCCCTATAATTGAAATGATATGCCTAAATCTGCATATCAAAACGGAAAGTAAAACACTCGAGTTAATCAAGGCCCCTCCCCCTCCGCAGACAACAGGCATGCAAATAGACGGCTTCTCCTCCTTCGGAGTGCCGGAGTGGCGGCACCGCCAGGCACCGCGCCGTCGCGGACCTCGGCACAGCCACGCAGCCTCGTGCCGCGTCTCGAGTCGAGCATCCGCGAGGTGCATGGCCGGGCCGGTGTAGGAAGCGAACTGTACCCGTCGGCGCAGAGTACCCCCGGGTACACAACGCCTAGGGCCATAGTACCCTGGGGTACATGACGACTAGGTTCAATGTACCAAGGGGTACAATTCGCCTAGGTGCCAGGCGAATTGTACCCCGGGTAGAATGCGGCTAGGCGAAATGTACCCCGGGGTACATTTTGCCTAGGCTTATTGTATCCCCCGCCGGTCGGAGGAGGATGCACGTCGCCTAGGCGCAATGCATCCCCCCCCCCCCGGGATACAAAAATCGAAAAAAAAGAAGAAAAAAGGGGGGCCCTTCTCCCACCTCCGCACGCAGGTCGGAGGGCCGCCTGCAACTTCGGTGGATCGGGGGAACCGGTGCTTTACAGGCGGCGACCCCAGGGGTTCTCGTCTGTATATGGGCCGGGCTTGAAGGGCGGGTTTGACAGTCTCTCTCTGCCTTGAGAGCCTTTGCTTTTCGCGGGGTGGTCTGTACCAAGTGTACACCCGCTGTCCGGCGCTCTCTACCAAACATACAGCTTGTATTAAGGGCCAGCTTCAAAGGACTTATCATCTCCTCCCGACGAATCAAGGAGGACCCACCCGCGACCAATTACGGGTGGCTGGATTGACGGATCGAATACTCCGTCGCTCCAGTGCCGAGGCCAACCCGCCGAAGCGCAGTTGCTTTTTAGACACCCCAGCGGAGTGGCCAGGTGAATGTGACTCTGACCACTACGCTATCAAGCTTGTACGTCTGGCGTCGTGTTGGACGACGGGTTTGAGTTGCAGTGGAAGGAAGCCAGTCGAAAAATGTAATGAAATGATGGGAGTCGATCCCGGGACTCTACTGCCGGGACCGCACGACTTTTGCCGCTCGCCCACCACGGCCCATGGCGAATGGAGCGGCGTCAGGCGGGCTCTTGACGCGACAGGAATGGACCGACCCGGTCAAAATTTCACAAGAAGTTTGGGGAGTCGAACCGCCGACCTCAGCACGGAGAAGCGACGCCTCTACTCCCTAGACCACCACAGCACATGCAGTTCGTTGGCTGAAGTCACGGTTTTCAACCACACTGGGCGAGGCAGTAAAATTAAATGTTAATGTTCCTATAGGAATCGAACCCCCGACGTGTGGGACTGTTCTACACGGCTCCGCTCTGATGGCCTCGAACCGTCCCACAAAAGAAAGGAAATCGAAAAAAAATTGAGATGCCGGTATTCGAACACCGCACTGTGCAAATGTTAGAGACGTTCGATCGCATTTGCACAGTGCGGTGTTCGAATACCGGCATCTCAATTTTTTTTTCGATTTCCTTTCTTTTGTGGGACGGTTCGAGGCCATCAGAGCGGAGCCGTGTAGAACAGTCCCACACGTCGGGGGTTCGATTCCTATAGGAACATTAACATTTAATTTTACTGCCTCGCCCAGTGTGGTTGAAAACCGTGACTTCAGCCAACGAACTGCATGTGCTGTGGTGGTCTAGGGAGTAGAGGCGTCGCTTCTCCGTGCTGAGGTCGGCGGTTCGACTCCCCAAACTTCTTGTGAAATTTTGACCGGGTCGGTCCATTCCTGTCGCGTCAAGAGCCCGCCTGACGCCGCTCCATACGCCATGGGCCGTGGTGGGCGAGCGGCAAAAGTCGTGCGGTCCCGGCAGTAGAGTCCCGGGATCGACTCCCATTATTTCTTTACATTTTTCGACTGGCTTCCTTCCACTGCAACTCAAACCCGTCGTCCAACACGACACCAGACGTACAAGCTTGATAGCGTAGTGGTCAGAGTCACATTCACCTGGCCACTCCGCTGGGGTGTCTAAAAAGCAACTGCGCTTCGGCGGGTTGGCCTCGGCACTGGAGCGACGGAGTATTCGATCCGTCAATCCAGCCACCCGTAATTGGTCGCGGGTGGGTCCTCCTTGATTCGTCGGGAGGAGATGATAAGTCCTTTGAAGCTGGCCCTTAATACAAGCTGTATGTTTGGTAGAGAGCGCCGGACAGCGGGTGTACACTTGGTACAGACCACCCCGCGAAAAGCAAAGGCTCTCAAGGCAGAGAGAGACTGTCAAACCCGCCCTTCAAGCCCGGCCCATATACAGACGAGAACCCCTGGGGTCGCCGCCTGTAAAGCACCGGTTCCCCCGATCCACCGAAGTTGCAGGCGGCCCTCCGACCTGTGTGCGGAGGTGGGAGAAGGGCCCCCCTTTTTCTTCTTTTTTTCGATTTTTGTATCCGGGGGGGGGGGATGCATTGCGCCTAGGCTTTATGTATCCCCCTCCGGCCGGCCGAGGGGATACTCCTCGCCTTGGTTCTTTGTATCCGGGGGGGATGCATTGCGCCTAGGCTTCTTGTATCCCCCTCCGGCCGGCCGAGGGGATACTCCTCGCCTAGGCTCTTTGTATCCGGGGGGGATGCATTGCGCCTTGGCGACGTGCATCCTCCTCCGACCGGCGGGGGATACAATAAGCCTAGGCAAAATGTACCCCGGGGTACATTTCGCCGAGCCGCATTGTACCCGGGGTACAATTCGCCTGGCACCTAGGCGAATTGTACCCCTGGGTACATTGAACCTAGTCGTCATGTACCCCAGGGTACTATGGCCCTAGGCGTTGTGTACCCGGGGGTACTCTGGGTCAGGGGGGTACACTTACACGCCGACACCGGCCGAAGTCGGACCCAAGTCGAGTGCACTTGCGGCGAGGCCCTGTTGCCACGCGTGTCGCAGCATTGCCTCACCCTCTCATGACCCAAATGTTGCAGCTTTCTTTATTTCTTTTGTCAGTACAGTCGGACGGTGCCACCAGAGCGCCCCTCCTCCACACATGGTGCGTAGGCGGCGCTCGAAAACCCGACCTGCAATGCATCCCAATGCCTTTGATTAATCCTCGCATTTATTGCCGCGGTTTTTAGAGGCCGGCGGCCACCCCTTGGCTGCGGCCGCTGCGGCCACTGCGTCACGGCCAGGAGGCGGACCTGCCGAGCGCAGGCCGGCTGGCCGAAGGCGAGCCCCCAGCCTGGCCCTGCACGGCGGCGGGGCGGGGCGGGGCGCGGAGGCGCGGCTACACTGCAGCCACCGGAAACCGCGCCAAATTCCTAGCAGGGCTATAGGGACAACAATACGCATTATTCATGCAGACAGCATTGACGGGAGCACAGCGACTCCACCCAACCTGTCCCTGTCGCACCCCTACGCAACGCACCGTGAGTGCGAGAGAGACAAAGCGATACGGCCACGGCTCCGCGGCATGCACTGCCGCTGATTAGAGTCGCCACGGCCTCGGTGGACATTTGCCGTGAATGTGACTCATTGCTCGACCGTTCTAGGAATCCCCGATAGGACAGGACACAGCTTAAGGCACGTCACAATGAGCTCAATTCCGTCCTCAAACCGACAAAACTCATCGAATTGGCATAGGTAATTTGCATTCCTTCTAGAAACAGATACCGATGATAGACACAATATAACATTTATTTCATAAGTTTTACAAAGGTTTTGTCTTTAAGACATATCACAGTTCATCATTATCAAAATCATTTGTCATCGCGTTTACGCGATCGAGCGCCACCGCAGCACACCTCGTGGGATTCCTGCATTGGTAAATAAAAACATTGATAAAAGGATAAATTAAATACTAGTGGACTTTGACATTGGGGTGGCAGTTACGAACCAAATCGGCAAACTGGTTGAGGCCACAGTAGTAGGTGGATTCCCCGCTAACGTATCTGGCGTTGGCGTTGGCGATAACTTCCAACGTTTTCTTGAAAATCCCTAAACGACGCTCCTCCTCTTCCTTCGTCTCGTACGTTTTCGAATGTTCCGCCTGCAAGTACATAGTTTCAATAAACTCATGGGCAACTTTAATATACTGTAATGCGCTTTACAGGTGTGTCTGGGCGAGGGGGTTATGTTGCCCACTGGAAATATAAGTCATGAACAACAAAATAATGCAACTCATCAGAAACGCGTCAGAAAATGAACAACAGGTGAAACAGACATTATGAACACGACGTGTCACTTCTTAATCAAGGGCACAAACCTCCCGTATCTAAACGAAAGGATTAAAGTAGTTTGACAGGTGTGAAACTAACCTTCCAATCCGCCCACAGTTGATCGATCGGCGTCTTGGAGTAGTCCGGAGGAGTATCTTTAGTTTCCGGCATGATGAAGGACAGATGACACCCGTTCACTCGCTTTGGACTCAAAGAGCTGTCAACCCGCTCCGGACCCGCCCACTTGCGCGATTGCGCAACGTTGTTCGATGTTGTTGGTGTCCGACCGGCTGTCCGGCTCCCCCCCCCCCCCCAAGGCCGGGCCTCGCAGTCAGCTGCTGACAGCAGACAGTCGCTGCCGCTGGCGCGAGAATGCGTATCTAGCGCCAAGCGTCTCCCGACTATGGAGCGACTAGAGACTTCTTGAAGCAAAGCCGGAGCTGCGTGAAGCTGCCGGCAAGCTCCAAGAGCACCAAACCATCGTTGCTGTTAAGGGAGCGCCTGCCAGGTAGGCCACCTTCCCACCCGCGACACACCGGTGCGGAGACGGCAGCCTACCTTGCCCCTGGAAGGACTCCAGCAGCGCATCGCCTTCTGAACTGCCAAACGCTGAGCTGACGCCCGTTTGGTCACCAGCGAAGAACTTCACCAACGGCTGCTAAATGACGCGCAGCTCTGGTACGGTGACGAGTGAAAGGGTTTGTGTAGAGTCTGGAGTCTGGGACGCAGGCTGCAATGTGCACCGCGGACTTTTTGTATATGGTCTGTACAAGGGCGCAAAGCCATATTAATTTTGTTGTCAAAGGGTGCGGGTGATATTTGAAAATAATATGAGAGTATTAAATTTTGTCTTTTTTTTATTACAAAATATAAAAATACACTCTTATAAAATATATCAGTCATATATCAGTAAGCCTAGTGGTCCCTGCGGGGCAGCACACCGCGGCCGAAACGCTGCTTCACCTCCTCGCTGGTCTGTTAACAAAGAGAAAGGGTCTGTTAAATCGTGCACAACGTTTGTCGCCGTCAAAATGGTGCTTTGGGGTGGGGAACTCACCAGGTCGGCGAAGGAGTTGAGGCCCATGGAGAAGGAGACCTCTCCCCTCTTGAACTTCTCGTTGTGCTCGTCGATGCGCTTCTTGTTGTCCTGGAAGAGGACGAAGCGGCGGGCTTCCTCCTCGGGGGTCTCGTACTGCCTCTTGTGCTCGGCCTTCCACTCCTCCCACTGCTGCTGCAGAGCCTTGGCGGCGTCGTCCTTCTTCTGCACGCCGTGGCCATTGCGCTGCTTCAGCTCCTCGGCAGTCTGAACGGAAAGTAAGCGAAGAATAAAACGAAAGTCCTAATTGTATCCTGCAAAAAGTAGCGACAAAGAATTCGAAACTCACCAGATCGGAGAAGGCGTTGAGGCCCGTGGAGAAGGTGACTTCGCCCTTGCTGAACTTCTCGTTGTGCTCGTCGATGCGTTTCTTGTTGTCCTGGAACACGGTGAAGCGGCGGGCCTCCTCCTCGGGGCTCTCGTACACCTTGTTGTGCTTCGCCTTCCACTCGGCCCACTGCTGGATCACGGCGGCGTCCACCGTCCTTCTCTCGCGCACGCGCAGGCCGGAGGCGTGCTTCTGCTTGAACTCCTCGTTGGTCTGCAGGCAAAAGAGGCCTTTAGCTCGATCCGCTCAGTTGGATATCTTAAATACAGGACAGGGCAGGAGGTAATATCTCACCAGGTCAGAGAAGACGTTCAGGCCCAGGGTGTAGGAGACTTCGCCCTTGTTGAACTTCTCGTTGTGCTCGTCGATGTACTTCTTGTTGTCCTGGAAAGCGGCGAAGCGGAGGGTCTCCTCCTCGGGGGTCCCATACACCTTGTTGTGCTCGGCCTTCCACTGGGTCCACTGCTGCCTGAGGATCGCGTCGACGTCCATGACAGCCCTCTTCTGGCGGAGACCGTGGCCGTTGCGCTGCTTGAACTCCTCGGCGGTCTGTTCACAAGTAAGAGGGTAAGTACTTAGCTGAAACACGAATTCAAAAAGCAACAAGTTCAGGCGAGAGTGGGGAACTCACCAGGTCGGAGAAGGCGTTGAGGCCCATGGAGTAGGTGACTTCGCTCCTGCTGAACTTCTCGTTGTGCTCGTCGATGCGTTTTTTGTTGTCCTGGAACACGGCGAAGCGGCGGGCTTCTTCGGCGGGAGTCTCGTACTGCTTCTTGTGCTCGGCCTTCCACTCCTCCCACTGCTGCTGCAGAGCCTTGGTGGCAGCATCCTCCTTCTTGTGCACACCGTGGCCGTTGCGCTGCTTGAACTCCTCGTTGGTCTAAACACGAAAACCGATGAAAGTTAATAAATGTTCACCTTCGCCTATGAGCTTAAAAACAATCAAAAGATGTGGATCTTTACCAGGTCGGAGAAGGCGTTGAGGCCCTTGGAGTAGGTGACTTCGCCCTTGTCGAACTTGGCGTTGTGCTCGTCCACCTGCTTCTTGTTGTCCTGGAAGATGGTGAAGCGGCGGGCCTCCTCCTCGGGAGTCGCGTACACCTTGTTGTGCTTGGCCTTCCACTCCGCCCAATCCCTGACGGCGATGGCGTCGACGTTCATGACGGCCCTCTTCTGGCGGAGGCCGTGGCCGTTGCGCTGCTTGAACTCATCGTTGGTCTGCAGGCAAAGTGTCTGTTAGTTCGGCCCGGTCGCTTCGAAATCATGAATCTAATAAGAGACGGCAAGAGGGGAGAATCTCACCAGATCGGAGAAGGCGTTGAGGCCCAGGGCGTAGGAAACTTCTCCCTTGTTGAACTTGGCGTTGTGCTCCTCGACGTGCTTCTTGTTGTCCAGGAACACGGAGTAGCGGCGGCCCTCTTCCGCGGCAGACTCGTACTGCTTGTTGTGGGTAGCCTGCAAAAGAGTGTGAGCTGTGAGTTTATACTCGGCACTGTTGGCGTTCCTACACCAATGAATGCTATTTGAGACAACGGCTGGATGCTCGGGACGGCCGTTGGAGGTTGGCGCCGTGCAGGTAGGCACCCCAACGCGCCTCCAGTCCGCATGCAGTGCGCGCGGCGCGGCGACAAAGAGCGCGAAGCCACGGCCAAGGCCACGATGCCCCAACACGGCCGAAGTGCGAACCGCGGCTAACGCGGCATTGTCACGCAGACGGGCAGACCAGAGAGGAACGCGCGAACGCGCGAACGCCGAGCTCCATTATCCACAGCGGTTCCGACTCGCCGACTCACCTTCCACTCCTCCCACTGCTTGTCCGCGGGCAGCGACACCAGCCTGTGGCCGTTGCGCAGCCTGAACTCCTCGCTGGTCTGCGAAGCGAAGATGTCTCTTTAGTCCTTAGTGACACAGTGACAAAGGACAACGGGGTGCGGACGGTGACTCACCAGGTCGGAGAACGGGTTGAGCCCCATGAAATAGGAGACCTCGCCCTTGTCGAACTTGGCGTTGTGCTCGTCGATGCGTTTCTTGTTGTCCTGGAACACGGCGAAGCGGCGGGCGTCTTCCTCCGGCGTCTCGTACACCTTGTTGTGCTTGGCCTTCCACTCGGACCACGCCGTGGTGTCGTCCTGGGAGGCCATGGTGAACTGGGCCACTCCGATCAGCAGGAGGGCGGCGACGAGTGCGAGTCGGTTCGACATCTGCGTGACAAGATAGTACTGACTCAGTCTACGGCCACTCGTTGCGGTGCTACTGCGGACTGGGCGGCGAGCGTGCGGCGAGCGACTGTCTAGCCTCAGATAGGGAGAGATGACGCAGCGTCGGCCCGTCAGACTGGTCAGCTGGCGGTACCCCGCGATGCTCGCTTGGAGTAAGCGCGGAGTATCGGCGCGGCGGCTATGAGAAATGCTGCTACTCTCTGCCTCTACGTTTGGCGGCAGTTTGAAATTAATTTGAAACCGGACTACGACAGCTCATGCCAAGCTGGCGCCCTCTCGAAAACTTAATAGGCCGAGCTGTGCTAGGGCTCGCTAGAAGCGTTGAGCGAGAGAAGCTAGCAGCCTAAATCAAGTCCTCTTTCGGTAACTAAAGCGTTTAAAATAAATCAAAAACTGAGAATGTTTGAGACTGAAAAGGCGATTTTTTGACTAGAGCAAAAAATTTAAATATCTCAACTTGATGGTGAGCTACCCAGAGCAGGTGGCTCATTGGGACTTCCCTCGCTGAGGAGGCAAGCAGCGCTGCCAAGGATCAGTCACTCACCTTTGACTGGTTACTTTGCGCTTCTGGTTGCTTGCTGTGCTTAGAACCACCACTGAGCTCCAACTGTGGCTGAGTCGAATCGGCGCTACCGTTTTATGGTGCCTGCCGCGACTGCCGCGAGGCGAGCGCGAGGCGAGGGTCCCCCTCCCCTCCCCCCTCTCTTCGCGGATCCGCGGCGGGTCCGCAGATACACGCAGCGCCCCGGTGTCTGCGGAACGCACTTGACCTGGCCATCTCGAGCGGGTCCGCATGGAGACACACCTCTCGACTCTCTCTACCTTTCCACAAGCAATTAACAAGTGGGCCATTTTAATCGACGCCGATAACGATGTACGAGTTTAGGCTGCAGTTGGGACGCGGAAACGTACTCGATTTGATAATAATCGGGGCCAAAGTTGGCCCGGCCGATAGCGCGCTAGACGACTGACTGGCCCGTCCTGGCGGGAACACTTGAGGGAGGCGCGACCCGAGGAGACTCTCCTGTCTTGCACACGACCGGGACTTTAAACTCGACCGAAAATGACAAACAGATTTAATTAAGTCGGCGATTCCTAGACACCGTAGTGTCACCGCGCGTTGCCAGCGCCGGCACAAAATGCCAGCTTGTTGCCATGCAAGTGAAGCGAGGTCGAGGAAGGCACAGTCTGCTTAATGTCATTGGGTGTTTGAACATTGCAGTTTATTTTACAGCAGCTCTTAATAAAAATTGAAACAGAGTACATGAAGTTTCCTTGATTCCACCCGAGCCCCGCGAAGCCCTAGAAAGGCCGGACGAGCGGCGAGTCGTCCCAGCCGCTCCAGGCCGGCAGCACTGCGGCCAGGATGCGTCCGAGGCAGGACTGCGCGCTGGGAGGCGGCGACGGCGGCGGCCGCCACGACGAGGACAAGGCCCCCAGCACGGACATGAGCGCCACCACCAGCAGGGCCAGCAGGGGTGCCAGCCCGGCCGCCACCTGAGTCGCCAAGGAGGGCTCTCGGGTCACCGACGACGGGGAGCAGGGGCGCTCTACCTGAGCAGTACACAGTTTTTCTTTCACGATCGGCAATGCGGGTTGGAGAGAGGGCACCGCTGCCGCCCGGCTGCCGCTCACCGGAGGCTGGTCCAGCTCCACTAGAGTCATGTCCTGCATGTCCTTCGTGTCCTTCGTGTCCTCCGCGTGCAGCCTCTCCACCTGCATGCGCACCAGCGCCAGGAAGTCATCCAGCCTGTGCCGCACGGCGGCGCGCTCCCGGGCCAGGTCCGCGCACTCCTCGCTGTGTCAGAGAGCCCTGGTTCGATTCGGAGCGCCTGCGGTCTGCGGGTAGGCAAGCCCGCGGGACACTCGAGTGTGGCGGGATTGCCTACACTCGGTTCCGCGGGCGCCGTCGTGGAGCGAGCCGTCGTTCGAGTGTTGGTTTGGCTTGGCGGGGCGCGATGCACCACTCCAGCGCCAGGCGGGCGTCGAGGAGTGGACTATCGCCTATTCCCTCCGCGCGAAGGGCCGAGAGGGAAAAGCGGCAGCCTTGCCCTTTGCGTGAGATTGTGGTGTCTCCGTCTCCTGCCCAAGGCCGCGTTGGGTCTGTTTGCGGAGAGCGGAGGCCGTCCGTGTGTGTGGATTACGTCAGTTCGAGGGGGCTGCCCTCTGACCGAAATGCCCGCGCCATCGTTCACACCATCTTGACTTGGTCGGCGCTTTCAGTCGGCAATACAGTGTGGGGGAACTCCAAATCGCGCATTTCCATCCTCTCTCGCGCAGAGGGCGGCAGCGTTACGGCGAAGAAACTCAAAGCTCTTGGAACGGGGAAAGGGTGAAAAATCTGTTTACCGCTTTGGGAATAAAGGTTCGCGGAACGCGTCATTGTCGGCGAAGGGATCGCGCGGAGTGAGAGTGAATCAACAAGGCAGGGCCGGCAGGGCAACAAAGGGTGGGTGGCTCACTCGACTGCCGCGCTGTCACCACTGTCGCAGTTGCCGCGGCTGCCGCTGGAGGGCGTGCTGGGGCGCTGCGGGCTCCAGTCGCCGGCCGAGGCCGCCGAGGCCGAGTCCCGGGACGAGTCCCTGGAGTGGTCCCTGAGGCCACGACGGAGGCCCCAGCCCGGCCGCACGCCGGGGCGATGCGTGCTGGAGCTGGACGCCGAGAACGCGACTCGTCGACGCACCATCGACAAGGGTCAGTCGCCTGCGTAGCCTGTCGGCGTTGCTAGGCGACGCCCGCGACGGTCGGATCTGGAACGCGGGTCGAGGGCCAACGTGCAGCCGCGAGCTTCCTGCACCGTGTTCTCAACGCCAAAAGAGAAAACCGCCTTTTTGTCACGCACGTGCGCGTGTTTATCTTCAATGTTTGCCTCTCCAAAACTATCCCCACAGACCCCGAAGTCTGAGTAATTCCTTCCCACCTTCCCCCTGACACTTTTTCTCTCTCGTTTGGTCTTCCCCTGGTTGTGACTTTTGGGTAGCGATCTGTGCTGCTCGGGTGTAATGACCTTGGCAGTGGCGGCCGGCCGGCGAGATTACGTAATGAGGGTGTGGAAAGCAGTGTGGCATCGCCTCTTCAATGATTTTAATATGAACCAACAACCAGCGGCGTCGGGCGGGAAGATGCAGAGCAGCGAATGTGAAGGGGAAACAAATAATGTAATCACTACAGTTCGTTTGGAAACAGTGTATTAAAATAATGGTACAACGTTTAGAAAAAAAAACATCACAGACGAAAGATTATCCTATGGCAAGTGGCAAGACAGATCAGTAAAATTGAAAAAAATATAGTGGAAACAGGGTAGAAAGGGGAACATTGAAGATCAGTCATATTCATAGAGATAATGAATAAAATTGGCACACTTTCACAGAACACTGCAGAGCAAAACAAATTAAAATAATTGGAAAGATTTTCAGAGAATTGCTCTGATAGTTTCAGATTTTTAAATGCATGTAAATATATAAATGAATAACAATTATTTTGTACTTTCAGTGCTTATAGGAATTTACACCAAGCTTCAATAGTTCAGAGCCTTCTTAATGGCACTCAGGCAACGCCATTTGTCTGGTAAGTAAAAAGGCTCAAAGATATGAGGGAATGGTGTGTCAAATCCAGTGACTCGCTGAACGGGTGCTTCTAGATGTAAGAAGCATTCTTCCTGTGGTTGTATTAGAGAACTGGATTAGAAATTGAACACAAACAGGCCTTTTTTTAACATGGATCAAATTTCTAAATTCTTGAAGCATACCTGGATGGAAGCAGCCAGTTCAGCACCAAAGCCTCCAGTCAGTGGTGCTTCATGGGCAACAACTACACGACCTGTTTTCTTCACAGACTGAAAAAAAAAAACACAAACAAGATAAGAAAAAAATACTCACTGACTGTAGAAATAACTAGAATAGATAGGGAGGAATCACTTCAAGTACCTTGAAAACTGTCTCTCTGTCCCATGGTAAAATAGATACAAGGTCAATAAGCTCACACTGAATCCCAAGCTGTTCTTTAGCAAGTTTTGCAACCTCTTGAAGAACATGCACCTGGGTTCCCCATCCTATAAGGGTTACTGCATCACCTAAGGAAAAACAATTTTTTTAAAAAAGAGATACTATCTTGATTTATTACTTAATTTATTGGAAGAAGAAAAGGTTTCTGACATCTAGTTACCTTGGACAAGTACGTCAGCTTTCCCTAAAGGCAAAATGTAGTCTTCTGTTGGGACATCCTCAACAGCTGCTCGGTATAGAACTTTGGGTTCAAGGAAAAGGCAGGGATCTGGGTCTTGAATGCAAGATAACAGAAGTCCTTTTGCTTTGCGTGGCCCTCGAGGAATGACAACCTAATGCAGATCTTCAAATTAGTAATAATATCCTTTCGATAAGACAAGACAAACTAAAATCGTCTCTTTTACAGTAAGTACCTTAAGTCCAGGAGTGTGAGCAAAATAGGCCTCAGGGCTTTGTGAATGGTACAGTGCTCCATGACCGACTGCACTGCATGGCGATCGGATAGTTAAACTTCCACAATTAAAAGAGTTTCCACTTCTATAACGATACTTAGCAGCTTCATTGACAATCTAAAACATAAAACTTATGGTAACAATCTATGATTCACAAGTTTCTCATTATTTCGACATTAAAACTGTACCTGATCAAAAGCAGGAAAGATGTAATCTGCAAACTGTATTTCAGCTATTGCTGTCGACCCAGCTGCAGCTACTCCGATGCCAAAGCCAGCAATTCCTTGTTCTGAGAGTGGGGTGTTAAAGACTCGATCCTTGCCATATTTGTCCTGGAGTCCAAGAGTGCATCTAAATACACCACCAAACGCTACGTCTTCTCCAAAAATTACTGGAACATATCAGATTCTTTAAGATAATCACATAGAAATAAAAACATATGATCAGTTAGATTACTGGCATTTGTTGCGGCAACACACCTGCAGAGTCATCTTTCTTCAGAGCCGAGTCCAGGGCATTGTTAATAGCCTGAAACATGTTCTGCCGCGTTGTGGGTCGTACTGAAAACGAAATTAATTCATATAATGAGCATGACAATGAAATGGGAAAATCTTTGGGAGAAAAAGAAGATAAGTAGTCAACACCCATAACCCTAGCAGAATACCTTCAGACGCCTCCACATTATCGGCCACATATGTGAAGTGGGACGATGATCTTTTCCAAACAAATTTACAACCATCTTGACGTGAACGGATGGCCGTCAAACGAGTTGACAGCAACAACTTGTGAAACATCGGAGACGATTTGCAGAAGCTTGCCATGTTTACCCAAAATCAGCTGGCTGGAATTCTTGCAAGTAGAAGCAAGCAAAACAGACATTCAGATACACATTCGTTTATGAGAAATTCTGCTGCGCAAACAAAGCTTAAAGCAGAAGAGCAGAAGGTTAGGAGCGATAAACAACAACAAACTCGTGCATTTTTCGCTTTTAAATTGAAATGATTATAATGCTTGCCGTTCGAAAATTATTCGTTGATGCTTCACCTTTAAGGCACTGCATGTTATATTTCAAATATTCTAACAAAAGTATTCGAAAGCCACGTGTGACGTTCGGAAAGAAGAAATGGAATGCACCACAAGTTCATCAAAATTACAATTTTGGCCGAAATCCTGGTGTCGAGGGACAGTTACAAGCTCTGGATTTAACAGAAGAAGAAATGAAGGATCCCAATATTTTAGAAGACATGGAACAGCAATTTTGGAATGCTGACAAAGTTGAGGGTACCCTGGAAAGGTAGTGTGTCATTATTTTGTTGATATCTCGTTGTGATATGCTCGACATAGATGTTCCTGAATGACATAGCTAAAACAAGATCATTTGCCCATCTTCAATGTTTAAATTTTTTTTCTGTTTCTAGAGAGAAATATATCGACAAGGAACTTCAGAGTATATTTCAAGTGACAAGGAAGCAATTCAAGGAGGAAAAATCGCCCAATATGCTTTCATGGGATGAAAAGCAACAAATAAGGGCACTTCATGCTAAAGACCCTGAGAAGTGGACCCACATGCAGTTGGCATTCAGCTTTCCTGCTACTCCATCCATTATTCAGGTGAACATCCATCTATTGGCATCGTATTACAATACCTCACATTCAGAAATATCGCCATACAATTTTATTATTTAAGACTTCATTTTTTCCCCTTTGTATTGCAGAAAATTCTTAGGGCTAAGTGGAAATATAATTCACCAGAGCAAATTGAAAAACATGATGCAAGGGTTCAGCGAAATTGGGATGCTCTCTTAAAAGACGATTTAGAAGTGCCGAATGAAGAACTCAAAAAGCACTTGCTGTCCTTCAGCCAGCGAAGAAAACTTATTTCTTCCAACATGAAAGGTTTGGCAAATATTACTTTTTTTAAAATGGAACAGAATGGGTTTTATGGAAATAATAATACTGTTTTTATTTACCTGTTTGCAGATATTGCCACCTCCACTGTCCCTCCTCCTAAAACTTCCGATAGTTTGAAAAATGTTTTAAAGGATGGAGGAGTGTTTGCAAACATATATAAAAGTTATAAACCAATTGATCGGATTGAAAAGAGGGATGAAACTATTACAGAAGAAGTACAAACCCCAGCTCAGGCAGGACTTCAAATGCTTTACCAACCACCTCAAAATGACACTTTCATTATTCCAAAGGCTGCCCAAAATGTTCTACATCGTACTAACAAACATCTTACTTTAGAAGATATGAAAGATGTCGTAATGCAAGATGTTGTAAAAGGAAAATCTCTAACAGGTGACGAGATAAACTTTGTTCAAGAAAAGTTGTTAATGGAAAGGGAGAAAAGTAATTATCCTATCATGAAAGATCCTATTGGAAAAGAGGCAAACGAAGAATTTAGCAGAGGACAGGAAGGTATTGACACAGTGTCTAATAGCAGTAATGATCTTAACACAACACACAAAATTACTTTGTCTGTGGAAGAAATCAATACTTCTGATTCTGCTAAAAATTTTAGGTCATCTCAAAGTGAAGATGACAATGTTTCAAAATTCATTGATGTATCAGGAATAAAGAATATTCAAAAGCTTGAAGACAAAGAAATAATTGCAAGCTTGAGAACAGCTAAAATGGCTAGGAGTAAAATGGATGATGAAATTGTTGTCAAAGCAGTGAAAGAGTATGTATCCCATTCTTCAGAGAGTTATCCACTAGAAATAGCAATTCCAAAAGATAAGTGGAAAAAGGGTGCTTTGTACAGAGTTAAAGATCGGTTCTACACTGATGATGGGGAATTCTTGTATAGAGTGCCAGGAATATCACAGGAATAGTAGTTTAATGTAAATCTGTTACCAAATAAAGTTTAAACTGATGAAGTGAATGAATTTTCTTGTCTGAACTCCAAGAAAAGCTCCACTCCGTACGCATGTTATTTTCAAATTTATTTTTACACTGTATAAAAACATTGGTTACAGCTTAGATTTTATCTCATTTTACTGGTAAAACTTTCACACCTCTAAAACTTTTTTCTTTTTCTTAGTTTGTACATTCTTGCTATTCACTTTTGCCTGTGCTGTTAACAAGGGACTTTCACCTACTCTTTCAAATAATTTAATATTTCCCAAACCAAGTTTGTAACCAGTAGCAGAAGGTCCCCCTTTCCAACTAACATTTTCCATGTCCTGCCACATTCTGCAATTATCTGGCACTCCAAGTCTGGACAAGAGAGTTGATGCTAGGGATGGAATGATAGGCTGCAAAGCAATTCCACAAACACGTAAGGCTTCCATAGTGACGTGAAGAATAGGATTTTGCACTCCAGCTGCAAGTTGTTCTTTTGAGAATTTCCAAGGTTCCATGTGAGTGAAAAACTGATTAGCTAAATCTATTACTTTTAGGGTCTCCACAACTCCTAGGTAAAAATTGCAGTCACTGTAGTGACTCCTAACTAAACCTGGAAGAAAAAAGAGTGATATAAATCACTATTACTTGAAGAATGCCGAAAGGAGAAATGTTAAAAGAACTCACCAGGTAACTTTTCAACTGCCGATGAAAGAAGGCTCCACTCCTCAATGGAGGGAACCCTGTCTTCATGAGGTGGATATTCTTGCTTAGGGTTCAGAGCTACAGCAGTACACCGACTAAGAAGGTTTCCAATAGCACCCATCAATTCTGTATTTGCCACACTAATCATTAGCTCTTTACTAAAATCTGGAAAAAAGGAAAAACCATTAACATAATTTTTAGGTTTACCAGCACCAGTACTTCACCTCTTATAGCAGGGTGTATCACAATACTCACTGTTGTCTTTCTGAGGAGTGCCTGTTCGCAAGAGAAAATACCGCATGGCCAAAAGCTCTTGCAAGGAATCTCCTCTAGTTGGAGAAGGAGGACTAACCACATTGCCTCGAGATTTTGACATCTTTTCTGAATCAACAGTCCAATGAGAATGTACAAGTAATTGGTGAGGAGGCTCTAGACCTGCAGCCATGAGAAATGCGGGCCAGTAAATGCCATGAAACCTGAAAGAAAGTTACAGACAGTATGTAAGATGGGTTTTTGATTGTTTTTGTTCTTTATGGTCCGAGAATGCTGTGATATGAACAATGAAGAGAACGAACTTACTTTAAGATGTCTTTACCCAATATTTGCACAGTTGGTGGCCAATTACTAGTGAAATTCTGGCTGTTTGGGTAGCCTGCTGCTGTTAAATAATTAACTAATGCATCAAGCCAGACATAAATGGTATGATTTGGATTGTCTGGAACAGGCAATCCCCATGGAACTCGGCTTGCTGGTCTTGATACTGATAGATCTTCTAAATCATTTTCTTCAAGCCATTTGACAAGTGCTCTATGGAAGTTTTCAGGTTTCACAACGTTTTCTGTAATAAAATCACAGGGAATTATTACTTGTGCCTCAAACTAGAAATTGCACTTGTCAGGTGATTTTTGGATACTTCTTAAACCTTTTTGCAACCAATATAATAAATCACTTTTGAAAGATGACAGACGAAACATAAAATTTTCCTCTGTCGTCCATTCAACTGGCTGTCCTGAATCTATAGATATCTTGTGACCATCTCCTTGAGCAGATCCTTCCTTTACTTGGGCATCTGTCAAAAAAGCTTCATCAGCTACACAGTACCAACCAGAATAGCTGCCTTTATAAATAAAGTTGCCATCATTCAGACATTTCTGTAAGCAAGAAAGCATCAAATGTACTTTTTAAACTGTTTTGTTTTCTTAAAATTCAATAATGGTTTCATTTAGAAGTAAATATTTTTTTCCTGACCCAAAAACTATTGACGGCTTGAATATGATCGTCTTGCGTGGTTCTGATAAAATGAGTGTAACCAATTTCACTCTCTGCAAACAATTGACGATACTCGGATGAGATTTTGTCACAGTAATCTTTTGGGGACATTTTATTGGCAGTAGCCGCTTGAAAAATCTTAGTTCCATGTTCATCGGTGCCAGTGACAAAACACGAGTCCCTTTCGCCCAAAAGATTATGAAACCGCGTTGCAGCATCAGCAAGGACAGCAGTGTACAAATGTCCTATGTGAGGGCCTAGGAAAAAAGAAACGATTGTCTTTATTTTAAAATTACTTCAATCATTTTATTTTAGACATATAAGGCAAACAGGTTAGGAAATCACTACGTGGTTATCATACCCGCATTGCAATAAAATATTGGAGTTGTCACTGTAAATTTTCTTTTTGATCTGCATGAACTGTGAAAACTTTTTGCAATGCACTTAAAGGGAAATCTCATTAAGTGCGACGTTACCGGCATAGCGTTCAAAATAAACAACACCTGGGTCGAAGAGCCCCTGTCGTCTGCTATCTGCCATAGAATTTGTCCAATCCTACCAACCAAAATTCTCACTTCTCTCATACAACTAGGTCATTCTGTCAAACTTATGTTTTATTTTCTGAGATGTGCTAAGTATATTTGTTCAGAGTAGTAATTGATTTTTTATCTTGTCCAGAAAAATCTGAAACTGTTGAGTTCTTTGCCAACTTGTGGCCGATATAACTTTCTTGTGGTGTGGTCCCTGCTGAGTTGTCTTCCCTATGAGAAAATATTTCGCATTCCCCCCCCCCCTCCTTACCTGGCATTGGCAGGCGATATGTAGGCAATAGGCTTTCCACAACCTAGGTGAGTTTCCTCTCAGAGTGAACTCAACAACACATCCACTAATAGACAACTGACCAGTGTGAACTGCAGGTGTATTGCAAATGTAAATAAAAATAAATGGTCAATTTTATTTGGAAAAGTATTTTAATAGAAACAACAATCTAGAATAGTGTATCTAAGGATCAAAGCTCCTCCATTACTCTACTCATACTCACTACACAGGCCATGCTTCAGTATCACAAATTGCATCAAATAAAAATTATGATTCCCAAAGTGTCTCCCCAATGAACAATAGTTGAAAGGTGTTTTAGTGTTACATAATTTAATATTCTAAAAATAGGCAATAGGCATCAAGGGAAATGAAACAACTCAAGCAAAAAAATTGATGTGACACATAAGTGGTTTTTTAAAACTCCACACAATGAGCCGTAATGAACGATATTCAGCAGACTAACTTTTTATTGTCCTTTGATTTTGGATATTTGTTGTCATTTCCTTATGATATATATAGTAAAATAAAAGCTATTTCCAAAAAGCTTTTTTTTTTTTTTAAAAAAAAGTATATTTTTGTTATCAAAGCCATTTTACTGTAGAAATCTTGATGACTCTGGTGACTTAATTCCAATCAATCAACATACAAAGTCACACTATAAAAGTAACATAAATAAATACACAGCACAGATTCATCCTCAGAGCACACAGTGGCTGATTAAAAGTACAATTAATGGAATGATTTCATAGGGCGAGATAAAGCGGCATTTGACTAGAGTAGACAAAGATCCACCTAAGCACCTGGATCCAGATGTGGGACAACCACCCACCCATCTTCATGGTTGTTGCTTCTATTGTGTCTCATGAGCTCCAACTGTCGCTGCAGATTCCGATGCTGCTGAACTAGGCTTTCCTGCAGCACAGTACAAAAAAGAAAAGTTATAAAATTGGGAAACAGCCAAACAGAATGCAAGAGCTGGTCCCTGTCTGGCTACCTTCTGGCTGGTTAGCTCTCGCAGCACTTCCTGCTGCTCCTCCATGTCCTGCTGGTCGAGCTGACTCAGGCCCTCCGCCTCGCTCAGCTTCTCCATCAGGTAGTCCTTGTTCTGTGACAGGTAGGCCATCTGCGTCTGCACCTTCAAGTACTCCTGCGCCAGCTGAGAAAACAACCGACGAGTGAGTGTCAGGTGGGGCTTTGGAACAGCCGGAGCCTGCCGCCGGTCTAGCCCTTAATGGTAATGGTAATGGGAGGTAGGCAACTCCCTCCAGCTCCACGCAGCCAGGGCGGCGGGTTGCCTACCCTCTCCACCGCAGGCGTAACGCAGGCGCTACGTTCTGCCGTTCCACTCCGCTCACCTGCTTGTGTTCCTGGAAGATCTGCATGGACTGCGGGCAGCTGGGGTTGGGCTCCACCGGCCGCAGCTGCTGGTTGTCCAGCATCAAGTGCACGTTGTCCACCTCCTCCTGGGCGCTGGCTGCAACAACACGAGGGACATTGAGGCGAGAGGCGAGGCGGCGGCGGCGAGCGAGGCCCAATGTGCGGCGGCTTCGCGGCCAAAGCCAAGAGCGGCCGACTCCCGTCCCGACTCGCCACGAAAGCGAGTGGTGAGTGCGAGGGGGATATAAACTACTGCAGCCACTGGCAGTGGCCACTGGCCCGCACAACAACGTCATCCCATCTGGTTTCCGTCCAAGGGGTGAAGGGGTTCCTGGCGGGCCTGGCGGCGGCAGGGCGGCTGGGAGGGTCCCTTGGGAGAAGGGCCCCCGGCTGAACAAAGCAAGGGCCCCCACCACCTGCAGGACACTGCAGGGAAGGCAGCGCACGGTAAAAGTGCTGAGTTTGAGTGAATTTTCAAAGTTGTCCGAATTGGTATTTCTGTACAGAAATGTATCCATCTTGACAAAACAAACAAAAAATGTAAACGCATGTCGTGCAGGTTTGGGTGAGAAACAAAAAAGTTATTGAACCTTAAAAGTACTTAATAGTCCTATCTGGCAATTTTTCAAATTTTTTGTTTCATATTTTTTTGATTTTTCATCTCAACTTATGACTTGTTTTATCGAAACGAATCAATTTCTGCAAAGCAAAATAATCATTTTGGACAACTTCGAAAATTCACTCAAACTCTTGGAAATAAAACCAAGGCATTCCCTCGGAATTCAAGGCGGCACTTTCCCCGTGCAGACGGATGCCCTTTGTCCCCCAAGACTCAGGACAGGACCTCCTGGGAGTCGTCGGTCACCGTCGGTCACGATGACGCATGCAACGCCCATGGAGTGCATGCTGCAGGCAGTCCTGCGGGGTAGCGGGACGAGGACACTCACTCAGCACGACCCAGTGGCAGTGGAAAGTGCGGTGCGTGGTCGCACAAGACATGGCGGGCACGGGGCAGGCCGCGTGAGCCTGGAGTCTAGCAGGACGCGCGCAGCGAGGGGCGGCTGGGACCCCGGTAGAGAGCACTGACAGCCTGGCCACGAGGACTGAGCGGAGCCTGCCTCGCCCTGCCTCGCCTCGGCGGCGGGGTCCTTTCTGGCCTGCCCTGGCCTGCCCTGGCCTGCCCCTGCCGGCCCCGCTTGGACACGTCCGAAAGCGCTAGCTGCCCCAGCGGACAGCCCTAGGCGGCCCCGGCGCGACGACGACGATCCGAAGAAACGGTGCAGCCAAACAAACCACCGCGACGCACACCGTGGCACGCCACGCAGGCCAGGGCACGCCAGGGCACGGCGGCGCTAAAACGGTCCGCGTGACTCACAGCACCAGCAAGGGGATGGGGATGTTCAGGGGGCCGTCCCGTCCCGGTCCCATCCCACTCTCCCCGATGGGGACAGGGAGCAGGGAGGGCAGGGCCCGGCCCGGGGCACGGCCACACGGCCAACTGCGCGTCCTTGCTCCTTCCTCCTTCCGCGCACGCCTCAGGCTTGCCTCGGGCCTCGGCCTCGCGTCGGGAGGGGCTGCCCACCCTACCCACGACCGCAACGACAGGGCGTCCACCCAAACTTTCTTTACCAATTCCAGGTGTTTCAAGAAAGGGGAGAAACAAACCAGTTTTTCTGCGGTGAGATTACAACTTAAATCTACGCAAACGTTGAAAACCGAGATCCGCACGAAAAAAAAAAAGACAAGGCTATAGTCAAATTTTAGGTCTTTCCCAGATTCCTGAGCGCTGAAGAAGGATTCGGGGAATGATTACCCAAGATTACCCCCCCCCCTTTACACACACACACATACACACCATCCCCCACCCCCCAAATGCCTGTCCCTTCTACACGATTAACTAATCCTTTTCAAAATTACATCAAAACAAAAGAAATAAAATACAATACAACCAATGAGATTACTATGGTAAAGCAATCTCCACAATAAATTAAAGTCCCATACAAATGCTGACTTTACGTACGTTGCTGTGATGTCATGTCTATTGAAGAGGTTTGACTGTTAGGTCGGTCCACAAAGATCAGTTCAGGTCCTTCAGAAACAGGACCAACATCTATTGTCAATGGTGAAAAATTACTAATATCTGAGTTACTAGGCATAGGAGGCACTCGTCGCTGGGAGGAATCAGTATTGATACCATTTGTACTAGAGGATAGTGTTGCACCTGAAACAAAGAAAAAATAAAAATAAAACTGAAGCTCCCAGTAAAAGTTTGCGTTCCTAGTAAAAGTTTGCCTCACAGAAAATGATAAAACAAGGTCCCTACCAGTGTGCTGACCCGTTATATAGGAATCTTCAGCCTCTTCATACTCTTCTTCAATAATTTCTTGTTCTGTAACATAAACAATACCATTGTTTGTTTTTGGTAATGAGCCTAGTAATGATGCAATATTTTGTTGAAAGACTACATATTGACAAACCTGATAAGTTTTCAATAGGCGAATCATAATTCCCAAAGAAATTAATTAGTTTTGACATGTAACTAACTACGTAATCCATGGAAGGTCTCATGTTTGGATCCTTATCCCAGCACCTAATAAAAACACGAGACAAAAAAAGCAAAGAATAATTTTAATAATGTTGGGAGCAAGAGCGAGCTTTGACAGCATTCAAAGGGTTCATAATTACCTTGTCATTATTTCTTCCACAGGCTTTGGGCAATTTTGAATCTGAGGAGGTCGCCGCCCTTTATGAACCTCCCACAAAATACGGAAGGCATTGCCACTCTCTTGAAAGGGTTTCCGCCTGCTCAGAACCTCCCAGAGAATAATACCCCAACTATAAACATCACACTTCTCTGTATATTGGCTTCCTGTGAATGATGACAGTCAGAAGAGACGTTAGAGGACTTGATGTTTTAAAATTCAAAACCAAGTAGAACATACACACAAAGTTTCTTACCTTCAAAAACTTCTGGAGCCATCCAAGCAGCACTGCCTTTATTGTTTGTCATATATGTGCTTTTATCACATGCAGTACCAAAATCACATATTTTTAACAATTTGCCTCCTAAAACCAATAAAAGATTTGGAGATTTCAGATCCCTGGAAAAAAAAATTGAATGTTTTCAAAAGGTAAATTTGAAAGATTCATTCAGTAAGTATGTAAAGGTCTAAAACACGAATATATACCGGTGGATAAGAGCTTTGGGTTTCATGTTATGAAGGTAAGAGACACCACATGCACATTGAAGTGCCCAGCTTATGGCGTGGCCAGCAGTATATCTTTGAAACCTTCCATGTAAAACTGAAATCACAATTGCAGGTTTGTAAACATTTTACTAGAAACTTGGATACTACTTTATAAGCTGTGCACAGGCAGACTGCAATTACCATTATACAGAGATCCCCCCTCTGCATATTCCATTACAAGACATACGGGATTCCTTTGGTCATCTATGCAAGCTCCATAGAGTTTTACAATATTTTTATGGGAAACTCTGGAGAGTTGATGAACCTCGACTGTGAAAGCTTGACGCTCTGCCTCGGTTTCTATTCTCTTTACAGCTACATTTTTGCCTCTCCATATTCCTTTGTGCACCACACCAAATGAACCTTTACCAACAACCTGCAACCAAACGAAATGCAGAAACAGTGCTGAGCTCAACAAAGACACAAAAGAAAACACCAAATAGTCTCTAGAGGTGGAGGTTATGCGACTACAAAGAAAGTAAGTGAAAACCTAAACCAGAAACAAAAATTACAGCTTCACTCAAACAAATACATTTTTACAATGATTAAAGAAATAATCCAATAATCATGAGCATTTCTTTGATGAATCAACCATTAGGCCTAAGATGCTGACAGCCTACCTGTATGAATTTAATTTCAGAGACGTCGATACGGTTGTAGTCAGCAAAAGGCTGTTGAGGACTTGATCCGTCGTGGCTCGCCATTACTTAACGTCACCATTACATAGCTGTCAAAATACGATAAACGCAATGTCGAGTTCAAAATATCAAAACTTTGTTGCACTGCAGACGACAGCTGACGCCATTCTCTACTGCCTTGTAGATCAGTGTCAAAAACAGCTGACCGCGCAGTGTGCCAAACCCTTCTTGGTTCTAGAAGGCTTAGTAAGTTAAGACCCTGAAAATATGGATTCCACGGATTCATCGTAGTGGTAGAAATTGTTATTTACCTCAACTCGACGAGTCTACTGTACGATGAGTAATTGCCAAACGTGTTGTCAACTCACCTTGGCCATCCTGAAGCCCCATATCACCAAAGTGCCTCACGTTTTCCAGGTTATGACGCAACTATTGGCCTAGTTCGCCATTGTCTGTGCTAAGATCGAGTTTAGAGTAAACAAAGAACCAAGTCAATTTTGGAAAGGTCATCATGTCTTCTCCTAGTGCTGGTAAACGTCGTATGGACACTGACGTTATCAAGCTGATTGAAAGCAAACATGAAGTTACAATCCTTGGTGGACTGAACGAATTTTGTGTCAAATTTTATGGGCCAAGGGGTACTCCATATGAAGGGGGGCTATGGAAGGTGAGAGTGCATCTTCCAGAGCACTATCCCTTCAAGTCACCATCCATTGGCTTCATGAACAAAGTGTACCACCCAAATATCGATGAGGTGTCTGGTACTGTGTGCTTGGATGTCATCAATCAAGCTTGGACAGCCCTTTATGACCTGTCAAATATCTTTGAGTCATTTTTGCCACAGTTATTGGCATACCCCAATCCCATTGATCCCCTCAATGGTGATGCTGCTGCTATGTTCCTCCATAAACCAGAAGAATACAGGAAGAAAGTGCAAGAGTATGTACGCAAATATGCCACTGAAGAAGCTCTCAAAGAGCAAGAGCAAGAGGGAGCCTCTTCAGACAGTGAATCCTCCCTCTCTGACTTCAGTGAGGATGAAGTTCAAGACATGGAGTTATAACAGGACATTGTCCTTCCCCACTCAACATTTTCTTGTGATATTGATTGTGACGTGAAATTCTATATTTTAAGATGAGCCTCTACTGTGATGCCCTTTGTTGTGAAGTAGCAACAACAGAAAGCAGATGGTGACTTCAACTTGCTTTCGCATGCTCCACATGCATTTTGGGTGGTGGGACATTGGGAGAATCCATACCTTAACATCTCCTAAATTTCTTTGACTCAAAGAGACCCACCTTTGTGCATACTGAAACAGTTACTCATTTGCCTCCTCTTAATGAACTTCCTTCATTATTTGGTATAAAATTTAGACAGAAAAATCTAGTTTAGTTTATATGTGGGGCTAACTTTTAGCTGTTTTAGGAATGAAAGGCCATTTAATGTATGTTAAGTTCAAAATTGCCACTGGTTCTGTTCTAATATTCCCGTCAAATTCGGCTCATGCATTCATAGCCTTTTAAGCTTGAATTGGAAATTTGATTTGATATAGTTTCCAGTTATCTTTCGTGGCATGCTTTTTTTCTTTTTTCTGATGTCAAACTTTTTTGTTTTATGTGTGCACATCTGCCTATGTTCCATCTTCTCCCATAATTATTATTCAGCATTGTGTTTCTTTGTATGTCGATTGACTTCAGCTTCTTGTGTTATCTTCTTGATCAGAAAGGTCATGTTCTGGGTTTCCGCGCAAGGGCATCAACTTGTGTTTCCTTCTTGTTTTCTTCTTTTCCTTCTTTTCTTGCTCTGGCAAGCTTGATCATTTGAAAATCAAAGTCAACAGCAGAAACCCATCACAGCAATTTGGTTTCTTTGGTGTTGGTACAGATGGGACATAGGACAGGAAAATTGAATTGCTTCTAATTTGGGAGATCTTATGGTATTTGTCTTAGAGATGGGGAACAATGTCTGTTTTGAAGTGTTATCAATTAAATTTGAAATATTGTATATAGTTTTAATGCTTGCTGTTTAACAGATTACAATCACAAATTTATGAAATTTGTGTCATTTGATCTTTTGGCAATTTTTTCTTTTGTTGTCAAAGATATTATATTTTTATTCTTTAAAGTCTGTTCTAAGGAAGGATTGTACATTATATTATAGTTTGGAGTTGCTTCTGTTTACATTGCTCTGTCCCACATACTATTTTCTTATGGAAGCTAATTACAGTTTGTTGTCAGACCTAGCTACCAAAGAGATGTTATGTTGCTCACCTTCAATTGATGAACATGTTCTGTTTTTTTCTCTCTTAAATCTTCTAGATTGTGAATTCTCGCCCCCTCTTCTCCCCGTTTTTTTTTTAACCAGAGATGGCCTTCATGATCACATTTGTATAAAGCTTTCGCAAGTGTCACATTCTTGCTTGCCGTTTTCTCTGTAATCTAAAAAATAATGTTAAGTTCTTTGTTACTTCTTTGTTTCTGGGCTTGCAGTCAAACTTCTATTTAGCAATAAAATGTTTAAAAGAAATTAATGACCTGTAGACTAAGAGTTAAGGTTTACTGTTTAATTTCTAGTTTTCTAGATACATAATTGAGACATCCACCACTGTACCAGCTTCCCTCATTTTAAAGTCTGTTGTTCGATTGGTCAAAGCCACCTATGACAGTGAAATCTCAAAATTCCAATGAACATTCATTATATTTGCTTTTCTGTGTGACATATATAAAATCACAGTTTTTTGGACAAATGACCGATAAAGGCACTTCTTTTATTTTTTTTGCTGTAGAGTGTGAGAAATTGCATTATTGACAATGGATTTCAAGTGGTCAAGTCAACAAGAACAACCATTTCAAAGCATCAGGCGGCAGAGTTCTATGCAGAGCATGAAGGCCGTTTCTTCTACAATCGTTTACTCACATTTATGTGTAGGTCAGTGCTTCTCTCATTCTCAGCCTCTGTTGAGTCCAAAAGTTCATTTTGTGTCAGTTTCTTTTATATGTCTATTGTTTTACTTATTCTGTATCTTCATTTTACTTTGCAGTGGTCCATCTGAAGTTTATATCTTAGCTAGAGAGGATGCAATCAAAAAATGGCGAGAGCTTATGGGTCCTACTAAAGTCTATCAAGCTGTTTACTCTGCCCCTGGTACCATAAGAGCTGAATATGGACTCACTGATACCAGGAATGCAACTCATGGATCAGGTGATGGTTATCTTGCACTCTTCTCTTCTTGAAGCTAAAGTTCATATTGTTGTTACCAATTTTAATGTTTGTCTGTTTCTTTCCAGACTCCGTCAAATCAGCTTTTAGAGAAATGTCTGTGTTTTTCCCCAACTTTAACCATGAGGAGTGGTTTCAGGAAGAGGAGCCTTATTTTAGAGCGGGAAAAGTAGGTTTTGATAAGAGTCAATTTGTCCATTACACTGTGAAGTCATCACAACCTGTAGCTTAAATTTCTATGGTGCTTTGAACGCAAAATCAATGTCCAATATTTTCTTCTCAGATCAATATGCAAGCAAGACAGTTCTTGAATTCTATCAGACTTAACTGGATTGAGCTGTATAATCGAACTGAATTAACTTTAGTACCACACAAAGGAGATCTGTAAAAAAAAAAAGGTTGCTGGAAGCGATCTTCTGGGTTCATTATTTCTTTTTTGTGATCAAATTTTCAGAAGTTGAGTGGTGGGCCAAAAATCATTTGGAAGTTAATCCTCCCCTTTCTTATACTTTAGTATGCCCACTACTATATCCTTTTGTTTGTGAGTCTTCTTGTCAACAGTGAATATTTTAAAAAAATATTTTGTGGGCTTTTGAAAACTGAGTTACCATTTCTTCACAACCTCTTGCAATAATAATTTTCAAACACTAATAAAAAAAATTCTCTATTTTAATTGTGTCATGAGACTTTTGGGTATTGTGGATGAGTGTGCATGTGTAGGAAAGAAAGGAATGTCAGTATAACTTTCTTTATCTAAAATTTTTCCCTAGTATTCTGTAGATATGTTATGTAAAAAAAAACATCATCCTGTAAATGAAGCAGACCTTTGTTGAGCCATCACTGGCGCAAACTACCACATACATCAAATTGCAAACAAAACCTGAAGCAATCAAGTAAATTTCTATGCATGTGTAATACTTATTCTTGTGTGTTAATTTAATGTCTAGTACTTAACAAGAATTACTGCCAGGACCTTCTGGAATACCCTGTAGCCAAGTTCTTTTCCATCCTGGTCTAGCTGAATGTGATGCTTAGTGGTTTATGATTTCATATTCTGAGTTCAGGGAGCATCAGGTAAACTCTGGTCTTCCAATTTCCGTGGTAAAATTTAAATTTGGTTATTGATGTGCGTCACATTGGCGATGTACAATTTCTCGTATCTCCATATTTGATATAACAGTAGTTCAGAAATTATTTCCTTTCTTTCCTGTTGTGTAGGTGAGAATGATAGCTTAGTTGTATTCTATTAAGACTCACAATAGTTTCTCTATCAAATTTTCAATTTGTGTGCCATGTAGCAGAAAGCTACAATTATCCTGGGTTACAAGCAAACTGCTCACTGGAGCAGAGTTCTTTCACATTATAGTTTTGTACAAATCTATAAATATATAATGCACATTCATGTATATGAGCTTATGCAATAATTTTCATTGGGGTAATTTTTAAAAAGAAATGTTACATCTTTGGTGTGGATCAGATGGTTCTCGTTAACCTTTTTAGTTCTTTCTACAAAATATGTGGCGCTACATAACTTCCAACCCATTAGATATGTCCCAAATTTAGCATCCCTCCCCCTAAGTTAAATGGTAGTCGTCAGATAACTGCTTTCTTTTCTTTACAATATCTAGTTTTACTCTCAGTTACTTTTAAAGGTTTATTAGGTCATTTCCTCTCCCTTTTTTGATTCCGCAAATTTGTGTGATCTTTCCCTATTGCAAAGGCACCCTATCATATCCTTCAAATGTTTTTCTTTTTGTAATTGTGTTTCTATTTGCTGTTGGGCCCTGTCTATGTGGTCTTTGTTATCTGCTGGTGACAGTCATGGTTTCATCACGACCCAGGTAGAGATGATATCTATTCACAGATCTATGTATGTGTAGGTATGTTCAATAATAGAGTTGTTGTGGTTTGTATTTTATATTTTTTGCTGATGAAAATGTGTAAGTACATAACTGATGACATAGAGAACGGCTATAATAAAAGTGTATGCTTGTCCTGTAATTGTTCATAACATTTCCCTTTTCCCAATGTTAACTATCATATTGAGCAGTTTGAATGCCTTGCAGCCTTATAGCTCTCTCTCATTAAGGCCACTAACACATATACACACACACACACACAAAGGGTCTCAATGAGTACTTTTATTGACTCTACAGTCGGCAGTGAACAAATAAGCAGGTACAGTAACAATATTATGTGGCCATCCAATATGTAGAATAAATTCATTGAACATAATTATCAAGTTAACAGGTAAATAAAAATTGTAACCACATGAAATGGCAGTTTCAAGCATCCAACTTTACATAGACCTTTGATCTAGAAAATATTCGTATTCCTTCTTCTAATTTATCAAGTTGTTTCTCTATCTCAATCTTCCTTTGTTTCATTTTTAGCGTGTCAGTACGTACTGGTATCTTGTTGAGTTCAGCAATGAGGTGATTGTAATCTAGAACAAGACATTGAATGTAGCTACACACTGCAAACCTAAGAAATCAAAACTCATGAGCAGAACATACTTTTTAAAATCATGTCAAGTGTTTCTCTTCGCTCATCATCAGGCATCACTATGTGGCCCAAGGGACAGTTGGGATCTACTTCTTTGGCACGAGCTGAAGCCAACGCTTCTGTCTTTCTCTTGCTTAAGTACCTTCCGAGAGAAAAAAATGAAGACTAATAATGCTTACTTTCAATTGTTTGATTGTAATTTCAAATCAAATAACTTACCCAGGAACAACTCCCTTTTTATAAGGAGGGGGGTTCATTGTGGTGGCAGGTAATTTAGCATTAGATACAGATTTTCTAGATGGAGACAGTTTTAAGTTTCCTATGTCTGATACCTGCAACCATAATGACAAGAAGATTCTACGTAGCTTGAAACAATTAGAATAAGTTATGTCACACAGTTTAAACGACACCAACCAAATTTGAAGATTTTTTATCAGGGGCATTGCTGACTAGCTGTTCTCCAGGGCAGTTCAATGCATCACTGTGATCCTGATAGAAATTATGATTATAGAAGCAAAAAATTAGTGATTACAAAAAATTTTGAGGAGAAAAAAGGCAAACTTAAAACCTACACCAAGATTAATTCCTGTCAGTTCATGAATGCTTTCACAGCCATCTTCCTCCTTAGAATGAACCTTGTTGAGAGCAGTATGCTTTTGGATTTGAACATGTTTCTTGTCACACTCATCAGTCATATTATGCCTTTGTACTTGTGAGTCACTAGAACAAGAAAAGAGGAAACATGTCCAATGGTCTAGTTTTGTTACAGGCAGGGAAAAGAGAGTCTACTTACTGGATTTCATTGTATTTTTCGTCTCTGTCAGTCTGGACTCCTTGATGGCATATGCTATGAGATATCAAGGATGGACAAACTTCTGTCCATTCAAATGGGACATTCTCTTTGAGAATATAATGCATCGTTTTAGAGTTGCTAGTGGGTTTAGAGCTCAGGCTGTCTCCAATTGGTTTAGACTCCCGAATTTTCTTAGGAGTCTCCCTTTAACAGAAAACATGAGATAAATGTGATAGATATAGCACTTGTAAAATGACCGGTAAATTAAATTGTATACTTGGCTTGTTGAGACGTCGAGTGGGAATGGTTAAGACCAACACTATGTTTCTGTCTTTGACCCGATGCCGAACTCTTCATCACCGTGCCCAAGGGAGACATTGGTTTAGAAGAACTCAGTGAACTTCTCTGTTTCTGAAATTTTCAATTTGAATGTGATCACATTGACTTGTAAAGTTTATAATAGCACATCGCTTTTGAGTCTTTTGTCTCACCAGTGAGATATTCTCCTCCTTTTTCTGCTTTTGACTGTTGATTGTTGATTTTGTCTTTATGTCCCTTTTATTTTCGAGTAAGAAATTTCTGTGACTACGGGGTTCTAGAAAAATAAACAATTTGCGTTAATGACCATTGATCCATTAACAAATTCAAAACAATATTCATACATACTTGGGTCAAACAATCCTTTCAAAGTTGACATTTTCATTTGGCTGCAGTATCTGAGAAGGAACATGACACGATCATGTATAGGAGTTACTTTAAACCATATAATTTCATTCAAATAATGATATTAATTATATTTATGAAAATAGATATAGGTTACAGGAGTTAACACTAACTTACGCTCAAGATTGTAAATTTTAACCCGTAGTAACAAAGGCGTCAAGCTTGACTACTAAACCATAAGTTGAACAAATTTAAGAAAGTCATGTCACTGACAGGATGGTTTGTTGTCTGTCACACGACGTAAACCGCGACGGCAGGACGGTTTGGGTTTTGTTTGTTGACATACAAGTTTAAAGCTGGGATATGGAAGAGCGATTTCTCATCTCTAGCTCGCTGCCATCGACGTTCCTGATTACCACCTTAACCCTGTTACCAGACTAAAAGGCTGATAATAGCGAGAAAATCTAGAACTAATTATAGCGTTTTGTAAATAGGATTTAAAAAACAATCCATCTTATATCTCGAAAAAAAAAAATTAATTTGGGTGCTGAGATGGTTTTTACAGTCACCAAATGGTATACGAATGACCACCAATCGCATGATGGGGGTTGGCAATGATCAGCAGACAGTCTGACAGTCACAAGACCCAGCAGTCTCAAAACAGGTGATACTTATCGGGAAATTTTACTCTGAGGCAATTCTGCCTTCACTATTTGATTGAACGAAGGCTCCACTTCTTCCATAATGGCTGCTCCTCGACAGTCAATCCAAGAAATGATTCCGAGTCTTCCCGAGGAAAACATAGGTAAGAAGTGGCAAAATCATACACTAATGCCTTGCAGGCTAATTTTTGTTCCTGGCTCTTCCGCCAGACTTTACCCCTTTCCCATCTATTTCTTAAATCTTAAGGGGGTGACATTTTGGACAATTCACTCTTGTGGTTGCATTCTGTTCCTTTTGTCGCGCTATGCCTTTAACACCTTCCTGTTAAACAGTTGGAGGTTAGACTTGTAAAGAGAAAAAGCTGTTTTCTGTGAGAAAACAAGTTTTTCTTTTCTAATCATGAAAGATGAAAAGTTTTCATGAGTGCCTCCTCTTTGACAATTCCGACATGACCCTCCTAGATGTTCTGTTCACTGTCACCATTTTGAATAATTGAAAAACTTTATCATTTCAAGATGAAAATTATTTCTGTAATATCTGGAATTTTACTTTTTTCAGACATGCTTGCAGCTACAAGCAGGCTACAGCAGCAGGCCACTGAGATACGGGCTCAGCATATCAATTGGCAATCATACATGCAGTAAGTGTTTGACGTGAGCTTTCTGTAGGTTTATTAAGTGTCCAGTACTATTCAACAAATGGCAGTGGGTTCTTATATGACTGAATTTTGTTAGATCGCAAATGATATCAGTAGAAGACTTCGAATTCATCAAACCACTGGATGCTGCTGATGCTGTGACTCGTGAAGCTATTCTGAAAGAAAACCGCACCCAATGTGCCAAGACCTTCTTGAACTTGCTTGGCCATGTGTCTAAAGATCAGACAATCCAGTACATTCTCATCATGATTGATGATCTCCTTCAGGTAAGTGATTCACCAACAAGACGCAAATCCAATTTCTCATTTCAAGTTGATATGAACCAATTTCGAGGCATTAACTATGAATTTCGGTTGCAGGAGGATCGTTCTCGTGTTGAAATCTTCCGTGAATATTCCCAGAAGAAGCGAGAGTCAGTTTGGGGTCCATTCCTGAATCTATTAAACCGCCCTGATGGATTTATCACAAACATGACGGCTCGCATTATTGCAAAGATGGCATGCTGGAGCAAAGAATTGATGGAGAAGTCGGATCTTCATTTCTATCTGACTTGGTTGAAAGACCAATTGAAACAGCAGGTAAATATTCATTATTTTTCTTCTTCCAATTTGTTATTACATTTTACATTTTATTTCCCACAATTTTTTTTTCAAGGATAGAATATTGCATGTCCATAGGACCTAGCAAACTAACCATTTCTCTCGTAACTGCAAGAATGCATCCACACGCTTTATTGGCTTCTTTCATTTGAAACTGACTGATAGCTCTATTCAAGCCTGTTAACCTTCTCATCTTCCTGTCTTATTTTTCTTCCATGCACACTCTCTTTAAATACCTTGTAAGAGGACTATTGGTGGATTTACAGTGCTGCTTAATACACTACCCTAGAAAGATAGAACTTAATTTGGTTAGAAAAATAACAGTTTTAGGAATGTGTTTAGTTGGCTTACACTAACGCCTCTCCAACAATATTGCTGTTAAAGCAAGTAGTTAAATGACAATTTTTAATTAAAATTTGCCAGTTTTCAAGATTTTGGCCATTTTTTGGGCTGTTGTACTTAGGGAACAGAATTGGCTAAAGCTGAGCTAGAATGCAAGAAAACCTCTTCAGTGGCTAAAGGTGAACTAGAGAGGAAGCACGGCTCTTCAGCGGCTAAAGGTGAAGTAGAAAGGAAGCAAGGCTCTTCAGAGGCTAAAGCTGATCTAGAAAAGCAGAAAGGCTCCTCAACACCAGAAGAGAGTGGTTCACCTACCGTTTATTCGGAGAAGTATCTGCTGGTTGGTTTCAAGGCAAATAATGAGTGTTTATCAGACTTGATCAACTCTCATGTTCAAAACAGTAGGCGTTTTAATCTTTAAAGAGAACCTCATTTCCACTATTTTGTACTACACCCATGTTTGAACATCTTCCTGGTTCAAAGTATTGCATGGTTAGCTGTACTTGCATGGCATTGTCTATTGACCGTAAAATTCACAGCTGAAGTTGCTCGTATGGTTTGGCAAGGCATGCAAATTTTTAATAAGTGATATAACTCTTACTTTAACCTGTACTTACTTTATGGTTTATCAGTGTCTTAAACTATGTTCTTGATTTTCTATGGTATGACAATTGTTTTAGTTTCAAGTAATTTTCAATGCTTAAGCCAAACTTGCTCTCTTTCAGAACAATGAGTATGTCCAATCTGTTGGACGCTGCCTGCAAATGATGCTGCGCATTGATGTTTACCGTTTGGCATTTGTGGCTGTTGACGGTATTTCCACTATTATTTCTGTCCTCCGTTGCCGAGTCAACTTCCAAGTTCAGTACCAGCTGGTTTTCTGCTTGTGGGTGCTGACCTTCAACCCACTTCTTGCAGAGAAAATGAACAAGTGAGTGATACTAGACACCCTTATTAATTGCTTTCATACAACCTTTAATCCCGAAACATTCCCCATCCTCCCAAAGTGTGACTGTCCCTTATTCCAAATCCAAATTGGAAGCTCAGTTCTCTCAGAACTTGTCTCGCCATGCCAGTAAGAGGTATGGCTTTGGTCATGTCCATACTCCAGACCAGTTGCTTCCTGACTTCGGAGTCCAGTGAATTTCTCGACTAAACCTTTGTGGATTATTTCAGGTTCAATGTTATTCCCATTCTTGCTGATATCTTGAGTGATTCTGTGAAAGAGAAGGTGACCCGTATCATCCTTGCTGTATTCAGGGTATGTTCATTGCTCCCATTTTTCTTGTTGTTCGATTTATCCATTTAACTGTTCCTGCAATTAACATTTACTTTCATTACAGAACATGATTGAGAAGCCCACTGACAGCCAGACCTCAAAGGATCACTGCATGGCTATGGTTTCCAGCAAGGTTTTGAAGCAACTGAGTATTTTGGAGCAGCGCAAATTTGATGATGAGGACATTGTTGCCGACATTGAATTTTTGAATGAGCGCTTACAAGCCTCTGTGCAGGACCTGAGGTAACTTATTTTCCTATTTCTCATTCAGTAGAAGAAGCTTCTTTGGAATTAGTTCCCTCATAACATACTTCTGCTTGGATTCCAGCTCTTTTGATGAATACGCCACCGAGGTGAAGTCTGGACGTCTTGAATGGAGCCCTGTGCATCGGTCTGCCCAATTTTGGAGGGAGAATGCTGGTCGTCTCAATGAGAAAAATTATGAGCTACTTCGTATTTTGACTCACCTTCTTCAGAACAGTCATGAAGCCCTTGTTCTTGCTGTTGCTGCCTTCGATATTGGTGAATATGTACGCCACTATCCTCGAGGAAAGCAGTAAGTGTCATCTTTCTGAAATTCACATCCTGTATGTGTCAAGTTAAAATTGCTCTAAATTTCTTATTTTTGGTTTCAGTGTAATTGAACAGCTTGGTGGCAAGCAAACTGTCATGCAGCTTTTGGCTCATGATGACCCCAATGTCCGTTATGAGGCCTTGTTGGCTGTTCAAAAGCTTATGGTTCACAACTGGTATGATTTTCACCTAAAAGACTTTTTCTTTTTCACTGTAATATGGAAGACTTTGGTTTGTTAACTGTATTTTTTTTTTCAGGGAGTATCTGGGCAGACAGCTAGAGAAGGAACAAGACAACAAGACTCAAGGAAACAAACCTGCTTCAGGAGGCAATGCTGTAGCAGCAAAGGCATAATTCATCACAAAGCTTCAACATTAAAATGGAATAATTGTAACATTACATTTGATTTGCTGAACCTCTTAATCTATGAAGTTTGTACTCTATATCATGTTCATTTCGGGATTCGGCAGTGAATTTTTGCCTTTGCATCCACCATTTTGTACTTTATGCTTTTAATTAACTTTGTGTGTAAATTCTTTGATTTCCCCTTGAGTTAAATTAAGTATTTTTATTCTGCTATTTCATATTTCAATATCTGTGTACTTTTCTCTCCATTTAGGTCTTTCAAAGATCACACATCAATCCAGTATTAGTTCAAGACAAGTACTTACGTAAATGAGAATGGCATATTAATCGGAGCTGAGATTATCAGCGGAAGTTGTTTTTCAGTACTTTTATTTTCTGTGTTGGTCAGTTAAAGGTGCTCCATGGTCTTATTTGTGACACAACTCATGTAGATAGCTCCATTCTTTTAAAATGGTTGGCCTTTCTTTTTGAAGTGTGTTTTGTTTATCTGTAACTCTGAGGTTCAGCACACATTATACTCATTTTAATTACCATCTATAAATACATTTTGATATTACTCTGGAAGGGAAACTTGTCTTCTGTTTGAACATGAGATTAAAAAGAAATTTAAAAAGTTCATCTAACAAGCGATCAGAACTGCTGGTTTCCCCAGCAGGGTGATTCAGAATGTCTGTAGAGTAGTGAAATTACATTCCAGAGTACAGTTTCAAGTTTGGTCACAGCTGTATTCTATGTTGTAAGTAGGAATCATAACCGGAAAAAATGTATCTATTGTACATAATAGCATTTTAAAAGAAAAGGAAAATGTATGTAATTTGTTAAATCATGTTATGTTTGTTCTTTGACAAAGTTTTGCTTTGTTGCGCCTTAAATTAATAAGAGTGGGTATTGACTAAGACAATTGTATCTTCAGTATCTGCAATAAATATGAATTTTATGAGCCTCAATACTTTGTACACCTGTCTTAGAACAGGCCCATGTTGCGGCGCGGCCCCTAAGCAGCCCCTGCGCCAGGACAAGGATCGGCTAGTTCACAAACATCAGCCAACCGCAGCAGTCGCTTTGCAGGTGGGGGGAGGGAGAGCCTAGCCATGGTAGTACAGTGGCTCAATGAAGTGACGATCAGATCGCCACTGGTGAGCGCCTGCCTACGCCTGCCGATTTGTGGCTAGGCAACACTTCCTGCAAAGCTGCTGGCTGAATTGCCTAGTTCGTAGGCGGCCACTCTAAAACCTCGGCTCTACTCGTATGACTGCTTATGTGCGTCAATGCCCTTCGCTTCAAAACAGACAACAGGCAAATCCTGTTTTTCCAGCTCACAACTGGAGGTGGACCCCGCCACAAAAAGGAAAAAAATTGAATGACAGATACAAGAACAAGAATGAGTTTTGAATTTTCTCTTGTGATTGTTTGAACACATGGTGCGGTTCGGTTAGGTCTTTTCTTGCACAAAAATTTTGTCCGTCTCCTAAGCCCTAGCTCCACGCTGACATTGATTGTGCCCGATTGTGCCTACAGCCGCCCTAGATCCTAGATTCTGTCCAGCGAGCTGGGAAGTGGACTCGACGATATCCGACACCTCGCCTCTCCCTCCCTTCCTCCCTCCCTCACCCTGCCCTTGTCCTTAGTCCTACGAGCCCCCCGAGGGGCCCCCGCTACCCCGCCGTCCCTCCCGCTGACCATTCGCCCCGCTACCACCCGCCTGCCACCGCAACAACAGCAACCGGCTGGCTGGCTGCTGGGGCTGGGCTGTCGCGTTGCCTGCTCCTCCTGGCCACAGCTCCTGGCTGCCTGCTGGCTGGCTGGCTGGCTGGGCTGGCTGGCTCTCCTCCTGTTTGCATTGCAGTGCTCCGCCGCTCCGCTCCACCAACACCACGCTGTCGGGAGGTTATGCCCGGTGTGTGTTTTGCCGGGATCAGCTGATGACGGCTGAAATGGTGCTGGACACGCTTCCGTCTTCGCCCCTGAATTGTTAGTAACAGCAGCCGAACAAGACGACCGTCACCGCCTGCGTCGCTATCTCCAGGAACTGCTGGAGGCGTGTGGGCAAGGGTGTGAAATAGTGACGGGAAAACGGGTCGCGCTGCAACACGCTAGCGAAGTAGGAGAGAGGCCGCCTTCGCTGACGTCGACGTCGCTGTTGCTCGAAGGTCAGAAATGTTTTTATGTGGTTCGTTTCGGCTGAAAAATCGATTTTGATTTGTAAATGACTACTATGGTTCTCATTATAAATTCTCTTCACCAACCACCTGTTCGATCATTTTTACCATCACTTGAAACGTGTGCATTTTGATCTGCTGGAAGTTCTGGACGAGCTTCACTTCAATGATTAGATAACACTTGCAGTGCGCGGTGTGGTAATAACGATAGACTGATTGGATTCAAGTCCCTGGAATTCCTCCCCACCCCCTCTCCTGCCCCTAGCGTCCACATGACTACCTTGCCACTCGGCGGCGCCTGTCAGGTAGGCCACACGCTGGCCACACGAAGCTAAGGATTCTGCGTTACATAAGAGTGAAATGTGCCTTCGCTCTACGGCGTGACGTAACTTTATTCGTAATAAATCGTGATCCCCATAATAATATAGTTATAACTACCCCGTTTTATTTTTTTCTCTTTCAGACACGAAGGTTTTACCCATGGACGCCTTGCAGTCGCGGTCCAGAGGGGGTGGCGCGGGAGCGGGGGCTGCGGGGGCGTCGGAGCCGGCAGCGCTGCCCCCCACGGGGCTGACCCACGAGTGCGGTGTGTTCGGGTGCGTGGCGGCGGGTGACTGGCCGACCCAGATGGACGTGGCGCAGGTCGTCTGCCTCGGCCTCATCGCTCTGCAGCACAGGTGCGTAAGGGACGGCGACGGCGTACTGCGCGTCTCGGACCCGGCACCCGGCCGGCGCCAGCCGATGGGGCTTCCCGTACAGGTGCGAGAGAGACCGGGCGATGGCGGCGCGTCTAAAACACTTTCTCTCTTTCCAGAGGTCAGGAGAGTGCAGGCATCGTCACGAGCAAAGGCACCGGGGGCCACAATTTTAACGTATGCAAAGGGATGGGACTCATCTCTAACATTTTCAACAACGAGGCCATGGAGAAGCTCAAAGGTACCAGAACGTCTTCTCGTCGTTTATCATCATGGAGGCAGTTTGTGACCGACTCTGAATTTTCTTTTTGCAGGGAACTTGGGCATCGGCCACACCAGGTATTCGACGGCCGCGGCCTCGGAAGTGATAAACTGTCAACCCTTCGTGGTGCACACCGCCTACGGCCCGCTGTCCCTCGCGCACAACGGGGAGCTCGTCAACGCCAAGGAGCTGCGTGCCCAGGTACACGGCGCACCGCCGGAACAGTCGGAACCGTGTGAGGAGGTGGGGAGAGGGGGCTGACGGCTGACGTACCACCCTGCTCCTCCTACTCCTACCGCTCTCGTCGCGTTTTAGCGCCGAGGCCGGAGAGGAATTCCCTCTGCCCCCTCCCCTTGACTCCTGCAGGCACGCCCCTTTTCTTGCGAATTTGCCTGTGTCTGAACCCCAGTCTGTTGCCTTAGGTGTACGACCGCGGAGTGGGTCTCTCCACGCACTCGGACAGCGAGCTGATCACGCAGACGCTGTGCCTGGACCCGCCCGGGGGCCTCGGCGGCAGGCCGGACTGGCCGGGCCGCATCAAGCACCTCATGGCGCTGACGCCCATGGCCTACTCGCTGCTCATCATGGACAACGACAGGGTGTACGGCGTACGCGACCCCTACGGCAACCGGCCGCTGTGCCTGGGCAAGGTGGTGCCTGAAGGTCAGTCCAGTCAGCGCCACTGCCAAATCGGTAAAATGGCTTACGCTACGTAACTAATATTGCTTCCGACTTGCAGGCGTGCAGGGGCTTGGCCGCGAGTCCGACGCGGACGCCTGGGTCATCTCGTCCGAGTCGTGCAGCTTCCAGTCCATCGGGGCGCGCTTCGTGCGTGAGGTGCTGCCGGGCGAGATCGTGGAGCTGAGCAAGGACGGCGTCAAGACGCTGGACACGGTGGGCAGGGCTGACGGCGGCCTGCCCTCCTTCTGTATCTTCGAGTTCGTCTACTTCTCGAGGCCCGACACTATTTACGAAGGTGCGTAATGAAGCTTCCGTTTCCTGCGCCCGTCGCGGGTTGTGCTTTTGATGCCTCTCTGAAGCACGACGCTCGCTGTGCACTGCCTGCAGGCCAGACGGTGTACTCGGTGCGCAAGGAGAGCGGACGCATGCTGTGGCGCGAGTCCCCCGTCGAGGCAGACATCGTGTCGTCCGTCCCAGAGTCCGGCACCGCCGCCGCTCACGGCTTTGCGCGGGAGGTACGTAGACAAAGCCATCTGGGTAGAGATGTTGGAAGCCTGACCTTGACCTTTGCCCCGGCTTTGCCCTTCCTCGTTCAGTCCGGCCTGCCGTTCACTGAGGTGCTGTGCAAGAACCGCTACGTGGGCCGCACCTTCATCCAGCCCAACACGCGGCTCCGCAAGCTAGGTGTGGCCATGAAGTTCGGCGCGCTGGCCGAGGAGGTGGCCGGCAAGCGCCTGGTGCTCATCGACGACTCGATCGTCCGCGGCAACACCATCGGCCCCATCATCAAGCTGCTCCGGGACGCGGGCGCCAAGGAGGTGCACATCCGCATCGCGTCGCCGCCCCTCAAGTTCCCGTGCTACATGGGCATCAACATCCCCACCCGGGAGGAACTCGTTGCCAACAAGCTGGAGCCAGCCGACCTGGCGGCGCACGTTGGTCAGTATAGTTCACCGAAGTCCCGACCTTTTAATTCGTGAAAGCTAGAATAAAAGAAGTGTTCTTAAGTTTGCTCATGATCTCCCCCTTTTAGGTGCGGATAGCCTCGCATACCTATCCGTGGACGGCCTGGTGCAGGCCGTCCGACATGGCGCCAAGTCGAAGAAGGAAGATTCTGGCTACTGCACTGCCTGTCTCACTGGAGAGTACCCTGTCAAGTTGAACTGGTAATGAAGTGGAGCTTTTATTATAATCATTTGTACTTCGTTTCCTTTATTTGCATTTAATTTTAAGGAACTCATTTATTGTTTTTGAAGTATTGCAATGGACTTAGTTTGTTTAAAACTATCATCAGAAAGTTAATGAACTCTTTTAATGTTTTTTGTAATTTTGTAGAGGACTTAGTTTGTGTAAAACTATTATTTTTGAAAAGTATTGCCAGGATTTACAAGTGAGTAAAGAAAGACTGTGAGGGTGGGATGTACAATTAATAAAGGTGGTCGCAAACTCGCATTAGCGTCCGATTTTTAGAGCAAATGGTTCCCCCCCCCCCCCTTTAAAAAAAATCAAAACCCGCAATAACCTTTTCACGACCGAACGTAAGACAACTTTTCGTAGCGTTGTGGGCGAGACTCGTGTGGATCCTGGCCATGATCCTGGACAGATCGACTAAAAGTCTCTGCGCGCGCGCTCTGTCGCAACCTACTCGTTCCGTATCCGGTTGGCGGGTACTGCGTACTGCTAACAGTGCCATACCGAAGTAAAAAGCGGAGGCGGATGAGCTTACTGAGGATGAGGAAGAGGAAGTAGTGACAAAGATACCCAAACAAACCACATGTTGTTTTTCTTCTTCGAACTACTTTTTCAGAGAAAAGTGTTCAGTGAAAATATAACCGATTGCCTGCGACACTTCTTCTCCGACTTGTTCCGTTGACAGTTCAAGGACCGAAATTTAGATTGCATTGATGCGGTTTGTGTCGCCTCACGTGTGCATCGCTGTGCCTCGGAAGTTGGCCAACCGGGTTTCATGTCGGAGAATCAAATGATGAACTACCGGATCAGTTAGTACTTCGTTTATTTTGCCAATTGCTTTTCTTGTTATGATGTTTCAAGCTGTCGCCGCTTTCTGTCTTTCCTCCGAACCCTTAACAAATTACAGTTAGGGTTAGATTGTTCTGTCCCTTAATCGGGAGGGAGTTTAATTTCGTCGAAGACATCACTTTGGAGGTTGTGTTCGCTCTTTAATTGAAATGTTGCTTTAAATTATCACTGCCACTCCTTCATCGGCCTCTACATCAATAACATTGGCCCTTTCATACATGTTGGCTGGTTGGGTGCCCTTGCCTTCAATCCTTTTCAATATTCACATGAGCGTGTTGTGCTTGATGTATGGGTGCCAGAAAAGTCTTGACTCTGCCTCCTTCTTCACCAACGAGGGAAATGATCCCTCTCACGGACCTTTTTGGTAAAAGTTGAGGCGCATAAGGTGTTTTAATTTATTTTTTCTGTGTTTTAACTGCAGTAATTATTATGTTTCGTGCCGCACGCTAATAAATTACATAATAAAGTTCCTAACCTTCGAAAAGTCGGCGATTTAGTTGAGACCTCCATGATTGTTTTACTGTAAATTGTTCACTTTAAGCGATTTCGTTCATTGTACACTTAAGATGCCGTGTATATGTAAATTCTGATGAGGAGGCAGAGGCTGACAATTTCGTTCTGATCACTTTTCTGTGCTCCTAACCCATTAGGCTTCTCCTCTGAGGGGGATTTATTAGTATTTATTTCAATGCTGCAATAACGGTTAAAAAACTTTTCTATTTTTGGTGCAGATCTTTTTAACATCATGCCTTAAATGCTGAACATCTAATTAAACATCGAAATGGACATGGAAGAGGCTTTATCCATGGTGCTGGACACCTTATGGTGTGCCATAAGTCAAAACCAAGAAAGTTTCAAACCAGCTGAGAAAAAACTACAAGAATGGGAAGTGGTACCGGGCTTTTATTCCATTCTCTTGGTAAGTAGTGAACCATTTCTATCCTGCATCTTCAATAATAACTTATTGATTTGCTTTAATGTCCAATCCACCATCAATGTCCCTATGAATAATGTTGTATTTTTTTCTCAGGACATTTTTTCAAATCATACTATTGATGTAAATGTTAGGTGGCTTGCCGTTCTTTATTTTAAAAATGGAACTGACAAGTACTGGAGAAAGTCTGCTCCTAAGTGAGTATTATACATTTTCCCACGGCTTGCTTGAAAACATGAGAATGTTCTAAAATTTATCTCATATTTCAGTGCCATATCAGAAGACGAAAAAATTAAACTGCGACAAGGGCTTGTTGCTAATTTCCGAGAACCAGTCAGTCCCCTTGCAGTTCAACTTGCTGTTGTCATTGCTAAGGTCGCTCGCATTGACTGTCCGAAAGATTGGCCTGATTTGGTTCCCACTTTATTGACGGCTGTCAGGGATTCTGACCTTCTCGTTCAGCATCGAGCTTTGCTTACACTTCATCATGTTGTCAAGACCCTATCATCTAAGCGACTGGCAGGCGATAGAAGATTGTTTCAAGAGCTGACCGGAAATGTGTACTCATTTGCCTTGTCTCTTTGGAACACACACACTGAGTTGTTCTTACAGCAATTTTCTGAAAATCCTCTTAATGCTACTCCCTCCTTAGAGAAAGCACTTCTTGCCCTAAGGATACTGAGAAAACTCACTGTTCATGGATTTCTAAAACCTCACGAATCTGAAGACGCTGTGATTTTTATTAACATGGTTTTCGACCGAGCCAAGACAATGCTAGAATGCAGTAAGTTAAATTGCTTCCTGTCTACAAGCATCTTTTCTTATATCTCAATTCTTTGGATAATGTATTTGGTATTATTGACAAATCCCTCCATCCTTTTGTTTTAGGGAAACAACTGCCTAAGAAGAGCAGTTTAATTGAACTGATTGAAAAATTTGTCATCCATTTGACAAAAGTTCTGATGTCTGTTTTGGAAACACATCCATTTTCATTCATTGACTTCATCCAAAAAACTTTGGAGTTCACAGTTTACTACACTTTTATGGCAGGCGGCCAGGAATCGTTATTTGAACGCTTCAAAATTCAGTGCCTTAATTTGATAAAACTTATTATGCTTTGTGTAGAGTATAAGCCAGCCAAAAAGATTGCAGAAACCAAGGATCCAAATACACTTCGGGCCCACCAAATCAAGACTTCATTCTTTACTCCAGAAATCTTATCTGCAATCTGCCAAGGTTTAGTGTGTCATTACTTTTTATTAACATCAGAGGATTTACAAATGTGGCATGAAGATCCAGAAACATTTGGTATAATTCATTTCTTTACTTTAATTTACTTTCCATTTTCTCTATTTTATAATTTTATCATGCATTTGTGTCTATTTTTTTTTTTTGTAGCAACTGATGAGAGTGGAGAGTCTTGGAAGTATACTTTGAGGGTAAGTTCTTTTACATTTCCATTCTTCGCAAACCACAACATTTTTTTAAAACATGGTTTGAATATTTGTTAAATGTTTCTTTTCTTTTCCAGCCGTGTACGGAGTCACTATTTGTCACAGTTCTTCATGAGTTTAATACTGTCCTTTCTCCTGTTCTGATGGCTATGCTACAGTCAAATCATGGCCCTGTACCTGAGTCTGATCTCAATGCTATACTCTTAAAGGATGCAATTTATAATGCTGTTGGTCTTGCTGCCTTTGACTTGTATGATGAGGTATGCCAAGGTTGAAGTACAATCTCAATCTGGATATCATTAGAACTGTCTGTAGTATGCTCAAAAAAATCTTTCCTCTTCTAGATTAACTTTGATGAGTGGTTTTTAACCACTCTGCGGCAAGAACTCCAATTACAAGGAGGTCATTCTCGAATTGTTCGGCGAAGAGTTGCCTGGTTGTTGGGGCAGTGGTCGGGTGTTAGATTTTCTGCTGAACTGAGACCAGTGATGTACAGTGCCATGCTGTCACTTCTTCAACCGCATGAAGATTTGGTTGTTCGACTGACTGTTTCACATGCTCTGAAATTGGCCATGGATGATTTTGACTTTAGTACTGATCAGTTTCTGGAGTACCTGGAACCCATTATAGGATTGCTCTTTAACCTGTTAAAAGAATGCAAAGAATGTGACAGCAAGGTAAAAATCATTGCAATATTACGTGAGATAAGAGTCCTAAGACGATAAGTTGTTTAACAGTTTCTTGTCTTTTCAGATGCATGTTTTGTATGTAATGTCGTTTGTTATGGAACGAGTGGGACATCTTATCAGGCCCCATGTCTCCAATCTCATTCAATATTTGCCTTTAGCATGGGAAGAGTCAGCTGAACACAGCATGTTACGTTGTGCTATCGTTTCAACTCTAGTTCAAATTGTAAAGGTAATAAAAAGATCTACTCGAACATGAACGTTTCTTGGCAATGGGTTTCAATGTTTCTGTGATGTTAATCATGTGATCTAAATTCATTTCAGGGTATGGCAGATGATAGCCAAAGACTCCATAGCTTTTTGATGCCAGTCTTAGCACTTTGCACAGACATGCAGCAGGATTCTAATGTGTATTTGATAGAAGATGGTCTTGCCTTGTGGCTAGCTTGTGTTGAGAATGCAACAGACATGACTGACGAGCTGATGCATTTGTATCAGAACATGCCATCCCTTCTTGGTAAGTGTCTTGGCAAGTATGTTCCTGATAGAATTAGAACTTGATGACAAACACTATTTCTTTGTTGCAGAGTCTTCAACTGAAAATCTTCGCATTTGCTTTACTATAACACATGCATATCTTATGTTCTCTCCAGAAAGTTTTCTTAAGGTTTAATTCATTCCAAATTTGTATGTTTGAAATACTATTGATATTTATTGATTATTGACTGGTTATTTTGGATCATTTTATCAGGTTTATGGTGAAAGTCTTTTGAAGACTTGTCAATACATGCTAACAGATTTGCGCTCGGAGGGAATTGTCATCATAATGCGATTTGTTGAACTTTGCTTAAGAACAGCTCCTCAATTGTCTTGTGAGCTGTGGAAACCTATCATTCCACAAATAATGATGTGAGTACTACCTCTCCTCTAAGCCAAAGACAATATAATTTTTTTAAAGCAAGAAGTTGACTTATCGTACCTTATTTTCAGTCTCATTTTCAATGGAGAGGAGTCAACAATTTGCTGTGCGGTATGCACCTGCATTATTGCTCGTGTCCTTTTATGCTCTAAGGATTTATTTAGTCAGGTTTGTGTGTCCTCTCCTTGTTTCTGAAGTTTTGTCACATGTTTGGAACGATTTAGCAATGTTTCATTTTCTAATGTAGATGATAAGAGAAGCTGCACTGCGAATAGGGCAAACAGAAGATCATTTCTTCTCTACAATATTGTTCAATTGGAATAAAAACATGCCTTGTGTCACTGGTATGCCACGTCGTAAAATTCTAGGTTTGGCACTTTCGTCACTGCTTACAGTTCAATCAAGGTAAATGACTCATTAAATTTTGTAAAAAGTAAACACCCTTTTTTGAAAAGTTTTAAACTCTTGTAATTTTTGTTGCAGTATTGTTCTGGATAAATTTAGTGACATTATCCGAAATGTGGTTGAAGCATTAAATGATGTAACAAAACCAGATGAATCGGGTGCTCTTATGGAGTGAGTTTAACACTTTCTACTTTGATGAAGTTATAATCACAGATGTTAATCTGGGTTGTTTTGCTTTTCAGTATTCTGTGTCATTGCCAAAGTTTTCCTTCAAGCCCAACAGAGAGGGAAGTGTTTGAAGATTTTGAAACAGAACATGATCACCGAATGCAAAGGCTCGCGTCACAAGATGTAGTCAACACTGTTGTGCTTGGAGACTATCTCATTGCCCAGGTGTGCATGAGTACCCTTACTTTGATGACCATCATTGACATGTTTTTTTCCCACTGTTTCAGTTTGTTATACTTGTACTGTTTGGTATTTTCAGCTCGATGAACTGAAAGGTCAAGTTGGTCTGGAGCAGCTGCAACAACTTCTCCAAAGCCTAGACAGCGAAACTACAGCAATGCTTGAAGAATACAAGAATTTGAGTGGCAGGGAACCTCGTATTGAGTCTCATTTCACTGATTTGAGAATTTCTTAAACTTGATGCTTTTGTGAAAGCACTTATTTATCATATTTTATGATAGTATTAACTACCAAGTGCAGAGAGATTTTTTTCTCTGCATTGTAGCAGTTGTAAGGAGATGCTGTAGTATATATCACTAACTCTACTTTATTTGCAGTGAAATCTGAGCTGTGAAGATCAAGTCCCTTGACTGTAAATCATGGACTAGTCTATTAAATGACTGAAATATCTTGTGGATGATGTTCTTCAAAAATTAAGTACAAAGCCCTCTCTGTGGATCCTTAAATGAAGTCTTAAATGCATACAAGCAGCTTCGACCTCAAACTCCTTAGGCATTCTTATGTTATTAATTTTCTCTCTCTGTTCCTGTTTCGATTTTCACTGCGTGAATTATGAACAGAAAAATTCTGTTTCTGGCATCTATTGAACCTTATCCTTTATGTACTGGACAATTTAGTGTACTACATGCACAATCAGTAGAGTGAAGAAATTAAGTTGGTCATGCAGATTGTTACATAAATTAATATGTATTTGAAAAATGAAATAATATGTAGAATAGAATGTGACTAGAATGAAATTAAAATAGAACTTAATGTTGACTGTGAATTTTAAGGGGACAATCTACAGGTCTCTAATGTTGCCATGTTCTGTACAGACTATATTTCCAAATTAAATACATCGTAGCCTTTCTTTAAAGCAAAGAGGAAAAGAAAAACTGGATTTACCATTCAGTTATTTAAATGGTGTGTCTTTTCTAAAGTTGCATTAATAGAGTTCGAAAAACTGAATACGACTTGTAGCAGTGCGTAAGGAAACTATTGATTTTAGCTCCATGCTGTAATTTCTTTTCATTTTGGTCAAAATCTACTGGTTTTGGCCTCAATACTTTTGTCCCAAGTTATTTTCAATGTCGCCGAAAAGATTCTACACTTCAATATCAGTTGTCTCATGAAGACATGAATAACTTAGCTTGAGGGAAGTGCCACAGGAAAGGGACGTGTTGCAATCACTTAGTAAATCTTGATCTATAATTTTATAGAATGGAGTTGTGGAAAAGGCTTTTCACAGCACTCCTACCCTGACAGACTGCTGTCCATTTCGCATGGAATTAATTGGTGGTGTAGTGGGCGTTTAATTCTCACTTGGTTGTCTTGTATCTTATCAGGTGAAAATTATCATAGCTTGGGTGTAAATCTGTGATGCCATGATGTTGGATACTTCACTAATTTTTAACCATTTAATATGTTAGTGTGGTAATGTGTTTATAATGACTGAGAAGTCTGATTATTATTTTAATGTGTTAAGCAACAATATTGGCAGACTGATTTCAAAGGTCTGTTCTTGTACAGGAGGAGGAACCATTAGTGGGCCTTAAGGTTTTGGCTCTGCTTTTTCGACTCCGTGGGTCTACTGATGGATCCTCCGTCATTGTTAATTTTTATGTGTTAAGAAATTTCATGCTTATGTTTAAGAGTCAATCCTGTTTCAATGTTGTCGTTAGTATTGTGATCATGATAATTTTTTAGATACCTATTTAGATGCTTTACATTTAAGGTGGGTCTTTTTTTTTCCCATTCCAAGTTCACTGTTACAAATGTGAAAATGATTTTAGAAAGCTGTTCGTTATTTTAATGAATACTACAAAGGTCTATAATCAGTCTATAATCATGTGGTTAGGTCGTACAAAGGTTTCAAATCTAATCAAAAACCCATTTGTTAATGAGGTGATGAACTTACTATTTGAAACTAGTAACAAATGTATGCTGGACTTCATTCATTCAATGTTACAAAGTACTTTTGTGAAATCCTGGAAATGTGGCTATGAATTGAACTCAGCAAGATATCTTGTATGTAAATCAATTCTGAATTATAATTACTTCAATAGTCTCCATTACTGGAACTACATTATTCTTTCATTTGGGCAAGGAAGGCAGGTGATGAGCATGAAAAGGGGAAAGCTCTGAATGAACCTATCTTCTCCTTGTCAACATAATTGTACGATAAGAAGCAACTCTGACAGAAGTAGCAGGGGTCATGTGGTACTCTCAGATTTCCAATAGTTAGCCACCTGTAAACAAAAGCATCCTATTAAGAATGAAAAGGAGGTACCTATGCATGTAAAGGTTCAATTAACTTACTTCGCCACATAGTGCCCACACAGCATACAATAGCGTGAGTTCTGTCTAAAAAGACTCTTCAAAAGTGGGTACTTAGATGATTGCAAAAGATCCGATTGGTGAAGTAAACTGTCAAAATTTATATTAGATCATAAAGATGACAAAGTGTCAACAGGTTGCTACATAAGTTTTGATTTTAGGATTAGCTTACCGTACATCAGAGAAACAGAAAAGATGCTCACAATTTCCTTGATGTTGATACAAATAAGGATAACCCAATTTAACAGTTAGATCAATTATTTTGGTATGCTCCATTTTTGCCTTTTTTCCAAGATTTAAATTTCGTTTCTCAGCCCAGTCTAAAACTTGCTCACTATATTCAATATTAGATGAGCAGCGCATGTCATCATAAAAGGTTTCATTGATATAGAACATGCCAGATTTGTACTTATCCTAGAAGACAAATTCATAAAATTCAATTTACCATCCGACATAATATTATCACATGAAGTAACTGTACCTTTGCTTTTTGAAATGTCGATTGGAATGGATCTGAACTCAAGTCTTGACATATAAGGTTGTCGGCTGCGCAAGCAAAACTATCTTTTAAGTCTGCTAATGTGTTTGAACCTAATGCAATAATCTCCTGACAACCAGCAGCTACCCTGTGGTGGGCTTTCCCAACCTCATGACGAAATGGGGCATACAACCGCACACTGACCAATAATTCACTTCCCGGTTTCAAATCAGGCTTATAGTCAGATGCTGTCTGCAGTTTATCCTGAAAGCATTTATCATGTTGCCTAATCAAAGAAGAATAAGGAAAAAATGTTTTTCCATCATCCTAAAATTTAAATAGAAACTTACCAGCCATTTTGTGCCAGTGTACTTTAAAAATCTTTCATGAATTCTGCCACGAGCTGCAAGCTTATGATGAGTTTCAAACTCAGAATCTTGAGGACAGTTGACCTTCTGGAAACCACACAACGGGGAGTTCACAGAAAATTGGGGTAGTTGGTCAGGAACCTTAAAGTTATCTGCGCTGGAAAGTGGCAAGCATTTTACGATTAAAATAAGGAAAGAGAAAGGAATTCCATGTATGATTTCATTTCGTACAGGAAAACAGTAATGATATACCTGCAGATGATCTCCAAATCCTGGAATTCGGAGTCTGTCAATGTACTGTCCATCACTTCCATCATTGCTTCTCTGTAAATAGCCTGTTCCTTTTTATCTTCAGACCCTTCTACAAAAGGATGATACTGAAGAGAAGCATCGTTAAAGAAATTTCTTAAACAGAGGGGTTCAGATGTATAGTCCAACTGACCACATCCATACACCTTTTCCATTCTTCACTTCGTTTTTACTTTCGATGAGGAAGATTGTTTGATTTGTTAAGTTCACTGAATGTCATTCAATCGGTCACCGGACAGGACCACAGGACACCACAGGACATGTCGTTGTTTGTAGGTTAACGAAAACAAATGACAAAAACAACAACAACACAAAGCAAAAGCAGACAGAGAGAGAGAGAGTGCAGGTACAGCAGACACCTCTCCTGAAAAAGTACGTTCAAATCAAATCAAGTTCAAGAATTCAAGATCGACGGAATCGTGAACCTATTGCATTGTTGCATTTGCCATATACATCCCTTCTGCGTCACTTAACCTTGCAACAATGACTGACAAGGACAGGTTCTATGAGGGTTGTGGGCGCGAAGGCCCAATAAGGTGTATATTTCTTAGCGTATTCCATCCTACTGCTGGTCCTAAAATTGTTTGCCAGGTAATGAGTTGATTCTTGACCATTTACCATTTAAAGTATTTGCCTTGCCTTGTCCTTTGCTGGTGTGATTGGAAAGACGCTACACAATTTTTGTTGTGCAGGTTCCATACAATTATATTTCAAAAGATACGTTTGAATCTGTGAGTGTGTATATCATTCCAAAAGCTCAGCTTCAACGGAGTATGTTGACTGTGTAAGTTCACCAGCGAAATAGGTGTATTTTTCAATTGAAATATTGAAATCGTCTTATGTGGAATATATTTTCTGCAGAACTGTATTAGGCTTCAAGATATTGGGTTTCCCTGTGAAAATTGATGACAAAAAATATGCAAGAAATGCATATTATTTCAATTTATGTTTTGTGTGTGATGCATGGGCTCGCACAGTTCAATATGAGAGTGTTGTGCGGAAGTTTTCTGACTATCTGGTATGTTTTGAAGAAATATTGATATTGCTTTAGTTCAAAAACCTCTTAGGAAGACCAGTCAGTCTCAAATTGAGACGACACATCATCCTCAAATTATGTTTTCCTCTTCAGGTTGCTATGGAAGTTGAAAGCAGCTTTCTCTCTCTTCAGCAAGATCATAGCAGTGAGAATGCTCGATTACCTAAAATGTTGCGACAAGTAATGCAAGATTTAAACTCTCATAAAATGTGTACACTCACTGGTAGGGCTTTTAAGTTGTTTTTATATTTATTTTAAAGTCAAAATTATTTTTAATAATAATACTTTTATTTTTTAATACAGAAGGAACAATGACCACCCATTTTAAGGTGGTTCGCATTTTACAAGACCCACCACCTGTTTTAGACCATCATGTGCCAATTTTTACTGAGAGTCCAGACCTTTTCCAAGCAGAGCAGTGGGACCTGACAACGCAGAAAGTAAGTCATTCTCTTCTTCTGAAAAATATTCCCAAAAGACAAATTTTATGACAATTTAATATGGGTGTTTTCTTACCTTTTGTTTTTAGGTCCTTCCCTACATCGATGGTTTTAACCATGTTGCAAAGATAGCAGCTGAAGCTGATGTTGAAAATAATTTAGTGAAAGCATGTTTGCAAAACTTGGTGTAAGGGATACAATTGTTTGTAAAATACAAATTCAGCATTTAGTCAAATCTGCTCAAGCGGCATTGACATTATCACGGGACATCAGTAGGAATAATTAATATTGTTGTTTTCTGCCCTTCTAGTTATTATGGTGTTGTCTCTATGATACATATATTTCAATATTCAAATGTATATGCTACCACTCCTAAAATACGAAAGTTGGCAGAAGATAGACGCCTTCAGGATGAGTGCGTAAGATATGTTGCTCGTTGTGCTAGGCAGCCACCAACTTTCAGAGATGTTTTCCGTGTGTTTTGTTCAATGACCCGAGGAACTACAGTCCGAGATTTGTGTATCAGACTGAGCCCTCACACATTGAGAATCAATGAAAGGAAGTTGGTCCAATTTGGGCTCCTGGAGGGATTCATTCGAAGAATTCACAAGGTAAAAATATGCTTCTCAAGTAAAGTTTTCATCTTAAAAAGAAATGACACAATCCCTAAAAATTATGTTTCAATTTTCAACTTGAAGGGAAATGACCTAATCCCTAAGAATTATGTTTCAGTTTCCTGTTGGTAATGTGGAGAAGCCTGACCTTCAACCAACTGCTCCTCAGTCCTTCAATGGTCTCCTTTCTATGGATGAGTATTGCTGTCAGTACTCATTGACCACTCAGAAGTTGGAAGAGCTGATTGATCGGGAACCAAATATTATGGTCATATGGAAATAACATGTAATTCACATAAAATCTCAAGCATACATAAATTTATTTTTTTATACTGAGATAATTTAAAATCAGCTAAAACATATTACATAATTTTTTAAAATTCGGAGCTTAATGTTATAACGAAACAATAAAGAAAATTCATCCAGTATTTTTCTTGACCCAACAACCCCATTCTGTTGTGTGAGCTATCTTAGTGTTGTGCCCAAAGAGTAACCTAGGAAAGGTTGCATGGGCCCGCAAACTAAGACGGCTCTCGTTTAGGCGGAGCACTGCCAGTGACCAGTTTGGCATACTTAACTTCAATCCTTCACAGAAGACCTTTTTAAATGGCAATGAGAGAATACACTGTTAAAGACAAATTGAAAAAGGAAATACGGAAACCTCAACAACACTTGTTTCAAAACTAAAGGGATGGAATCACATACTAGAAAACACCACATCTTGTTTTTTAAAAAAAATTAAGTTGCTCAGATATTTGTACAACCCACATAAAGTTGAAAATTTTTCAAAAGAAATTGCAAGAAAAAAATGGAGGACACAGGAAATGGCTGAGGAATGGCAGGCGCAGGATGAGAACCATTTCTATGTGCTATGTCTAAATCAAATTTTGACAGTTAAACAATTATCATTGCGATACAGAGCTTGCACAGATATTTGAAAAGTACTTACTACCTCTATAAATCGTTAAAACAAAGTCTATAACTGGACTGGGAGTCACAAAACTAAAAAGGTAATATCACATGAAGTTAAATCTTATTTAGACATACTCCTGTATCTAACATAAATCACAAATAACCAGAGCTACTAGATGCAGTGACTGAACCTCATCCTTAATAAGAACATATTTTAATCTGGAAAATTGACAGTAGTTTAAAGTACCTTGGAACAGTTAAACCCAAAGAAAGATTGCATTGAAATACATTTTAAATTAAAACAATGATCCTTTTTTTATTTTGAAAAGAACACAACTCTTTGATGAGAAGGTTGAGATCAACCTGTAAAGGTTATAATCATTCTGACACAATAGCTCTAACTGTATTAGATCATTTGGTTGGTTTAACAACAAAAATTATCACAATGATACTGCATGAGTGATGATGCATGACTTACTTATCCATTTGTAGAAACACGCTACAATATAGAATGCCACCAGATTAATCATAATATAGCATTACAGACAATACAATATCTTGTTTCCCAATTACTAAGCAACAAGCAGTCAGTCAAATATTTAAATAAGGCGCCATAAATAGAATCAACAGTCAGTAACACAATCAGACAGTGAGTGAGTAGGAGACATAGGTCCTTAAAGGTTCTGAACTTTCACAGCATTGACTCTGATAAATTTCTACTCATTATTAAAATCTACTTGAAAACACCTAATGCTTCAGTCTGGAATAGAAGGAGGTTCATTGCTGAAGTAAGGAGCAGTGCTTGGTACAAGGAGAGTGTGGCAGACATCACACACTCTACTTAGGCGCTGTTGAGGACCACTTGGGACCTTATGAGATAAACAATTGTAACAAAATATGCGCCCACAATGACGACAATGTTGCTGAAATTAAAAACAAACACAGTTTAGCAATACTGCCATAACAATGGCAAAAATAATTGTATATTTGAAAGATACCTTTCGTGAAGCTGATCCCAAAGCATTATGACATGAAGGACATTCTTCAACATCCTCTTCATGTTGCCATCGGACTTGAGTGTTAGGCTGTCGGAAACCTTCTAATTGAACTTGGAGAGATTGTGAAAGTCGAACAAAATCTTTTTGGACCTGTTCGCTCATGTCTAGATCATGCTGCAATGAGGTAATTCGATTTTGTTGCTTTTTAGCAGTCTCTTCTAAGTGTTCCTACAAGTTAATAGGAAAAAATAAAAATAGATTTCAAGATAACAACCACTTTTAGATGCATCTTTTAGTCTTGTTTACGAACTTACATTGTTCTGAAGAGCTTTCTCCAATTTCAATTTTAAATCTTCCACTTGTTCTAATGCCTTGCGTTCCGCAATCTGTAGGTTGTGAATACGCTGTTTATCAACTTCACTTTTCTGGACTATTTTCCTAGTTGACAAGGGTTGAAAGTGAACAAGCAAATGCATTAGTCAGAGGGCTTGCAATAAATGACATGATAAGTTGGTCAATATGACTCACTGAAGATGCTGCTTCTCCTGTTCCAAACGAACAGAATCATTTTGCAACAGTTGTAACTCTTCCCGTAGCAAATCAGCTTCACTCTGTTGAGTTTCAGCACAGACTTTAGCAGAAATAAGCTCTTCGTGTCTTTGAAGTAATAACTCTTGCAAGGCCTTATAGAAACATTGCGGAAAAAAGAAGGAAATATGATACAAATATTAGAATCTTTAACAGACGTCGGTGTAAGAATTTATGGACCAGAGCGTTTCTCACCTCCACACTATCAGGAAGATTGATAACCTGGTTTTGAAGGCTCTGACTGTGTTCTGTATGTTTACCTACTAGCTTCTCATTTTCAGCCTGAAGCCTATGAAGATATGGACCAATTAATAGTCTGCAGTTATCAGACCTACTTATTAAACAAAATATAATAAAATAACAAAAAAGGAGGAAACAAACCTATCAATTTCTTTCTTAATGGCAAGACGCTCTGGTTCTAATCGAGATATCTGTTGGGTGACAGTCTGGTATGTTCTCATGTATTCTTGTTGCAAATCATGAAGGTTACTTTCTGCAGAAGCAATCTTCTTCTGCAGTTCTACCACCTGGAAATGATACGTTGATTGAAGACACATTTGAATTCAGAAAGACCTGTCATTGTTCTTGAACAAATTATAAGTCACAGGAAAAAACATAAGCACCAAACATTGCTGAAACAAGGACCAACAGTGCCCGTTAACGGCTCTCATAATAAAATGATACCTGAACTTTGTGCTGTTCCTTTTTTTCATTCCACTTCACTTCCATTTCCTGCCGAAAATCGTGCTCCCTTGCCAAGTCATCTTTAGCTCGTTGCAAGTTTCTCTCTGCTAGCTCCGAAGACTTCTCTAATTCTTTAGCTTTTTGTTGCGCCTTTTGAAGACCAGCTTCATAATTTTGACACATGTTACAAGAGGTCAATGATATTGGAGCTGTTGCTGAGCCACCACTTAAGAATACTTCCAGATCTTTACCAGATGACTCTTCTGAAAAAAAAAAAAAAGAAAACCCTATAAGGAAAACAGTTTAAAATATTTTGTAAACTGTCAAATGATGTTCAAGTAATCACCAATAGAAGTGATTTGTTTTCCAAAACTGCGTGTTTCCTCACTAGCTGGGGGTGATATCATTAAAAGTGATTCTTGTTGAACATTACCTACAGACAAAGCCAAGCAAAAGAAAGTTAGAGACTGTGGCAGTCCCAAAACTATCCCAAGATGTATATGACACTAAACACTTACTCGGAATGGATACAGATTCATTGGCATCGGTAGCTTTCCTGCTGGAGACACCCTCTTGGTGAAGACCCTGCTGATTGAACAAATTATAAACTAATCTGAATCAGGATACATAACACAATTAATGAAGTTTCTAAGCTTGAGGACTAAAGCTTTACCGAATATTTTTGAAGCTCTTCATGTGCCTCACGTAGTTTTTCTTTCAAGGCTTCTATCTCCTCTTCTAGTGGAATTACTAAAGAACGAAGTACTTCAGCATCTTCCTGAGCCTTTAAACAAATAAAAATACAGTTGCTTAAAATAATTGACGAAAAAACAGAACACCCCAAGTGTATAAAAACTTCAAACAAGATTATTTCAAACCAAAATTTTCTACAGTACAAATTTTTTTATGACTTATTTGACAAGCAAGTAGTTTTAGTAGTTTTAATTATCAAAATGAAATACAGACGTCTCATCATATTTTATACTCACCGTACATATCAATACATGCACATATTCAAAATTCTACTAATCAGATGTGAGACTTGGCCCTTAAAGCCACTATATAATGACATTAGTCATCAAGAAAAGAAGAGGGGAAAATATGCAGTCTACAGAATGGCAAACTTATCTACTGCTCAATGATGACATGATACATTGAAATCGCAAAATTATTTGAGGCACCAACCATAATTAGTTAAGCGAAAGGGCAAAAAGCTCTAAGAAAATTCTGAGCATAATATTAATGCATACTTCACACCATGCTGTAAGCTTAAATATAATGTTTGCGCAGAGATATTCATGAGGGGTCTTACTTGATACGTACATATTTGTTTACCTTTCTCATACTGTCTTCAAGACTATCTTTGCCAGAAGAAGAATCTGCACCTAATTCACTCAATACTTTTCTAGCAAATGTTTTGGTAGCCTGTGTGATTATTTGTATAGGGGGAGGATCAGATTTGTCTCGTTCATTGTGACGATCATCAATTGAATTGACCACAGGTTTTCGACATTCTGCCAGTTCTGCTTCAAGACGTTCATTAACAGCTTGAAGATGCTTCAATTCATGCTCCATGCGACTTTGGGAGCTGGTGGACTCATCTACAGTTTCTGAAATGAACAAACAACATCTTGAGCGTCCTCAAAACGAATTCCCCAGAAAATCAAACATAACAGAACATCTTTCAACTCACCATGTAGTAGATGTTCTAAACTTGCAATTTGTTCGAAACATTTACGCTTTTCTTCTTCAAGATCACTTTTGGAATTTAAATCCATGACTGCTAGTTTGCGCCTCAACTCATCCATTTCCGATTGCAACCGAACTTTTTCAGCTGAGATAATCGAAAATCACAGTATCAAACATTAAACACCACTAGAGGCAAATTCTTATCAAAACTTTACAGAAAAATAGAGTTGATTTTACCTTCAGTTTGAAGCATAAGGCTCTTCATCTTAGCACGTTGAGACCCAAAGTCCTTTTTCTCAGTCTCCAATTCAAGGATTCTTTGTTGCAGCTGCAGCACCCGATCATCATGATCTCCCGCTAAAATTAAGAAAATCAGAGTTAATTTTTCTACAGAGTGGTCAAAGACAGGGCTTGTGAGTCATGCCCGTAAATTAAAGACTAGCCACACCTAATTTTGACAGCCCAAATGGGGCACCAACGCAATATCTCACCTGAATCCATTTCACTTGAGCCAACAGTGGCAGTAGAATTGGGTTCACCAGATTCACACATTTTACAAATGGAACAGAGAAGCAACTACCGAGAAAAGCATAGGTAATGCCATGAGAAAGGGCCCCTGTGTTCTGTTCAGTAAACACCTTAACCTTAGACCTGCCCAATCAGTGGCAGTGGAATTCTTTTAATGTTGTTTCAAGCGACATGATTTGGCAAACATGATACTTAAGTAATCAGTGTCAGATAAAATCATATCAAACCCCTTATATTAAAAAATCAGTCCAAATTGGTAGAAATATTTGATAGAACTCTCTCCAGCAGAGGAAACTATCATCTGACGACGACGATGATAAGTGACAGACAGACAGATCCCCTCAGTTACTCGTGCAGTCTCTCTGAGGCAAGCAGCCCCAAGATGTGGAAGATGTGAAAATATTAAAATGTTCTTATTCGATTAAAAGAGATCACAACACATCAGAATATTTGAGGTTTTAATCCGCGAACATAAACGACTCCGCATATGCCCTGCTCCTCTCTCTTCCATGACGTTATCCGCACGGAGACTGCAAATAACGACACCATACACTTTAACCTTAAATTTCACGTTGTAGAAAAGGGAAGGCATGGTGCATAAATTTCTAAAGATTGCAAGGTTTTGAAGGACATTAAAAATGCCTGAGGTGCCTTCCTTGAAAAATTTGTACAGTGGCTTTGGGAAGATTCCAGAAAAGCAAAACAAGGTACACTCCTCCGTAAATTTTCATTAATCTGAATTGTTCTCAGATCATAGGTGTAGTGTGTTGTTATGTGGAAGGAAAACAAATAATACCACTTTTGGTTTTTATAGTTTTTACAGACCCTCGGACAACCTCACATAGATTCGTTTAATTTTATGCTAAAGTCAGGCTTAGATCTTGCTGTTAATGATTTAGTACCAGTGGAGTTCCAACTTGAAGGTGGAGATGTTATCAAGCTGAGTATTGAGGTTCGTTATTGTAATCAGCGTAAAAAGATTTATTAAATAAAAGAATGCAATCGCTCTTAAAAAATGTTTTCTGCAGGGGTGTAAAATATTGATGCCTGCTGTCCCCTCTGGAACTATTGGTGTGAAGTCTACTCAAATCTATCCAACGGAATGTCGTCAGAGTGCTACCACATACAAGGGACGTGTTGTAGGCCATCTCAAGTGGTGGATAAATGGCCAGGAACAAAGTCCCATCAAGAAAGATTTTGGGGAAATTCCAATCATGCTTAAGGTATGGAGTATGCAAAGAATTTTAATTTTTGCTAGTTCCTTTTTGTGTCTAATGCGCTTTTTGGGGACTTTTCTGTTTAGTCTGATGCTTGTCATCTTTCCAAAATGTCTCCAAAAGAGTTGATTTCCCACAAAGAGCATGAAAATGAGTGGGGTGGATATTTTATTGTGAAAGGTCATGAAAGATTGATCCGAATGCTCCTGCAGCAAAGGAGAAACTATCCCATTGCAGTCACCCGCTCAACTTGGCGGGCGAAAGATGCCTGTTTTTCTGATATGGGTATTTTGCTCAAGAGTGTCAGGGAGGATGAAAGTAGTAATGTATGTTAATTTCTTACAAAATACCATGTTTTTAATATAATTTTAAGAATTGAAAAAAAATCCTTGCACTGACATTTAAATGTTTTTTCCCTTTTCTAGAACAATGCGTTGCATTATGTTACTGATGGAACTGCAAAGTTACGAATTGCTCTCAGACGTAATCTGTATTACATCCCTGTTGTCCTTATCATAAAGTGCCTGGCAGATGTCACTGATGAATTTATTTATGATCAAATAATGGCAGGGCATGAGGATGACTTATACTTTAAGGGTTGTGTTTTGAACATGCTTCGTCAAGTTCATGATAGCAATGTACACACACATGCTGATGCTGTCAAATATTTTGGGAGCAACTTTCGTGTTCGTCTTCTTTATGATCTTCCTGCTTGGTCCACTGACCAAGCAATTACGGAGCATGTGTTAAGGTTTGTAACAACTCCTTGCTTTTGCATCACTTATGCGTGGAAATATTTCATTTTGACTTAAAAGAACTTTAAAATAAAAATTTATTCATGCCTTGAATTTGCAGGAAAACTGTCTGCATTCACCTAGATGACAATATGGACAAAGTTAACTTGCTTGTTATGATGATTCAGAAACTACTCACTTTTGCTCAGGGCAAATGCAGAGCTGAGGGAGTAGATGGCGTAATGATGCAAGAAATTCTTCTTGGTGGTCATGTTTATTTACAGCTCTTAAAAGAACGCCTTCAAGGATCTCTGTCAAACCTAAGGTTAAATATTGAAAAAAGAGACTTATCTAAAGCTGGCCTAAAACTTACTGCTGGTAAGCTAAAAATTAAACAGCAGGGCTTTTTTGTTTAGTCTTTCAGTTATGTTCTCATTTTACCTGAAAATATTTATACTTCCCTCAGCTGAGCTTCAAAATCAATTCCGGAAGGTATCAACTTTGGAAAGTAGCATATCAACATTTCTTGCTACTGGCAACATACCTCTGAGTGGTTTAAATCTCCCGCAAGACAAAGGTATTGAGCAATGGAACAAAGAATGATTCATTTTTTATCTAAATTTAAAAAAATAAATACTGGTATTTTTAGGACTGACAATTGTTGTCGAAAATATTAACAGAATGCGATACATGTCCCATTTTCGGGCTGTTCACCGAGGCTCCTTCTTCCAAGAAATGCGTACTACAGAAGCTCGACAGTTGCTGCCTGATGCTTGGGGCTTTATTTGCCCAGTACACACTCCAGATGGAACTCCCTGTGGTTTACTTAACCATCTTTCCAGAGACACTGAGGTTAGTGCCCAAGTCAACATCAGAGAATTCAAGGAAACTTTTCTACGTTTTTTCTTGTTATTTGCTGTGTCTCCTTTAAATCAGGTAACAAGAAACCCAGATCCTGCTCTTGTGAAGAATATACCAACAATTCTCTCCAGCTTGGGAATGCTCCCTCTGCACTCTCCAGTGGCTCAAGCAACAGCACTAACAGAATGTTCTGTTGTAATGCTTGATGGTAGAGTTCTTGGACATGTTCATCAAAATGCAATTGGTAGACTTGTAGATAAGCTCAGAGTTCTAAAGATCAAAGGTGAAAAGGTTTGTTATCCTGTTGGTGTCCTTTGTATGCTTGTTACAGTGGTTTTTAAATGGTTGATGTAATTTTCCTCTCTAATTGCAGGTGCCAAACACTCTGGAGATAGCTCATGTACCTATGAAATCATGCAAAGGAACTCAATATCCCGGACTTTTCTTGTTTACCGGCCCTGCACGAATGATGCGACCTGTCATTAATTTGGCTTGTAAACAGGTTGAACTCATTGGAACTTTTGAACAAGTTTACTTAGATGTATGCATCACACCTGCGGAAGCATACAAAGGTCGCACAACACACATGGAAATTTCAAAAACAGCCTTTCTCAGCAACTTAGCATGTCTGATCCCTATGCCTGACTTGAATCAGAGTCCCAGAAACATGTACCAGTGTCAGATGGGTAAACAAACCATGGGAACTCCATGTCACACCTTTGATATACAAGCCGAAACTAAATTGTATCGTCTCCAGACCCCTACTTCTCCACTCTTTAGGCCTTCACATTATGATGAGGTCAGCTTGGATGACTATGGCATGGGAACAAATGCAATTGTTGCTGTTATTTCATACACTGTAAGTAGTCGAGTTTTAATATTATTATTGAAAAATCATTCATTTTAAAAGTTTAAACCAAATAAAAAAAGAATTTTTTTTAAATGTAGGGGTATGATATGGAAGATGCTATGATTGTGAACAAGGCCTCTCTGGAGCGAGGGTTGGCAGCAGGTTCCATGATAAAGACTGATTTTTATGAGCTTCCTACTGTGAGTAAATTTGTTCCTTTTTGTTACCGGTGTCTTTAATCTTTGAAACTCATCTATTTATTTTTGTTTTACAGTCAGATTCATATTTTGCAAGAGACCCTGACAATAAAGAATTACCTAAATATCTTGATGCTGATGGCTTGGTATACCCTGGTACTCGCCTAACAGCATTCACCCCTATTTGCTGGTAAGGTTCTTTTTCTTTAGAATTAAATTGACTTAAACAATTATCTTGAAATAATCATCTGTAAATGTAACCAAAGCATGGAAGTCAAATTTCAATTTATTTCAATTTCAGCTATTATGATAATGAAAAGAAAGACTTTCATATTGTTTATTATAAAAGTAAAGAAGAAGGTTGGGTGCAGTCTGTGAGACAATGCGGATCAATGTCAAGCAGTCAACCAGCAAAAGCCAACATCAATTACACAGTTCAGGTATTTAAGTTTTGCTTTACTCATCTACACAAAATTGCCAGGTTGTAATTTTTTTAGTATCATATGTGTTCTTTAACTTTCAGAGAAATCCATCTGTAGGTGACAAATTCGCTAGTCGAGCTGGTCAGAAGGGTATCTTAAGTGCCAAGTGGCCTTCAGAGGATTTACCATTCACAGAAAGTGGCCTGGTACCAGACATTGTGTTCAACCCTCATGGTTTTCCCTCTCGAATGACTATTGGTTAGTTTTTGTTGTTTGACTCTTTCCAGCACATGTAGCTTTGGTTCACCTTCACTTTAAAGCACCTTTTTCACTTTTCAGCCATGATGGTGGAGATTATGGCAGGTAAAGCAGCAGCAGTACATGGGTTTGTCCAGGATGCCACACCATTCCGCTTTACAGAAGATGACACTGCTATTGACTATTGCGGTAGGCTTCTGGAAGCTGGTCAGTATCATTGTAAACTTTTTATTGTTCTGTCTATGCAAAAGAATTTTTTAACATTAGGCTTTCTTTTTAGCTGGCTATAATTACTACGGAACTGAGAAAATGTACAGTGGCATTGACGGTAGGGAAATGAATGCATCCATCTTTTTTGGAGTTGTTCATTATCAAAGACTTCGTCACATGGTCTCCGACAAATGGCAGGTAAGAACTTTTTCTGTTTCAAAATTTTCTCTTCCGTCAATCTATTAGTAAGATGGTGATGTCTTTTATCTTTGAGCTGAGAAAGGGCTTTGGGTATTCATAAATATTGTATATGTTTTTGTTTTGCAGGTCAGAAGTACAGGACCTGTAGATGCAGTTACTCATCAACCTGTCAAAGGTCGCAGAAGAGGTGGTGGCGTTCGGTTCGGAGAGATGGAACGTGACGGATTGCTGTCTCATGGAGCATCATTCTTGCTACAAGACAGATTGTTTCATTGTTCTGACAAGGCTAAGGTGAGTAGTTAGTTGGCAACCTGAAGTCTCTTGCTCAGCTTGATACTCCTTTAACATGATGTATTTTGTTTTCAGCACAAAGTTTGTCGCATCTGTGGAACATTGCTGGGGCCTTACTTTGGACTGTCTGACGCTGCAGCCTCTGGAAGAGTGCTGCGTTGCCGCTTGTGTGAAGATAAGGGTGATGTGGCTACTGTAGAAATCCCACACATCTACAAGTATTTGGTTGCTCAAATGGTATCAATGAATATAAATTTAAAAATGGAGTTGAGTGAAGAAAAATAAACAGCTAGAAAAATAGTGCAAATAATGAAATTAAGTGGAATGGAAATAAAACTATTCATTGATGATTTTATTGTATTTCTCAGAAAGAAACATCCATCAATCATACAGTAGCTATCTGCCTGCAGAATTACAACTGCTCATGTACATTTCTTTGAAGAGATTACACATATTTGGTAAGACTGCCTGTACACCAGGGCCTGTACATGAATTGGCTCAGCCAAGATCATTTGTACAACTAAGATTAATTTCAAGACACACAATGTGCAAATACTTCCACGGCCATTCATTCACAATATCAACTGGCAGACCACAATTAACAATGTCCATGGTCTCAGAATCGTCAATGAGCCAAATGACCAGGATGAATTCAATTACTAAGAAATAAATAACAATGAGTTTAAAGTAATTAAAAATCTACTTGGTTGCCTCTTGTAAATAAGCAATGATGTCAGCACGCTCCTGGGGCTTCTTAAGACCAGCAAACACCATCTTGGTGCCAGGAATGTACTTTTTGGGGTTCTCCAGGTACTCGAACAGTGTGTCAGCGTTCCAGGTAATACCTACAGAAAGAACAAGACTTATTAGCTTATGGGTACACAGAAGGAACACTCCACTGGTAGCTTTTGTATTAGAAGCAAGAGATTTCTTTTGATTGACTCACCCTTCTCCTTGTTGGCATCTGTGTAGGGGAAGCCAGCAGCTTGGCCAGTCTTGCGGCCAATGAGACCATTCAGGTTGGGTCCAACCTTGTGCTTGCCTCCCTTCTCAACTGTGTGGCACTGTGCGCATCTCTGCACAAACAGCTAAAGGAGAGAAAAGAACCCATTAGTATATCACACCTGCACCTGTTATAACGGCTATGAAGTCAGAATGACAGGACCCATCTGAAAAGACAGTAATACACAGAGCAAAAGCACTGTCAGAATGGTAGAGGGAACTTGAAAGGTAAAAACAGTCTCACTGCACTATAAGTTGCAGGAGATGGGGAATGTTCTAGAGGTCAGACTGACAGAAGTGCTGATTAGGGGTCACATTCCATTCCACAGTATCCACTTACCTTCTTGCCAACCTCAGCGTTGCCAGCGGGAACACCCATTGTTATGTTACAGGTAGACGCAAATCTGGAAGGGAAGACCACTGTTGATGAACAGCAACTATCACTCCTTAACTTCGAACTAACTGCACGCGCCAAGCTCTAGCACACTGCTAGAAGCCTCCCTCGCACCCGTCTCGTTGGACCAATGCCAAAGTTGCGTCAGCTCCAAGGATCAGTCTCTAAATTTAAATTCCCCCACAGACTGAACCCGCCTATCAAAAGGGCTTGTCCTGAGAAAAGGAGGACGATATGCGTTCACTGAACCAATGTCACACAGGACTTAGGACTTACACCACGTTATAACTAACCAATCAAGGCCAAGGGCGACAGTCAAGTAGCAAAGTCCTACCATTTTCAGAATATTACATTGAACCAAAACGAAATTGGATAAGTTGAAAGTGAAAGCAAATTTCGCGTCAAAATAGACGAGAATAAGACAGCTCAAAAGAGAATATAAAGGTTTAGGTACTAAAAATTACCTGCGAAGGAGTCAGACGACTGACGGCTACTCGTGAGAACACGGGTTGGAAAGACGGATGAGAAAACTGGGTTGCGGATCGATAAAAGTTCAACGGGTCACATGACTGAGTATAGTCTCTTTTAAGGAGCTCTACTCTAGTTTCTAGACTCTACTGGAAGCGTAGCACGTGGTGATTTAGCACACTTATGCTGAATATTGGCGAAACGCCTTAGTTTCTTATAAATTTAATATTGAAAAGCTATCAAGATTATTTGGGAAATGTGAATTCTTCTTATACGCCTATTTCGTCTGCTTTCGCTCCCACAATGCAACGGGTTTCGGACCGGGGCTATGAAAACTATAGCGGCCAAAACTTTGTGAAGAGAAATATACGTTGTGTTGTGTTGTTTTGAATTGTTTGAATGTGATGTTTGGAAGGGGTGCAGTGCTGTTGCTGTCCCATCGCTTCAATGGAAAAGGATCGAGTGGGATGTAAACTTCCCAACGGGTTTTGGTAAATCCTTATCAAGAAATAGATGAAGATGACACCTTGAAAATGTCTTCTAACGATTATCAGATGAGAGGTTCATCCATGCTAATCATAGGTTACCACATTTCTGTCAATGGCTTTTCTATTTTATTACTTCTTTTTTCCACTGCAAATGGAAATGTAATTATATTATTTATCTTTGGTCCCTTTAGGTGTCCTTGTGGGTATTTTGCATTATTACCATGTGAAATCACTTTATGAAAATGATCGTCACTTCTCTCATCTATCAAGCATTGAGCGAGAGATGTGTTTTCGTTCTGAGATGGTACATTTGCAATTCTTTTCCACTTTGACTTTTATTGTGTCATCTAAATTGATATGTCATTAACAACTTTACTTGTTTTAGGGCCTGTACTATTCATTTTATAAGAGAATAGTTACATCTCATTCCTTCAAAGATGGTTTATATAAATTGACACATGACAATTTGACCGAGTACCCAGATACCATCAATGCCTTGCATAAATTCAATATTTACCCCGAGGTAACTATTTTTTCAATTTGAATAATTGCCTTGCCCTTTCTGCTATGGTGCAAACTTTGATTCTTTGTCACATAGGCCATGATTGGTGGCTTGTGGAGGATTTACCATCTGGGTGTCAAAACATTTGGCTTGAATGGAAAGCAGTGTTACATGATTCACCGAGGGGAAGGCTTGCCACCAGTAGAGAGTTGTGAAGGCTTTGGAGAACCGATATTGTTTTATTTGGAAGTTGTATGGATGTTTGCTGGCATTACAGCTTTCGTTCTATACTATTTTGGATCTCATTTAAGGTTTGTGTCACTCAAATATTATTCCAGATTTTAACTGCATACTCTTACTCAACTTATTAAGTTTGTTTGCATCTCAGGTTACAATAAAATTATATGTACATTGCATACGTTCTTCCTTACTGCACTCAATTTTCAGATTTTACGTAGAAAATTGTCAATGTATGATTTTTTTAAATTGCAGTGGATCTCAAATTGGTGGATGCCTAACCATTCTATCTTTCTTCATAAACCATACTGAGGTCTGTTTTGAATTCTGGTGTGAGAAAATGTTATTCGGAAATTATTCTGTCTCTTCCAATTAATGGTCTTGTCTTTCTTGTATGGCAGAGCACTCGAGTTCAGTGGACACCACCTTTACGTGAAAGCTTTGCCTATCCATTCATTTTACTTCACTGCGCCCTAATTAGTTCAATCTTACAAGATTCTAGAAAGACAATGCCAAGGCCAAGTTTTTGGAAGGTTGGTCATGATTACTAACTTATGTAATGATCTGATGCTGGACAAATAATGACAACAAATTGGTTTCTCATATTCTATTTTTCAGGGATTAATGTCTTTATTCAGTTCATTTGTTAGTCTCCTATTTTGGCAATTCTCGCAATTTATATTAACCTGTGAAATTGCCATTTTAATTGCAATATATGCTTTTGGATTTATTAAAAGACACTGTTTGTCCCAAATCCTGGCTTGGATTTCTGTAAGTATGTCCTAAATGAACCTTCAGAATGGGTTTTGTTGGTGTATTGTGTGTCTTATGCGGCTTGTTGTCCCTCCAGGCTGGCTTCCTCTTAGCACTCGTTGGGCTGGGAGGAAATTCACTGTTATGTTTTTCTTTTCTGTCCGCAATTCTTACATCAGCTTGGGTACTTTTAATATGTGATGGGAGTGTAAATAGCTTGGGATTTGCCTGGACAAGTGTGCTCAAGATTATTAGCATAATTGCATTTGCAATTGTTCTGAAACTTGTATTTCCTAGCACTGGTAATGATGTGAGTCACATTTAGTTTATTTTTGAGATGGTTACACTCAGTTTTTGGTTTCAAATTTGTGTTTATGGCAACTAATTTCTTTCAGTCACACATTGTAAAGATTTTTCTGAGTAAAATATTCCCACACTCAGACAATTTCCACACACTTATGTACACCTGTGCTCCAGAATTTCAAAGATTACCTTGGTCTTATGGTGTGGGCCTCATGAAATCCCTCCTTCTTCCACTTGTCCTGATAGCATTGTTGTTGGTGTTTTGGAACCCGACTTTCCACATTTTGGCCGTCCTCAGGTATTCTGTATAGTTGATTACTTTTTGTATCTGGATTTCCATTTCTTACTAATGTGTGTAACTTTTTTTTTTTTTTAAATTTTTTAGAGAACATTTTAGAAAGAAACTGTTGTTTCCTAGATACCAAAACGCATTGCAATTAAATGACGTAGTGAAATTGGTTGAACCAGCCATAGTGTTCAACACTTGCCTTCTTATCGCTTTCTTTGTTTTATCCATGATGGCAATGCGCTTGAAATTGTTTCTAACTCCTCAAATGTGTGTTTTAGTTTCCCTCATTGCATCAAAAGAGGTAAGATTGATTAATGTATCAGGTTGGCTTGTTAGTCTGAAACATGTTGTAAATAGGTGTCTGGTTACTTACAGTCAGTAAACTCCATCCAAATTTTAAGAGAGAAAAAAAGTTTGGAGTATCTTACATTGCTGATAATCTTTTGTGCAATTTACCTGTCAGGAATAGATAATATCAAAAGACAGCGTAGCATTGAGGGTACGTTAAATCAAACAAATTACTTTCCCTTTTAGTTTTGTAAATTCTTTAGTGTTTTTAAATTAATTTGTAAGCTTTAAATTTTTAAAATGAATTTGCCACAGGAGAGTATTCAAATTACCCTCTGGAGGAACTCCTCACATGGGTGCAAATGAAAACTAAATCAAGTGATGTGTTTGCTGGTCCTATGCCTGTAATGGCAAGTATTCTTCTATCAACGGGGCGTCCGATAGTAAATCACCCGTACTATGAGGATGAAGCTATGAGGTAATTAAAATATTGTTTATGAATGGAGCTCTAGAAGTTTCTGATTGTGTTATACATCAGACTGATTAATTTGCAGAAATCGCACTTTGTTAGTGTACTCTCTGTTCAGTCGGAAGACTCCATCTGAAGCATTTGAATCTATTAAGCGTTTAGGTGCAAACTTTGCTGTTCTGGAGGCTAATAAGTGCTTTGATCACATGCAACCAAGGTATGAGTTAACTTTGTTTATACTCTAAGTTGCATAAAACAACTTTTAGTTATTTAACTTGAACTGTTTTTGTGTAAATTCTAGAAAAGGATGCAAGATGACAGACCTATGGGACATTGAAGATCCAATGAACACCAAGAGGCCTCCACTCTGCCCCACTTTGTTCAGCAATGATGCTTCTCCCTTTGAACGTGTTTTCTTCAATGCAGAATATGTTGTCCTGAAAGTAGGCCTCAGGTAATATAGTATAGTAAATTTAAGATGATCCAAAAAAAGTGTTTGCAACAGTATTATTTTTCCAAAATACCAATTGTATCTTAGTCAGATTTGAAACAAAAATAAACTTCAACGTAGAGGTTTCCAGCACCAATAGTAAAAAAATTACAGTTGTGGACCTTTCTTCCCTTACTTCACTCTTGGGTGTTTTGGCTCTAGACTCCCTCCCCTTTGGCCGACTATCGGCGTCCATCGGCCGGTCTGAGGCTGTCGCCATGGCGTGCCCTGCCCTGTCTGCCGCGCTGCGAGTTGATTCCTGCTACTGCTTTCATTGGTCGCTCTGTCTCTCCCGCACTCATGGGGCGTTCCGTAGGGAGCAGGGGTGCGAGAGAGACTAAACACTGAAGCACTGTTCGAAATCAGCCTACCGACCCGCGGGCCCCTAGCGGGCCCGAGCGCCCCTTGCCCCAAGGATGCGAGGGGAGGGGCGCGGCGCGAAGTAAGTTAGGTGAATGGGGCACTGGGTAAGGTAGCGGTAGTCGCGGTCGGCTGCTCGTCGTGGTGGGGGTAAACCTGGTGGCCATGTTCCAACGGCCCTACCCTCGGAGGGCCAGGAAGGCCAGGCAAGGCAGGCAGGGCAGGGCTGAGGACGGCTGAGGGCTGGCCGTGGTGCCGCGGCGAGCCGGGGGGTGCCAGGGTGTCGTGGCAGGCAGGTGCCGGGGTGCAGGTGGGGGTGGGGAGCACTCCAATGGCGCAAGGTATGCAAGGTCGGTGAGCCCGCGGTGCACCTTAAAGTGTTCATGTGCCACTTCGGCTAACGAGTGCTGGTTCTTAATTGGCGAAGCGGCTCTTTCGTATTTGGGGAGCAGAATCACTGACCCCCTCCTCGCCCTCCCGGAGAAAACTTTGGACTGGGCCTTGAAAACCATCCCCGCCCGGCTTATCTCTGCCATCCGAGGAGGTTTTTCCTCGGGGCAGCAGTTATTTTGGCGGTAGATGGATGCCGTGGGCCGGACTCAGTGCCGGCGGGGGAAGGGCTGAAGGACGACGACGAGTGGAAGGGATGATCCGAATGAGCTGCGAGATGGCGAGATTTTCCAGCCGAGGCTAAAGCCGCTTGTGTTCCGATGCACGTCGTGGCGGGGTGCGGTGCGGCGGGGGCCCTAGGCGGGCGGGGGCCACCCGTGACGTGGCTACAGCTGACGTCACCGCCGCCGGCACCCAGCCCCTCGCCCATGCCCCTCGCGCATCCCGCCGCCGGCCGCCACCAGCCGCCACCCCCTGCACCGCCAGCAGCGCCAGCACCGCTAGTCGATTTGTATCCAAGATGGCGGCACAGCCAGGGCGGCAGGGCGCAGCCCCATCCAACCATCCAACCCCCACAGCCCCACAGAGGCAGGCAGGGCTGGCGCTGCTGGCGCAGGCGAGCGGCGCTAGCGCTGTTGGCAGCCCTTGAGCCTGCCGTAGCGGCCGTAGCCTGGCGGCCAGGCCTGGCCTGCTGGCCTGGCAGTGGTGGACCGACTCGCGAGCGAGGAGGGTGCTCTGGGCTGGGGGGGCTCGCGCTGAGCCGTGCCGTGTAGTGCCGTGCCCGATCTGGCAAGACCACCGGTACCTAGTTTGAACCCTTCTAGTGGCCCGCGGCGGCTTACGGCTCCAAGGGTGGCCCTGTGCGGTGGTGGATCACGCCGCGCTCCGCGTTTCGCGCGTGTTGTTGGTGTGTTGGCTCCGCTGGCGAGTGACCGACTTTCGGACCCGGGAGCGCGCAGCGTCCCGCGGGATGTAGACCACGCGGCCGACGGGGTGCTACGGCAACCTTTCGGCGCACCGGTAGCCCCTTCGGGCCCCGCACAAGTGTGCCGTGCTCAGCGAGGAACGCGGACTGCATCGTGATTTGATTTGACCGCGCGCCACTGGGAGCGTTCCACGGGCCCCCGTCAGGCTGTGCTTGTTTTCCCAAATTTGCTATTTTAGCTAAACCGCCACCGCTCAGAGTCCACTCTTGGTTTCTCGTAGAAAGTACCCGTGTGTCCTCCAGCAGCACCCTCATGGCCCTTCCTTTCATTTTGGTGTTGTTTTCCTGTATTCCCTCAGCACCCCTGCCCTGCCTCAAAGGCCAAGGGTACCAGGGCACCAGGGTACCAGGGCGCCACTTGCATTTCGCACGAATGAGGTCACTCGACTGCGACTCCATCGTCCCCCGGGGAATGTCGGAGGCGATGCCATGGGCTTTGCCGTGGGCTTTGCCATGACCGAAACATTGCCACCAATGTTCCACGCCTACGAGCAGCGTCGGAGAAAGAGAAAGCGGAAGGACTCGTCTCGCGGCCTGAGACGTTGCTGAGCCACCATGTCGCTGCTCAGCGTCACAGGTGAGTCACGCAGTCGGGCGGTGCGTCTCGGCGCAAACACAAAGACCCGCTTTGGCGCGCGCGCCGTTTTGAGGTTAGGTCGCTGCGCTACGCGGGGCCGCGCGGGGCTACGCTGCGCACCCCCAGCGGGGCCCAGGGGCGGGCCAGCGCGGCCAGCCCGGCCCGGGGAGGGACGTGGAGGGACGTGGCGGGGGAAGGGGGTTATTGATAACGGGCCACGCCGACGCTACGTCTAGTCGCGCTGCGCCCCGGGCCGCCTCGATTTGACGTCGTCGTCCCGGTGGGCCTTGTTCAGGGCGCTCGCGCTCGGTGGCTCCGGACTGTTTTTGGGCTAAGCGCCAACTCAGCGCGCTCGTCGTCCAGCCCGCTCAGACCCGCTCCGCCAGGGCCACCAGGGCCGCCAGGCGCTGCATAAAGGGCAACCGTACGATGAAGGGGGAAGCACCCTGGCAAGGCCTGGCTCGGTCTGGCTCCTCAATTAACGGACTAGCGACGCCATTTAGAAACAAACTAACCAGAATCCTCGGGTGTCCGTTGCGGTGCCCATTCCCATCGGCGTGCTGCCTGCACAGCCTGCAGCCGACCCGCTTGTCGTTGCAAATTCAGAACCGGTTCGAGGACGGCGAGAACGTGGCCGGCACACCACGTGCAAGGCCTGCAAGGCACGACGCCTTCGTGTTTCGTGATCTGCACAGCGGCGGCGCCGAGCCATGGCCGAGCAGCGCGAGCAGCGCGCCTTGCCACCTACGTCCCAAGTGGGCGCGCGAGAAACGCAAAGTCAATTTAAATTTTGACTGGCCTGTGTGGGCACCTTGTGGTCAAGGCCTCAAGCGTCCCCTTCCCTCCCTCCACCCCCTCTCCCCCTTGTGCCACTTGCATCCCCCGGTGCGGCCCCGGCACGGCCCGCTACGCCCTGCGTGCAAGCGGCCCACCGCCGGCCCACCCCGCCTGATAGCGTAATGCTGGCAGCTTGCACAACAAGGCGGTGCCGCGCGCCTAATATTTCTCGACGGTCGGCACTGGTTCTGCTGCTGATGCCCGGCGAGGGGAAGGGGGAAGGGCCTGGCCATCCGCCTCGCCCGCCTCGCCCACACAGATTAACCTCGGAACCGATTCCGTCCGTCGAAATCAAGTCGCGCACGCGGCAGCCTTTCCAAAACAATTAAGGACCCCCTCTCCGCGGCTCTGCCAAGCACACTGCCAAGCACTGCGGCCTTATCTCATTCGAGCCGCTCTCCCCACAGCCGCTCCAGTCGTTGCTCCAGCCGCCCCGATCCGGAGCCAACTTCTGCTCCCTTTCCTCCTCTTTTTTTGGAGGGCGTGGTCAGTGACGGTCGTGCGGTGCGGTCTGCTGGCCCGCTCTGCGTGCGCGGTGCGTACTTTCCGCTTTGCGCTTCGCACCGCGCACGGCGAGTCCCTCACCGGACGGCCAGAAGGCATGGCCGGGCATGGCGGCATGCTGTCTCTGTCTCGCTTCACCTTTCGGGTGGAGCGAGCACGGCGACGCGGTGACGGCCCGATGGGTGCTCGGGGCGCTCTGCTCGCCGTGTCGCCTCGCCCCGCCCCGCCACGATCATGCGGAGGAGGAAACTTTTTTGTTTCCCGTCGCGGAGGGTTGGCAGCCGCAACTTTCGGGGGTGGGTCGTTAAATACGGCCATAACGGCGGCAGAAAGGTCAATGGCGGGTTTCACGGATCAAATCGGAGGCGGAGGCCGAGGCGGCTCGCCTCGGCCGCTTCGGCTCCGGAGCGCCCGCCGAGTCGAGGGCGGGCCTGCCCGCCGAGCACGGATGCACTGCGGCGCGGCCTATGCGCCGTCACTCGGGCGGACGGCTTGCGACACCAAAGCAGCGGCAGCGGCGGTCTGCTTTTTCTGTTCTCGTTCTTCTCTTTTTGGTCTCTCTCTCTGCGGCGGAGTGTGCTTGTGACCTCCTAACAAGTCCCTGGCGGCGCGCGGCGCCCCATCCAGGGGGCCGGCCCGTCGGCCCGTGGGGCGGCCTGTGGGGTCTGCGGGGCGGCTCGGGGCGGCCTCGGCGGGGGCTTGTACACACCCCGTTGTCCCGCCCAGGGTCTCACCAAGTCTCACCTGCCGCAGGGTATTGGGTATTGTGTGCCCTGACCCTTGCATGCCGCGCCGGTGTTGGGCCAGGCAGCCACAGGCGGCCACAGGCTTACGGGAGCTTCTCGGGGCCGCCATGCAAATGCCATGCAAATTGGCCACAATATTTTGGCCGGTCGGTTAACGCGTTGCGACGGTGCGCAGACTAAGGACGTGCGTGCGGGGGTGGAGGTGGTGGGGGGACTGCAGTGTCTCCGCCTTCTGCGCCGCCATGCCCGGCCATGCCGCACAGGGATGACAGCGGGGCCTTGGCTGCCTCGGCGAAGGGCGCACCGACGGCAGCAGCGCGGCACGGACCTTGGCCAGGCGTGGCCTTGTAGGGCCTACAGCTACAGTGTGCCCTGCTGCCTTGTTGATCGCCGTGCCTTGGAGGTGGCGCCCTCGCCGCCTCGAACCTGCCGGCTCCTTGCCTGTTTGGTCCCTTTGCCTTTTCCGTCTTCCTTTTTGGCCCCACTGTCCTGTAGCCCCATGGTAAAAACGTTTCCTGGTTTTCCCAGGACGCCTATGGTTAAGACAAAGGCGATTTCCAGGGAGCTCCTTGGGAAACCAGAAACCGTTTTTACCGTGTCCACCTCCTTGGGCTGGATCCCACGCTCACACCGTCTTTACGTAAATCCCGCTGCCTTCTTTAAGTCCCACTGCCTTTAGGCCCTGCGTCCGGAGGTTCGCGTTATGGCCGGCTCATGAGGTGGATGCCGCGCTGGTGGGCGTGGTGGCCGTGGGGGTGGCCGAGGCTGCGGTCGCGGGGCGGCAGGGCGGCAGGGCAGGGCGCCGCTTGTCCGGGCGTTGCGCTGCGCTCGGCTCCGAGCTTGGCTCCGAGCTCGGCTCGCGGAGCGCAAGGGAGCAAAGCACGTAATGCCTTCGCCCACCCCGCTTACCTACTTACCCCCATTTTTTTCCGGCCTGCCGGTGATTGAGCATTTTCTCCACCACCTCGGTCCCGGCCTTCTTTTAGCCGCCGGTGTGGCGCAGCGGGGCGTGGCGATTCGCGAACATTACCCACGCCACTTTTTCCCCCTGAACTTTTATAAACAGTTTGCCGTGCTGTGGAAACTGCGAACAAGCCGTGGGCGATATTAACCAGGCTACCCGATGCCTCTGCTTTGAGTTGGCTTATTTAACAAGTGCAACCACCGTGACTGGCTTTGGTTCTGCAATTTATGCTTTGGATGTTTCGACCAAAAAATGTTACTTTTGTGAAGGCTTTCTAAAAAAAAAACAACTTCAAAATTTTTGTTTGCTCAGAATCTAATTTTAACCTGCCCTTTAGATCCATCTCGTCCATAAAAGGTTGCACGTCTTAAATGAAGTTTCTCATTGCGTTCTGTGTGTTGCCGCACTGTGTTGCCGGCGGCGTCGCGCCAGCAGAGTGCAGCTCGGTGCAGCACGTGCTGTGCAGACGGCAGGTCTGTCTGTCTGTCTGACCGGCCGTCCATCCGCCCGCCCTGGCCTGCGTCACGCCCGCTGCCGCCGTGTCTTTGGGGACTGTCCAGGCGCAAGGCCGAGGCGCAAGGCCGAGGCCGAGACAAGTGGCAGCCTTGCTTTCTCAAATTAATGCTCCGCTCGTGTTGCGGCCGAGAGTGAGGGAGAGAGAGAGAAACAGAGACAGAGAATGGCACTGTGGAAAGGCGAAAGAGTGAGAGTCAATAACAGCAGGCGCTCGATACCGATGGTTAACCCCTTTCATGACCGCCGCGATAATTGTTATCCTTTTCCGGTCCGTTCCTTTTTTCAAGCTAATTGCCCCGTCATTTTCCACCGCCCCCCCGCGGGGCGGCGGCGCGCTGCCGTGGGCCGCCTGGGCCGCACGCGTAGCGCGGCAGCGCGCCGCAGGGGGGAAAGTGTCGGGGATGTTGAGCCTCTCGGCGTGGCTCGGCGTGGCTCGGCGTACGTGACACGACACGTGACGGTCTTGGTCTTGTCTGTCGGCCGGGCCTCGCCGGGGCACTGCCCTCTCCCTCGCACGCCTTCCGCCAGGATTTACATTCGCACGGTTCGCACCCCCTTTCTTTTTTGCGTCTCCCTTTCACGCCGCCTCCGCTTGTATGCGATCCGCTTGAAAAACATTTCTTGTGTAGCTTTCGCGCGCGTGCTAGGTGCGCGCTGGTGTGCGTGTGTGAGTGCGGTACGGCGGCACGGCCCGCTGTTTGCCCCAGAGGTGGCAGCCAACGATTGTCTATTTGTTTTGCCGGTGGAGTCGGCGCGCCGGGCGAGGTGGGGGGGGGGGAGGAGGCTTATTTATTGCCGTTAATGCCCGCCCTGGCCGAGGCCCTGCTGGCTGATTTGGAGCAGTGCGCTGCGTCGCTCTGTCTCTCTCGCACCCCTACGGGACCCTACGGGATCCTACGAGACGGCCTGAGTGCGAGAGAGACAGAGCCCCGTTCGGCAGCAGCCCGCTGGCCGTGGGGAGCACGGCTCGGCCAGGGCCCTGCAGGGCCCCGAGGCCTTTAGAAGGACAGACCTCCATCCGACACTACTTTGCGTGTGATCCGTTCACGACAAAGACCGATGCCCCATTCTTCGTGCTTCCCTCATAAATCCGGCGGGGGCCGAGAGGACCGAGAGGACCACGGAAACGGACGTGACTGGTAAAGCGCGGCCGTGTGTGTGCGTGCGGGGCTGGGGGGCGGCGGGGCGCGGCGGGGCGCGGCGGGGCGCGTTGTGATGCGGGGGCGGCGCCTCACCTTAATCCCGGCCTCGTCGGCCTGCGTCGCCGTGCTTGCTTTGCTTGCTTTGCTTGCTTTCGCTGGTGTCGCCGTGCATTGTATTCGTGTATCGAGATATCGAGTCGCCGTGCCGTGCCGTGCCGGGGCATGGACGGGGAACGGCCGCCCTTCCCACCACGTCGCTGAACCACGCGCGCCCTTCACGCGCTCCCATGGCGGTTCCTCACGGTGCCTCATGGAAGTTGTTAACAGAGGCTTGAACCGGCGCAAGGTGCCCAGAAAAGTCCTAGGGTGCGCAGAAAAGGCCAAGGGTGCTCAGAAAAGGACTAGGGTGTCCAGGAATGGCCTAGGGTACCCAGAAAAGGCCGAGGCCTAGGGTGCCCATGAATGGACTAGGGTGCCCAGAATAGGGCTCGGGTGCTCAAGGTCTAAGGGCTCGGGTGGGCTTGGACCGGGTGGCGGCGACGCTCCGTGCACGGCCCGCCCAAGGACAGCGTCTGGCTCACCTGATTACACCGAATTTCTTGCTGACCGAGTGCCAGCAAGCCAGTAGCCTGGCCGGGTGCCGTTGGAGCACGAGCCGCCGGCAAGGCCGCCTGGTCCCTGCAGGCTAACTCTGCCATCGTCGCTCTGTCTCTCTCGCTCTCACCGCTCACCAGCGACGCGAGGGAGACAGAGCGACTGCCCGGAATGAAGCCTGCAGCCGTTTCCGCCACCGAACCTCCCTGCTGCTGCCGGAATTCTCCAGGTTATTTTTAACGTGTCGGCTGCGTAGGCCCTGCGGGTCATGACCCTACGGCCTGGAGTGAGGGGGGGGGGGCAGCGCGGCATCGGCCGAGACACGCAGGAGTGGCCTCCTCCAAGCCCCCCCTGCTCCCCTGCTCTTTTCCATTTCCGTACCGTGTCCGTGCCGGGCCGCGTCCGAAGCATCGGCTAATCGGCATAATCGCGGATAATGCCAGCGATAGAGCGAGGGGTCGTTGGCTGGCGTAGGCCGAACGGGGCCTCGCTGTCTCTCTCGCACAGTCGCGCAACGACCCACGAGTGCGGAAGAGAAAGAGCGACGCAAGCAAAGCACTGTTCGGAATCAGCCCTATTTATTCGTAACCATGTCGTCCAAGCAACACTTTGCTGACCGCTGCTGGTGTCCTTGAATCACTAGAATGCGAAATGAACCAACGGTTATTTATATAAGATGAGGTGGTATTCATGGTTGCGGTGCAGGGTGGGGAAAGGCACTAGTCCAGCGGTTCCCAACCTTTTTCGGTTCGCGACCCCAAATTTGTAACAAAAAATTTCCGCGACCCCCAGGAAAAATTTCGCGACCCCACGCGACCCCTCCTTTAGCATGCCTTTGATACAAAGTGCGATAATCCACCTTAGTTTGGGAGCAGTATTGCCGCAAAGTTGATCAAAACGGCCACAAATGTCTTCTAAAAATCGTGTTTTGGGCCGACTTTAAGCAGCCACTGCGTTTGATCTGAGGCGGTATTTCGTCCTCCCTCAACGGGCATTTGGTCTTCGGACCTTCCTTGCTGCCAATTTTACGAGGTTATTTTAGTGTCGGCTGCGTATTGCCACAAGGGTTGATCCAAAACGGTCATGGAATCGTGTTTTGGGCGACAAAGCGCCATCGGTCTGATCCACGCGGATTTTGTCCTCCTTCAACGGGCCTTTTGGTCTTTGCCCTTTCCCTTTTGCCATTTTAGGGTACCGTTATCCCGTGGGGCCGTAGTCCAAAGTGATCGGCAATTCGGCATTTTTCGCATAATTTTGAGCGATAGAGACGAGGGGTCGTTGGCTGGCGAAAAAGGCCAACGGGGCCAAAGCCTGTCTCTCTGAGAGGCGAAAACCCGCCCCACGATTTGCTGCAAAGTGGGAAAACACGAAGAAAAGGGCACTGTTGGGAATCGTTTTGAACCATTCGCCAAAGCCAACACCGCGACCGCTGGTGTCCTGAATCCCCTCGAATGCGACGCCACGAAATTTTTTGAGCGGATCCCTGGTTGGGGTGCACCCGGTTGGGAAACGGCACTAGTCCGCGGCCGGGGCGGGCCGGGGGTAGCGGTAGCGGTAGCGGTCCGCTGACCCACTGCCGAGTCGTGCGCCTGCATTGAGCGGGTATCTAATTCCTCCTTTTGTTTCTGTTTGCAGTTCGGAAGGCGGAGTTCGTTGGGACGCAGTGTAAGTACTTCTTCGCCGACGCCAATCACCCGACGAAGTTGTCCCGCCTCGGAAATCACCGGCGCGTTGTTTCGAAAGCCGCGGTGAAAAATTGATTGGGGAGTGCGAGGACGTTGACCGGTCGGTTTGGCCGCGGTGGCCTCGCCGAGGGCGCGGGGCATTTTCGCCCGATCCATAATCAATTCGGTCGATTCCGTAAAACTCCTTCAATTGAACCGCTTGAAAATTAAACCCCGCGACACATTTTCCGTGTGCTGCGCTTGGAGCGGGTTGGAGAACGGGTTGTCTACTGCGACCAGGCGCTCGTCGGCTCGTCGCCGCACTCCACGGGACTCATTTCAGGGAACTGCGTTTCCGACCGTAACCTCAAATTAATCCTCCCTGCGCCCTCTCATATTTCTCCCCGAGGTTTAGCGGCGCCCTGTGTGCCGCCAGGTATTTTTCACGACGGGTGCTTGAGCCGGTCGGAGTGGACTCGGCGGACTCTCGGCGGGGCGACTCTCCCGTTTGCGGACGGCCCTCCCCTCCGGCCAGTCCCTCCGCCTAACTGCTGCTGAGAATAATTGTCCGTTGTATATCGCTTTTTATTTCCGCGACAAGAAAACAGCGGTGGCTGCAAATTAAGTTATTACGAGGGGGCCACCCTGACTGCCTGCTGCGGCGAGCTGGACGGCGAGCTAGCGAGCCAGTGCGGGGATTCCGTCGTCTCTGCTGTGCTTTGCCCGGCGCTGCCGTGCCGCGCCGCGCCGTGGCGAGTGTGAAGAGTTATAGCCTTTGCAGCCCGAGAGACAGCAGCCTCGCTCCAGAAACTCTTTTGCAGTGTAGCCATTATTTGGGGCCTTCGCCGGGGAGCCTTCGCGCCAAAGAGGCGGACTCATCGCAAATGAGGGGTCGAGTTGGTAATCAGTGGGGTGGTGCGCCAGAGTGTTCTTCTCGCACCCCTACGGAACATCTCGTGAGTGCGAGAGAGACGGAACCCACTCGGAATCAGCCTGCAGTGGTGCACGCCGCGGTGGCGCGCGCTGGCTGCCTCTTGTCGTATTGTCGTCAGAATAAATTAAGATACACGTTTTGCTGATACGCTGCGCGCTGCGCTCGCTCGGCGCTTTGAGGCGCTCTGCGACTCTGCGGCCGGCACAACGGAGCGGCCGCGGATTGGGGTCGGAGGGTGGGGTGGGGGGGGGGGGGGCTTAGGGTCGGCGGGCTGAAAAAGAGCTTAGGGTCGGCGCTGAAAGGGGTCGGCGCGTCCTCACGCGGCAGACACGCGCTGGAGGTTAGAGTTGGACAGAGGATGAAGACGACGACCCCGGACCGGGCCGGGCCGGGCCCCGAGTCGCTGGAAGAGCGGCGGACGCAGCCCGCGCGGCCCATGCCCTTTAGGCCCCTTAGGGTATGATGTCGATGGAAGTTCTGAAGTGCCGCGAGCGGTTTTTAGGTCTTTGCGGGTCGGACGGCGCGGAGCGCGGAACCGAGGCAGCTGCACGAGACTCACGTTTCCCCGCCCCGCCGCGCCCCGCCGCGCCCCGCTGCGCCACGCAGCAGCTTCTCGCCGGTCTGATGCACCGATCCACTTCGCCGACTTCACCTTTCCCGACTTGCAGCGAGCACAAGTTGGCGTGCCAGCAGTTTGGCGCGGCGGCGGGGAGACGGGCCGAGCTTAGCCTGGCCGGGCCTGGCCGGGCCCCGCCTGCAATGCAATCGCACCCCGCGGCACGTTCCTGGGGGGCTGGGCCTGGCTGGGCCTGGCTGGGCCCGCAGCGGCTGATGCTGAAAAATGGCACTTTGTCTCTCTCGCACTTGTGACCCGATCCGTTGGTGTGCGAGGGAGACAGAGCGACGAGGCGCTGTGCGGGGGGCTGCGGCCTGCCGGGGCGGGTAAATAATACACAGCGAGTGCCCCGCCCCCGGCCGCCCCCGAGCCGCGCGTCGCCGTGTCGCCGGTGTCGCCGTGACGGCCGTAAAGGGAGGGAATGATTCCGCAGCCCGCGCCTCGGCCCTTGGTCCCCGCCATCGCGTTGCTGCCATCAAACCGCCCTGCTCCGGGTGTTTGAACCCGCGACCCGCCAATCCGAACGTCGCCGAGTCGCACAAACGGGCGCTTTGTTTCGGCGGCGCAAACCACTTCCTCGGGGATGAGGGCCGCGGGGGCGGCGCCAGCAGAAAGGGGGCGAGGGATGCCGGAGGGGTGGCGTGTGGGCGCAAACGGCGGACGGGGCGCCAGTTTCGGCGGCAGTCATCTATTTTTGCCGCCAAACCTACGCAGGGGGCGCCGAGCAGGGAACGGCGAGGACAGTGAGGGGCGGCGCATGGGGAGGGGGGGGGGGATGACACCCCGCGGAGAAGGCCCCCGAAACGCGCGCCGCTCGAACATTCAAATAAATCACCGACATTTCGAAGAAATGGTTATTCTGTACCGCCGGGCGATGGCATTCCGTCATTCCGATTGGTCGTCGGGGCGCGCTGTAAACCGTGGAGCCGCCAGGCCGTGTCGGGACGCGCACGCCTTTTCCTGTTTAAGTTCGCGCGCCGTCCGGGCCCTGGGCAGGCCCGGGCTGTCGTCCTTGAGGTAGAATAATTGGCGGACGGGCCCTCGGCAGGCGCTCACGCCGAGACGTCGGGCCTTCGGGACGTCGGGCCGAGTCGGCCCAGGTGAGCGTGTGCCGTCACTACGCAGCGCTACACAGCGCTACGCAGCACGCAGCCTTGCGGTGTGGTCCCCTTGTAACAGCCCCCACCCCCTGCCGGGGCCTAACAGCCACCCAGTTGACGCCATCACGTCCTATAGATTCAATAAGAGGAAAACAGACTGTCGAGGAGACGGCTCGCTTCATGACAATTAATGACTCTTAGAGTTCCATTTCGTCCTGACTTTCAGTTGTTATTTCCTTTGTTTTTGAAGGCCGAAATGATTGCGTTGTTGAAATGAGGTGGATTACTGAGGACGCGATGTACTTTCAACAGTGTGGGGTGGGCTCTGCTCGAGGCTCTGCTTGTTGGCTGTGTGTGTGTCTGTCTAACGGTGTCGCCTCTTCTTTTGCGTTTTGCAGCGGCGCAGAACAACTCGTACGTGACGCTCAAGCTGCAGAATGTCAAGACAACGACGGTGGTGGTGAAGGGATCCAACCCCTGCTGGGAGCAAGACTTTCTTTTGTGAGTATACCTCTGTCTCTGTCCGTCTGTCTCTCTCTTCCTTTGGCCGCTGGCATCCCAGCTCCTCGGCACAGTACTAGTCGGATTCCGAGCACACTACTTCGTTGCGCTGTCTCTCTCTAATCCCAAAGGGGTGCCCTTTGGAGTTCGGGAAAGACAGAGCGACTATTCGGAATCAACCGGTAGCGCAAACCACCTTCTGACGAGTCTGTTGGCGGTACACATGGTGTTGCAAAAGGGTAAAATCAGTGCCGATAAAGGCTCCAAAAATCTTCAAAGCTGGTTCTCTTAGGGCGGTAATTTCTGTACTGCACTTCTATTTGGCGGTAAAACGTAGACACTGCCAGTAAAGGGTTGGAATATTACTGGCCTCCCGACTTAGAGTGATCCCTCTCGACGGTCTCGTTAATTAAAGTGCTACATCGCCGCGATTGATGAAAGGCGACCGTGTGTGGCGGTAGCGCAGCGGTACCAACTTTCCGCCTCAACAACACGGCAGAGCGCGCGGGGATCGCTCGATCGCTTGAATCGTTCATCGCGCTGAGGCCGCTGGGGAACGCAGCGCATCCACTGCCCCGACCCCAGACGCTCGCGGGGGCTCTAAACTTGCCGGTCGTACTCACCGCAGCGTCGTGGTCGAGGTTTGCGACGGCCTCTAGGGGGAGGTTTTAGCCGGCGAGGCGGCGAGCGCCCGCCGACGGCAGGGTAGGCAGTCCCGCCGCGCGCGCGTGCTCGGCGGACGGCGAGGAACGCGCTATGCTATGCTGGCGCTGCTCTATCCGGGCGAGGCGACGCCAGGGCGACGCTGGCCCTGGACCGCTGCTGCGCTGCTGCGGCCGCCGCCTCGCTCGTAGCTCACCCTCGCCTTCCGGGAGGTCGTGATTTTGGCAACGCGCGCGCTGCGGCAGCGGCCAAGCGGTGGCCAGAGGATGTGTCGCGGCGACGCGGCGCTCGGGCCCGCCGGGGCTCGGGGCATGGCCGGCGATGATAGTTGGCGGATCAATACGGTTAGGCTAACTTGTTTTTGCAGCGTGATGCCGCGTGCTGCGTGCGTGGCCGCGGATTGAAAAAGAAACAGGTGCCGCATTGTCCCGGCCGGACAACAGGTCGGAGAGAGAGAAAAAAAACAGAGCTAGAAGCGGTAGCAAGACCGCTTAAAAACAGCGGGCTCTGCGCGATTTCCGCGCAAGGACGCGCGAGGCGGGGCGAAACCTTGGACGCGAATTTTGTCAATAACGTGTATACTTGGCCACAGAGAAGCAATAAAGAGAGAGGCGAGGACGGCACATCTGCCCTGCGCGGCCTGCGCGGCCTGCGCGGCCCACCCGGCCCTGCCGCCTGTTTGTTTTATTCTTCGCCCGACCGAAGTACTCTGTCGCGAGCCAGGCCGGAGCCCGGCCGGCGAGAGAGCCGCGGCAGGCTTCACATCGCGGTGTGGCTTTCTGAAGGTGACGTATATACATTTTTCTCAGAAGAAGCCTCGCTTGGCCGCAGAAATTCCTCCCACCCCCTCCTTTTTCTCCGACCCCTCTCGAAAAGAAGGGAAGGACGCCATTTGTACAGTTTTCTTTTACGCCTTACACCTCGCCGCTGCTGCTGCTTGTGGAGCGGCGTGGCCGGGCCGAGGGAGGGCCCCCTCGACGCCCCTCTTGGCCTGGACTGGGGACGCGGGCAGACGCGGGCAGACGATGCCGTCTGCCGTGTTGTTAGCCGGCTCCAATGATGATGACAGTCTTGTCTTTCTTTTGCCTCGCCGCTCTGCCGCGTCGTCGCCGTGCCGCTTCTCCGCGCCGCGTCGCCGCAGTGCCGTGCCGCTGCGCGCCCTTCCGGCGTGTCGTGAAAGGCCAGGCGCGGCGATCGCGGTGCTCGATCAGGGCCTCGCCGCGTGCCGCTGGTGCCGCTCCCCGTCAGCCGCCTCGCCACGGCCACGCGGCCACGCGGCCACGCCACACAAAGGCCGGCCGGGATGAACGGCCAGCGAGCAGCGCGCGCCGGTCGCATTAATTATTACGGACCGAGGCAAACAAGCTGCGAGTTGTTGTTTTGTTTGTTGGCGCTGCCCTACCTACTTACGGCCGCTAAGGGCGTGAGCCGTGAGGGGGGCGCGGCGCGGCGCGGTGTCCCCGGCGTTTCTCTTTCTCACCTCATTCCGGGCGATTCCGCCACACAGCCACTGCGCCGTGCCGCCCTGCGCCTCCTCGGCCGCAGCGACCGTAGAGCAAGCGAGAGCGAGCGAGAGCGAGCAAGTGAAGCTCTGCAGCGTGCTGCCAGGCAGGCTGCCGCGCAGGCTGCCGGGCCGCCGTGGCGCCGCGGCGCGGGGGCATGCCCTGGCCGTGCCCTGGCCGTGCCCTGGCTTTGTGGGTCAAGTGAGGCGGCGCAAAGTGGAGAATTTCCCTCCTTTTTTACCCTTTACTCATATTCCTCTTTGTGATTTCTTTGACGAGGGCCGTGAAGGACGACGCGAAGAAAGAGGATTGTCCTTTCCGGAGCAAAGTCACTCACTCACTCAGTCTGCTCTGGCTTGTTTTCGTTCAGCCGCTTTTGTGTCCGTGCCGGTGAGCGTCGGATCGAAGCCGATTCGTCACGCCGTTAGACACGCAATGGCAGAAAAATGGACTGCGAAAAAAAGGGTGGTTTAAAAAAAGAACGAACGCGCTATTACCTCGGTGAGAGTGACATTGAGAGATATGCGGCTCGCACGAGTGCGGAATGTAACAGGCGATGGAGTGTGGCGGGCCGGGCGAGGGGGGAGGGGGCAGGCAAACTCGACATGTCAGGAGGACGTCCGTTATCGATAAAGGAGGCAGCAACTACTATCTCCCTCTCTCTCTCTTCTCTCTCTCTCTCTCTCTCTCTCTCTCTCTCTCTCTCTCTCTCTCTCTCTCTCTCTCTCTCTCTCTCTCTCGCTGTACCACGAGAGGAGAGCAAGGAGCTTCTCTCGGGGCTGCACTGTCCCCCCTAATGAAGGCTCTCAGAGGCGCCTCCTCCTGTTCGCACCTCTGCTGCTCTCGCTGTAGCTTTTTCTCGCTCTTTCCTCCGAGTGAGCAGGCGAGACAGCTAATAGCGTTCTTTGAAAAGTATTTTCTCAAAGAGAGTGAGGGTGTTTTGCCGCCTGGCTGTGCGATCAGGCACACAGGCGGCAAGCCGGCAAAGGCTTGCGTCTGCGGCATGCCCGTGGGACGCGTGTCGCTAACGGAGGCCTTTTATTTTTGTACAGCGAGACCAGTGACCTAAACCAGGGATTGCTCATCGAAGTATGGGGCAAAGGCATGCTATGGGACCGGGCCATGGGCTACTGCTTCATCCCGCTGCAGACCATCATGTACGAAATGGTGAGTACGGCCTTAATTAAGCTGGCATTGTCGAATCTGGAAAGCATCCCCTGACCCCATTCATTCTATCCCGCAGGACGATGGCAGCAACGAGAATTGGCTGCCGCTGGACGGGGAGCTGGTGATGCAGGACGGGGACGTAATCGGCACCAAGGCGCCCACGGGCCACTCCATCCTCATCAACTGCCACTTCGAACAACCGTTCGGTAAGATTAAAAGCCGCCTTCCTCGAAGCGCTTCGCTCCGCTGCGGGGCTCGGCCATGCCTCGGCCATGCTCGGCCATGCCTCCGCCACGCCGTGCCGGGCGAGGCGGCGAGGCGACCTCCTCGCCGGGATGCGCCTTTGTCGGCCTTTGTTCCCTCCGATTCATCATCCACGACAGCGGCGGCGGTGGCGGCGGCAGCCCCTCGGTTCGGCTACTCTTGAGCTTTGATACCGCCTGCCGGAAGAATGATCCCCTTTCGGGCGCGGAGCCCCTAGCCTTGAGCCGCGGCTCCTCGAGGAGGTGAGGAAGGCCGAGATTGCCCGCCCCTCGGCCCCTCGGGTCGCCGCAAATATAATTTCTCTTCTCGTGTTTACCGCCGCCCCGCCCCGCCCCGCCACGCCTCATTCAAAGGATCAACTCTTGAGCATCCTGATTGGCGGACGTGCTGGGGCTGGCTGCTCGGGCGGGGCGGCGGGGCGGCCGCGGCGCCTCGCTCCAGGCGAGATGGCGGTGTACCCGCCAGATTGCACGCGCCTCGCGCCTCTCGCCCCGCTCGCTTATCTTATCCCGATAATGAGGCCGGCCGGACAACAGGTGTGGCTGCGCGGCGAAGTGGCCGAGGCCGAGTCCTCCAAAACAAACTTGATTAATTAGGCGCCGAGCAACCCTCGGAAGCTGCCCCGCCGCGGCGGTGCTCCGTCTCTCTCGCACGCCGACGGGACGCCCCAGGAGTGCGAGAGAGACGAAACGACTCTTCGGAAGCACTCTGCGGACTGCGTCGGGACTGCGGCGGTCTTCTGGGACTTGCAGTCGCACAGCCGACCGTAACGCTCCTCTCCTTGTTGCAGACGCGGAGGGCACGGACGGCGCCGAGCTGCAGCGCAAGTTGGAGAGACTCAACACCTCGATGGAGCAGGACGCCCGCCGGAGGCTGCAGTACAGCGGCCACTGTGAGTGTACCCACGCCCTAACCCTCTCACTGCCCGAAGCCCACCTCTGCCGGCAGTGATTTTCCGCCCCTAAGCCCGGCCGGGCCGCCGGCCAGCGCCGGGATGTTTCTCTTCTCTCCCTTTTTGTGTTGCTTTTATAAGAGGAATCTGCGCACGAATCTTGCGGTGGGTCGTTCCTTCTCTGGGCGGTCAACGCCCGGGTGAAGACACTCGACGCCCTCCCCTTCCCTCGCCGGGCCGGGCCGGGCCTCTAGGCGTCGCGCACCGTCTGGCAGCCCCTCGCCCACCAGGCCTCCGCGCCACCACGCCCCGCAAAGTGATCGTCAACATCGCGCCGCTCATATGAAGCGCTTGCCATACCAACCAAGGCCTCTGCTGCCCCGCCGCCCCGCCGCCGCGCTCGGCATGCGGTCCATCGCCTTGGCGCGCCTCGGCGGCGAAATGACTGCGCCTCTGCAATGGACTGCAGCCAGCCGGCGACTCAACGGCTCGGCGCCTTGGCCCCGGCGGCATCCACAAGCTCCTCGAGGTTCATGGCCAGCGGTGCTGACTGCGCCGCTTTGACGCCCCCCCCCCCCCAACCCCCGCGCGGCCCGCTGCACCTGATGCACGCTGTGATGCACCCCGCGGTCGTGACTCGGTGATTGGCACCAGCTGCACGCTGCGGCGGCCGACCGGCTGACTCCGCACGGCGCTTCCATTGCCCCGTCTCTCTCGCACTCACGGCGTGTCCCGGCAGAAGTGCGACAGAGACAGCGCGGCGAGAGCGCCGTTCGGAGTCAGCCTCCCGCACGCTCTGGACGACGTGCTAATGCTCCCCGCGTGCCGGGCCGCGCCCCGCCGGGCCTCGCCGGGCCTCGCCTCGCGTGATGGCGCCCCATGGACGCGGCCAAAACCCATGCGGCCGAGGATGGCGGAATGGGGCTCCATGCGAGCCATGCAAGCCACGCGCCGTGCCGTGCCGTGCCGCTATCACACTGGAGGCTCATTCCCGCACGCTTCTCTCTCATCCCTCTCCAGCCGGCTATTCGGAGGACAGCGACTACACTTCGGAGCTCAACTACCCCGTGGGCCAGCACCCCAACTCGAGCGCCTCTCAGTTCCGGGGGATGGCCAGTCAGATGCGGACGCCCGGCTCCAGCAGAGAGAACTCGTGGGACGACGGCGGCCGCTACCAGACGGGCTACCAGCAGGGCTACTCGGACGGCTACCAGGTAGGCAGTGGACGGGGTGGCCGGACTCCGTGGGTGGTCGGTGTAGAACACGCAGTGCTGTTATCGCTGTGTCTCTCTCACTAATAGGGATGAAGGACTGCTTTCAGTTTGTTTTTCTCGCACCCCTACGGGGCTTCCTGAGCGAGAGAGAGGCAGAACGTGTAATGTTGACCTAACCGACGGCTTGTGCAGGGTTACGACAAGAACGACCCCTCCTACGGCAGCGGCTACTACGACACACCGAACCGGTCGCTGGAGTCGAGCAGGGAGAACAGCTACGAGCGGGACGACGGGACCACGGCGTACCAGCAGGGCTTCGAGGAGGGCCGGCGGAGGTTCCTGTTGGCGCAGAACCGGGCGCAGTTCGGTGCCGACCAGACTGGTGAGTAGCACGCGATACGACGTACTCCCGTCACCACAGTGTGAGGTATGCCCTCCTCAAATAAATGCTGAATTGTCCCACAGTTCCGATGGACGACTTCGGGTACCAGGATGGCGCCCAGGCGGAAGAAGGGTTAGATTTGTACTACAATAGCAGGCCGCGGGGGAAGGAGAAGCCATCGAGGAGGCGGAGGAAGAATTGGGAAGAAGACAGGTCCGCACTTTCTCTTTTTCAATTTTTATGTTTTTGCGACAAATTTTCCGACGTGGTTTTTGATGTTGTTGTTTGTCTCTGTTCAGCGGGTCTAGCAACTGGTACGCAGGCAGCGCGACGGAGCAGCCTTACGGAAAGCAGAAGTACGACAGCCAGTACGCACAAGACTTCAACCAGTCGGGCTACAACCAGTCGAACTACGACCAGACGGACTACAACCAGACGACTGACTTCAAACAGGCTGACTACAAGGCTCCGGGCTCCTACAGCACAAACACGGCCAAGAACTTCACCAACAGCACCGCCGCCCCGCCCAAGAAGCAGCTACCAGCGACTCCCGCCTTCCAACCGGCTTCCAAGGCGTTGCCAAAGCCGTACCAGGACAGCTCCAGTGTATCATCGTACGGCAAGACAGGCTTCCAGAGCAACCAGAGCAGCGCTTACTCCAAGAAGGGCTTCAAGGATGCGTACTCCGACCAAGGCTACCAGGACACTAGTTACCAAGATCAAAGCTACCAGGATCCCGCGTATACGGCGCCCGCGTATCAGGAGCCTGCGTATCAGGACCCTGCTTATCGAGATCCTGCTTACCAGGACCCCAGCTACCAAGCCTCCAACTACCAGAATGCCGCCTACCAGAACTCAAGTTACCAAGAACAGGGTTACCAAAACTCCAGCTATCAGGACCCGTCCTATCAAACCGCAGGGTACCAGGATTCTACTTATCCGAACTCGTATCAGGACGGGAACTACCAGGGTGCAGGGTACCAGGACGGTGCCTACCGAGACGGCGCGTACCCGAGTGCTGACTACCAAACCGACCCTTACCAGCAGGGTTACGGGAGCCAGAACTACGCCAATACGCAAGCCGACTTTAAGCAGGACTACCAACAGGGTACAGAATTTAAGGGGGAATTGACGACGACCGAGCCGTACAACGAGACCTTCAAGCAAGACTCCTTCGATGAGTCGGGAAAGAAGAAAGTCCGTGACAAAAGTAAGCACTCGCTTGAAACAGTGCTCTGCTTTTATTGCAAAGTTGTCAGGTTTTTAAAATTAATTTTTGGTTTGACTTGCGTCTTTCTATCGCAGCTGGACGGCGTCCGAGCCTCGAGCGGCAGACGACGCTGTACGACGACTCCGTCTACAACGACCCCGCCTACTACGACGCCAGTGCCACCATCGACCAAAGGTACGAGCAGCCTGAGCGCAGCGCCGCACCGCTGGCTGCAACTGGGTTGGTACTCACACCAGCGTACGCCAGTTGCTCCACTTGGTTCAGGGCACACTGAGTGTTGAAAGTTGCCGCCATTGCCGACGCTGCGGACGCGTGCGAAAAGAGTCCGCCTGCCCGCTCGGGCGGCGCTCTGCCCGCTCTGCCCCGGGCCGGGTTGGGCGGGTTGGTCCGGGCTGGGCTGGGCGCCCCCATTGTCCCACCCAGTCCCACCGCGCTTTCGAGCGTAGCCCGGCGCAGCCCTCCCCCTTCACCGCGTGGAGTCTCTCCTCCGGCTGGCTAGAGCGGGCTAGAGTCGCGAGGGCGTCGGGGTATCGCCAGTCTCGCCCGGGAACTCATCGTCGTTTCTCTCTCTCTTTCTCTTGCAGCGGTTACGACCAAAACGGCGCCGCGTCTTCCTACTACGATGAAAGCTCCGTGTATCCTTACCAAGACAAACGGAGCGGTCGCGAGCAGGAGGACCGTCAGTGGGACTCTGGAGGGACGAAGTACCCGGAGACTTCCAGGTGAGTCGGGCAACGTTTCAGTGGCCAGTGGCGTGCGCACTGCGCAGGGTGGGGTGGGGTGGGTGAGTCAGTGGGTCACGACCCCTTTTTTGGCACTAGACAGGAGCCTGAATTGCGGTACATTCCACCCGATTGTTGGCTGCATCTAAATTTCTGCGCTCGCTGCTGTTAAAGTCAGGGTTTTTCCGGTCTTTGTGTCTGACTGTCGTGGTGTTCGGCAGCGTTGGAGGCTACGGGTACGACTCGTATGGCACGGCGGCCGAGCCCCGGCCGGCCGAGCCCGCCGTGGACGCGCCCCGCTCCAAGGCCAAGCAGGCCTGGAAGCAGGGCTACAGCGAGTACTCGGACACGTGAGCATCATCAGTGGTTTCGCAGTGCATTGCATGATAGAAGCTTTTGACGAACATGTGGTGCGTTTGCAGGTCGTACACCAGCGGTACCATGGACGTGCCGGAGGACGAGGTGTACTACTCGCCGCGACAGGGCATGAGCTACGACGAGGACTACGGCGCGCCAAGGTGAGCAGGGCTAGCTCCGCAAGCTACGCCACAAGGACGCGGGGAAGGGGTCGCGGGTGAACCTACCCCGTGCGTGGGGGAGCCGCGCGGCGCGGAGTATCGCCGCCAGTATCAATTGTGCGTGCGTTAACTCAATGTGGCGCCCTACCTCCACTGACCCACTTTGTCGCCCAGCTGCGCCTCCGGCTCCACTTGGGGCCCCGTCCCCGGGTCCTCCCCGCGGCGTCCTTCTCTGTGAGGGAATGGCGTTACGGCGCGACCCAGCGGGCTGAGACTGCCGCGGCATGCCGGTGGGGAGGGGGGCGGTCCTGTCTTGAAAACGGGCATGCAGAGTTACACTCGAATTCGATTGGGAGTCGCTACTGTTCTGCGGGTATAACGACTGAACGCGCGGTGAGAGGCCGAACCGTGTTGCCAACTCACACTGTTTCTCTGCCTGCAGCACGACGACGTCGGTGTCGGGGGCCGCGACGACAGAGACGAACGGTAGCGGGGCTCGCCGCCGCCCCATGATCTCACAGAGCGCCACCACCATCGATGACTACGATTACGGCTACGGCTACGGCACGACCACGGACACGACCGCCAGCTCTGCCCTGGTCACCACGACCTCGTCGACGACCACGATGCCCACGTCGTCGTCCTCCGTGCCGGCCACTCCGGCGCACGCCGCGGACAAGGCCGCGGCTTTGGCCAACCGGTCGTCCTCCATGGACCGCACTCAGTCCGAGTCCCAGGACTATTACGGCTACGACCAGTACGGCAACTACGAGGGCTACGACCAGTACGGCTATAACGAGGACTACAACTACGCGTACCAGAGCCAGGACCAGCTGCCCACCGACCAGACGGGCCTAGCGGGCCAGGGGACAGAAGGCGTCGGCGCGGCCTGGGGCGGCGCCAACTCGTACTACTACAGCTGCAACGAGGACGAGTACTATGCGGAGCAGGTATGCGTGACGGAGCGTGGCTCCGACAGATTTTTCTTGGTCATTTTGCTTTTTGGGCGTTTTGGGACAGTCTCAAGTTTTTGAGGGAAGGATATTTTTCGTTTTGTTTTGTTGTTTCTTTAAAATTTGGATTTTAAGAGGCAATAATAGTAAGAGATTAATTCGGCCGTTTGGGAAATACGTTCAGTCGTGATTCAGAAATTTGAAAAGGATGTGATTCTATAATAGTTAAATTTATTTTAGAAACTTTTATAGGAAGCGTAAGTTTTTCCTTTTGTAAATGCCTGCGATATCTAGATTAACATTCCACATCCGTTTTAGTATCATTGAAATTATTTATGGAGTAAATGTGGCTAGTAAATTGATTATAGTCGAAAGTAACTGTCGAGATGGAAAGGTAGTGGCATGGTGGTTACCTCACACAGTACCTAAAGGTTAAAATGTTTTATTATTATTCAAACTCTGCTTTGGCGTAACACCAGCACTTTAAAAGGTTGTGTCATGTTTCGCTACAGTTTTTGCTATAACCACCATTCCTCTAACTCTTCCACGAGAGACCAATTATCATTGCCTTAGAAATCTGTCACATATAGAATCTTCTTGATTTAGTCTGCTAGAATCCAATGCCATAATTTTTTCACCTATTATTTTTATTTTTTTTATTTTGAATATTCTTTCTTTCATTTTGACTAGTACCTCGTTCTCAGTATATGTATCTTGTGACATTTTGTATTGAGTGTTTAGTGTATGAATGTTTTTAAGGCTTGGTTTGGTCACTGGTGGATGACATTGGGGCAATTTCTATGAGAAATTCAAGCCCCCTGGCGCACCCCACCTTTCGCTTCGCCAGAACAGTAACCAAGGTGGACATAGCCTTCCCCATTCGTGGCTCGAATTAAGTCTAGTTTGGACGAGGCTCTTCCTAGTAGATATTGTATACGAGTGCCCCCGCACGGCCCAGCCATCTCCTTAGACCGTGTCGCCCCTTGCACGCGAGCACGCTTGGTGCTGTCCTGTTCGTCTCTGTCCCGATCGGGTCGTGAGAGTCGTGTGTGTTTTCCCGTCTCTCGGTAGGACACCTCCACGACGAAGACCACGGATGGGACCGCCCCCGAGTCCAAGGCCAGCCTGGCAACCGTGGAACCGGCCCCTGAGCAGGGGACGAGTGCTCCCGAGTCTGAGTCCACCACCCTTGGATCCGTCTTCGGGTCCCTGGAGCTAGGGCCTCGACAACCCGAAACCAACTTCGGGTCCCTGAAGCTAGGGGATCGAGAACCCGAGTCAACCTTCCGGTCCCTGAAGCTAGGGGATCGTGACCCCGATTCCATATTTGGGTCCCTGAAGCTAGGGACTCAAGAACCCAAATCCTCCTACGAGCCTCTGGACGCAGAGTCTCGAAAACCCGAATTCACCTACGAGTCCATGGAGCTAGGGGCTAGGGAATCTGTATATGAGTCAATGGACCTAGAGACTCAAGAACCTCAAACCAACCTCCAGTCTCTGGAAGCAGATAAGTCTCGTGTATCCGAGTACACCCACGAGTCCGCGGAGCTTAAGTACGGGGAAACCAAATACAGCTACGGTTCAACGGCGCTAGAACCTCGAAAATCCGAATACCTCTTTGGGTCTACTGAGCTGAAGTCTGGGGAATCCGAGTACGCGAAAAAGACAGAAAATGATTCTGTGGAATCTAAATACATCTACGGGTCTACGGAGCTTAAGTCTGGAGAATCCGAATACGTCTACGGCTCAAAGGAGCTAGAGTCTGGAATATCCGAAAACGTCTACGGGTCAAAAGAGCTAGAGTCTGGAAAGTCTGACTACGTCTACGGGTCGAAAGAGCTAGAGTCTGGGCAATCCGAATACGTCTTCGGGTCAAAAGAGCTAGGGTCTGGTGAGTCCGGATACGTCTACGGGTCAAAAGAGCTAGAGTCTGGGAAATCCGACTACATTTACGGGTCAAAGGAGCAAGAGTCCGGAAAATCCGAATATGTATACGGGTCAAAGGAACTAGAGTCTGGAAAATCAGATTACGACTACGGGTCAAAAGAGCTAGAGTCTGGAAAATCCGACTACGTCTACGGGTCAAAGGAGCCAGAGTCTGGACAGTCTGAGTACGTTTTCGAGTCAAAAAAGCTAGAGTCTGGTGAATCCGTATACGCTTACGGGTCGGAAGAGCATAAGTCCGGAGAGTCCGAATACGTCTACGGGTCAAAGGATGAGGAGTTTGGAAAATCCGAATACGCTTATGGGTCTACAGAATTAGATTATGGAAAATATGAGCACCTTTATGGGTCAAAAGAAACAGAGTTCGGACAGTCTGAATACGACTACGAGTCAAAAGAGCTAAAGTCTGGAGAATCCGAATACGCCTATGGGTCAAAGGCACTGGACTCTGAAAAGTCGGAATATACGTACGGGTCGAAAGAACTCGAGTCTAACGATTCCGAGTACGTTTACGGTTCAAAAGAGATAAAGTCAGGAGAATCTGAATACGACTATAGGTCCACGAATTTAGAGTCTCAAGATTCCGAATATGTTTACGGATCCACTGATATTGAGTCTAAAGAACATGAATTCTTCTATGATTCTAAAAGTGACCTAGAGGCTCGTGATTCCGATTTGTATGGGTCTGCGAAGTTAGAATCTACAGAACCTGATTATCTTTACTCGTCTACTGAGCCAAAGACCAAAGACTCTGAATTCGCATATGACTCTTTAAAACTAGGATCCCGTGATCCAGATTCCGTCTTCGGGTCTCTGGACCTCGGGCCACGAGATGCTGACTCTGCTTTTGGATCACTGGAGGTAGCTCCTCGAGCCACCGAGCCCACACCAGGGCCTCCTCCCGGGCCACCTCCCGGTCCCACCCCTAGCTCCATCTTCGGTTCCGTCCTCGGGTCTGCCACTGGGTCAGGCCCGGCATCCCTCTTTGGGTCCGTTCTCGGGGCAGCTGCCGGCTCTGCCGCTGGTTCTGGCAAAATGTTGGGATCGGTCTTCGGATCCGTCCTCGCCTCAGCCCCCAAGCCCGCCCCTGGCTCCATCTTCGGATCCGTGTTCGGGTCTGTCCTCAAAACGGCTCCCGACCAAGGCAAGGGTGTGATCCCCGAGCCAACCCCCGAGCCCACTTCACGGATAGAACCCTCGGGCACAGCGCCGTCGTCCCCGGTGACCAGCCAAGCTGAGCGGGTGCCTTCCCTGGACTCCGTGCCGGAACAGACTCAGCAGGGCCAGCAGGGCCTGCAGGAGGGCGCGCCCGCGTCGCTAGCACGCAAGCGCCAGTTCCAGCAACGAGGGTCGCGGACGCGCGGCCTCGACTCGCTCGAGTCGAAAGATGACGACCTGCGGGAGTCTTTCGAGACGGCCATCTCCTCGGTCAGCCACACGTTCCCCACGCCGTCGTCCACGGCGCCCACCGAGGCCGCCTACCAGGCTGAGATGGCCACCACGCCGCCGTCGCTCATCGGCCCCGCCGTGCCGTCGCGGCGCCCCACCATGACGACGGCGGGCGTCACGCCGGGCTCGGCCGTCACGTCTACGTCGGTGGCCACGTCGCTGGCCTCCACCGCGTTGCCGTCCACGTCCTCGGGACTGGGCGGGCTCATGGCTGGGGTCCCGCCCGGCGAGCAGCACCGCTACCTGCGCTCGCAGGACTCCGTGGAGAGCTGCGGAGATGAGGTGAGTCTAGCCTGCGGGAACAAGCTGCAAGTCCTTAGTGAGCAGAGTAGTTAGCGATGATGTTCTTCTCGTCCCAGGGCATGGACTATTCCGGTTACGACGACCATTACGAGCACACGCACACGACGGGCAGCCTGGACCGCGGCGAGTCCATCCTGGAGGAGGACGAGGAGTACGATGAGTCGCCGCCGCCGAAGCCGGTCACCGTGCCGAGCATGGCGACGACGTCGCCGCCACCTACACTGCCACCCAGCGTCATGGGGTCCCTCGAGGAGGAGGTGAGTGTCCACACTTTGTTTAGCGGCAAGCGGGAATCCGGGAATCACACCCGTTGGGAGACGTCAACCATTGTGGGTGCTTGCAGGTACCGCCGGAGACAGCGCGCAGCCCCGAGCTGCTACGCAAGACGTCCCTGGAGCACGACGTGGAGATGCCGAAGAAGCTGGAGCCCACCCTGCAGCCGACGCAGACGCAGCCGCAGAGGCCCAAGATGAATGCCAAGGAGCGCTGGCACTGGGCCTACAACCGGGTCGTCCATCAGATTAACGTGAGTACCGACAGTCCGACACCAGGGCGCGCCACCAGAGCCACCAGTCCGCGATCCACTAGTCGGCACCGTTCCGGCTGGAGTGCAGTGTAGGGACAACCCCCCGGCGCGCTTCCGCCCGGCCCCTCGCCTGCTTCACTTTCATTCGCTGCCGCGCCCCTTCCCACCCCGCCCCGCCGCGCCCCGCTGCGTCCCGCCGCGTCGCCCTCTTTAATCCGCTGCCTTTATATGAGCCCCCCGCCGCCACACCGTAGGCTCTAATGTAGAAAGTGTGTCGCTTCCCCCTCCCCCCGTCCCCGCTCCCGGGCGACCCTCATGGCGTCCCTCATGGCGTCCCTCTGGGGTCCTTCTTGGCGCCGGCCTTCAGCGGGCTTTCAGGAGGCCTGATCGGCCGCGGATGCAGCTGAGTGTCCCTTGAAGACGGGGCTGGGTGTCGATGTGCTGGTGCTGACCGTGTCCGAACTGCCGTCCGGCCCGTGTCGCTACGTTTCGCCAGTCGGCGGACTTATCACGCCTTCTTGCTTCCCCCACCCCACGGAGCCCGCTCGACCGGCCGCCGCGTCGCCCGCACTCCCGCACTGTCCCGCGCGGGCGGCAACGCGGGGCCGCGGCACCGCATCTGTGGGCAGCGCACCTGTGGGCAGCGTGGCCCGGCCCGCGTTCGTGGCCGTCCTTGGCGTCGACGATTAGCGCCGCCCGTGCCGTGCCACCGCGCTCCCCGCCGTGCAGGCCGCACCGGGCCGCACGGGCGCACCGGGCCGCACCGCACGCCAGGCGCGGACAGGCACAGCGGCACTGCCGGCACGGACACCGCGCTGCAATCAATGGTCGGGCGTGTCGCCGTCGCCGCCGTGCTTGTCTGTGCTGCCGGCCGGGAGGCAGACCGGCGGAGAGGCGGACCGGCCGCCGCCGCGAGCAGCCTCGGAGCGCCGCGAGGGTAGGCAGCGGAGCGCACCTGCGACGTGCGTGTCGGCGTGGTGCCTACCTGCCGGGCGTTCCGCGCCGCTCGGTACGCTGCTCGGTACGCCGCACGGCGCGTGAACCCGTGTCGTGGGGCAGGTCGGCGACGAGGAAGCGAGGCTGGCGGCGCAGGCGGAGCGGCGCGTGCTGCCTGCGGGTCAGAGTACTCGGCGGAAATGCGCTTCGATTGCTGGGCCGCGTGGCGCGGACGGCTCCGTGGAGGCAACATCCTCGCGCAACCTCTGGCGGCCAATAGCGCCAGCCTCGCCCGCATGTGCGGGGCGGCGGCGGGACTCGCTTTTCGCTCTCATGCCTCGTCACAGCGCCGCCTCCAGCAGGATCCCGTACAGCGCTTTCGCCGGCGAGTCTCTCTCGCGCTCATACGAGACGGCCCATACGTGCGAGGGGCAGAGCGATGAAAGCACCGTTCGGACTCGGCCCGCTGCCCCGATGATTGATGAAGTGCGAGGCGGGCAAATCCATGCCGACCACGGCACCGCGTACGCCGTCGTGTGGATCGTGTCTCCGTCGATGTGTTTTCCCCTTCCGGCTCCCGGAGGCGTGCCCAGGGCGTGCCCAGGGCGTGCCCAGGGCGTGCCGGTGGCGTGCCGGTCGATACGCCACACGCACGTCCGTTCTCGTCCGCGCGATATCAACGCACTCGCGGACCACGCGATGAAGGCGGAGCAGGTGGAGTCGGCGCGGCGACGCCGTGGCCCGGCCGTGGCCGCGACGGGCCGGCTGGTCGGCGGCGACGCCTTACATCAGTCTGCTGCCGCCCCTCGCCGTCCGCTCGCTGTCCCCACCCCGTCGAAGGTCGAAGTGTTTCCGGCGGAATGCGAACCGACACGACCGGGCCGGAAGTTTGATGTCCGCGGACGGCGGACGACGGCCGTTCACAGAGCGCGGGGGCGGAGCGCGGCGGCAGGCACTCAGGCTGATGAATACCCGAATCGCCGCGACCCGCCCGCGACCTGCCGGACGGCCTGGCCGGCGACTCCCACGACACACTGTCTGTTGGCCTTGCGCGGCCTTCCCTGGCCTGTCCTTGGAGTCGCGGGCCGTGACCCGCCGGCCTGCCGGCCTGTCGCTTGACTTTCCCACGACCGCCGTGATATTTACCCGCACTCGGGCTGATTTAAAAACGTCACTCAGCGAAAACAAATATTGAATGTCGTCACAAACCTGAGAGCGACTTGACTACGTGTTGCTCTGGGCTCAGCACGGAGAGATTCCTGTTAGGCCTCGCGGATTCTGTTTGGCATTTCCGATTTCCGTGCGGAAATTATACGACCAGAGAGACGGGCCGCGGGGCGCACCCCACCCGGGTCTAGGATTGTCCCTTTTTCTTGTTTCACTGCCGCCTGGTCCGCCGGGTGTCCCAGCAAGGCACCATTTATCTTGTTTGGTGCAGCCCGGCGCGGCGCTGCCCGACGCGACCCCACTATTTATTTCTGTGTAGGCGCGCCCGTGGAGGTTGGGAAAAGGGAGGGGGAGGGGGCATGGCCCAGCTGCACTGTCCACTGTGCGTATCGACTCTTATCAGAGGACGAGCACAAATGCATTTGCACCGAGTGCATGTGTGTTTGATTCGTTCGCGGCGCTCTTTGTGCCGCGTGGCACAGCAGGTCGTCAAACGAGTAACTGTGCACTCACACAGACACACACGGACGCATTTGCACGTACTCACGCGCCATTGCACGAGCCCCACTCCGTGCGCTCAGGAAATTGGGCGGTGTTATGGTTGAGGATGCCCTTTTGCTGCCACTGAGGTAGACGTCGTGGTGTTCACTTCGGCGGGGTGGTGTTCACTTCGACGGGGTGATGTTCACTCCAACGGGGTGGTGTTCACTACGCCGGGGTGGTGTTCACATCGACAAGGGCGCCTCGCCATCCCAGTTGATTAGCCTTAGCGCCGCTCCGCTCGGCTCGCCTTTCGGAACCTCCTTCGCCTGACCCTCCCGACCCGGGGTGCCGGCCCGGGGCCGAGTGTGGGGCGGCCAGAGTGCCGGTAGGGAAGAGCGCCCGGCCCCTGTCGGCCCCTGCCGTGCCGAGCCCTGCTGAGCTCTGGCCGGCACGGGGCAGTCCACCCGGCAGGCAGACCGGGGCAAGCCAAGCCGGGGCCCAACGCGTCGCTGGCGACGCCCGCCGCGCCAGTCAACGTCAACACGCGGTCGCGGCCGGAGCCTGGCGGGAGCCTCAGAGCCGAGCGGAGCCGTGCGGAGCCGAGCCGAGCGCGAGCCTAGAGAGCCGAGTCGTGTCCCGGCGAGACGTGCGCGTCGCCGAGTGCAAGTGTATTTATCACGGAGCGGGGCGTGACAAGTATGTGAACGTGCGCGAGTGCGTGTGTGTGTGCGTGTGTCTGAGGCTGTGCAGTCATCCAGTGTGGGATGAAGTGTGTAAAGTGGCGGCAACAAGTGCGTGCGAAGCGTGCCGAGTGCCGTCGGAGTGCGTTGGCCTCTACGTTGGCCCCGTCTGGGTGTTTGAGGCCCGCACCGTCCACCTCGGCGCCTTCACTCCGTTGGTCGGGGGTTGCCACAGAGCCGCACACGCCCGGGGATGCCCCGCCATGCCCCGCCATGCCCCGCCATGCCCCGCCATGCCCCGCCATGCCCCGCCATGCCCCGCCATGCCCCGCCATGCCCCGCCATGCCCCGCCATGCCCCGCCATGCTCGGCTGTGTCGGACTCCAATCAAGCATGTGCTAGTGTAGCCTCGTCAAAGGGCGACCCAGGCCTTTGCCGCGGGCATCAGCCGGTCCGGTGGCTGCCATTCGGCCTCCAAGTGTTCCGACCGGCTGGGCACCACGGCCGTGCCGCCCCGGGGCCTGTAGGCCTCCATGCCCGGCCTGGCGGGCCCCGCGGGGGGCAGACGAACCACCTGTAAGGCGGCCTGCATTCATCCAGGCCGCTTGCGACCGTGCGCCGTGCGCTTATCTGATGGTGAACGATCCCTTCGCGTGTCATCCGATGGTGCCCCTCTTGGCCTAGGCCGGGTGTCCGACTGTCCGACGCCGCGCCGCCACTCCACCGCCAGGCCGAGCGAGCCGAGCGAGCTTCCGGCCCGACCGGCCAGCGGCCAGCCATCGCCAGCCCACCGGAAGGCGACCTGTTACCCGTGCGTGGAGATACCACGCTCCGTACACCGCCGGTGTCTTATCACCGTGACTGCCCTGTCGACTTTCTCAGCCAGAAAAAGCCAGAAAAGGCCGATTTGTCTCGTCTGCCTGCCGACTATTTTTACATCTGTTAGCAAAAAGCTTGAAGCGGAAATAAGCTCAGCATTTTCCCAAGGGTCAATTTTTTTCGCTCGCCGGCTGTTTTCCTGTTGCGCGGACGTTTTAGGGGGAGTGCTGTGCAAGAAGGATCACCTGAAGCGAGTGGGGAGATCCATCCCCAGCGGCCGGCCTGCCGCACCGCCGTGGCCTTGGGTTCGCCTTACTGTCTAACCTACTTCTGCCGTCGAAGGCCATGCAGTTAATCCAGTTGCCCCTCCGTAATCGGGCCCAAGATTGGCCGGGCTGCCGTCATACAGACCCTGGCCGTCACGTCGCCGGCTCCCTCGGCGCCGACCTGTTGCTGCAGGGCCGTCTCTGCAGGGCTGTCTTTGGCCGTCTCTGCAGGGCTGTCTTTGGCCGTCTCTGCAGGGTGTCTTTGGCCGTCTCTGCAGGGCTGTCTCTGCTGCAGTCACGCTGTCCCCGCGCTGTCCCCGCGTTGTCCGCTCGTGCGCACCTCGTTCCCCGGCCGGAGTTTTCACCGTGGCCGGACGCACTCGCTTGGCTTGCCTCGGCCGTCCCGATTTAACCTCGCCCCTCCCCCTTCCCCCCGGCAGGTCCCTGGAGGGGTCACTCGCACCCCCTGCCCTCCTTTCGACTGGCGGCTGCGTCCGAGAGCGCGTCGCTCCGCCGGGCTGCTGCGACTCCTTGTTTGGGCGGACCAGAGCGCGATCCATGGTTCCGTTTCGCACGCAGCCCCCGCGGCTCGGCCGATCCGTCCGCGCGTAATGACGGTCAAATGAATTGCGATTCGGTTGGGTTTTCGGGTTTTCGGTTCAGTTTGCAGAGCGGGGGTCGGCGGGGAGGGGAGGGGAGAGCGTCGGCCAGCGATACGCGGCAGAGCGGGCAAAGCCGAGCCGGCAGGCTGATTCCGAGCGAGAGGCGTCTGTCACTTGCGCACCGATGCGGGACGCCCCGCTAGTGCGAGAGAGACAGAGAGGCTGCCCTCTCGGCACCAGTCTGCAGCGAGGCCAGCGGGCGAGTCACGCCGAACGGAGTGACTGCGTCGGAGTCTGCAGAGCGTTGAACTTG